ATGGAGTTAAACCCAGTTGGCGGCCAGTCACAAGTGGTGTTCCCTAGGGCTCTGTACTGGGGCCACTGCTATTCAACATCATTATCAATGATCTCAACGAGGGGATTGAGTGCACCCTCAGTAAGTTTGCAGATGATACCAAGTTTGGAGTCAGCGTTGATCTGTTGGAGGGTAGTAAGGCACTCTGTAGGGATCTGGATAGACTGGGCCAAGGCTGACTGTACGAGTTTCAATAGGACCGAGTGTTGGGTCCTGCATTTTGTTCATAACAACCCCAGGCATCCCTACAGGCTTGGGGAGGAGTGGCTGGAAAGCTGCCTGAGGCCACCTGGTTGGTCAACACTCAAGGATCTATCAATCACAATGATCCTGCCCAATCCAGCTCCCTGCATACTGTAGGGGGAGATGAGGACCCTGTAGTACATGTAAAGAGCACATTGGGAAAAGCGACTTGGGACTTTCCAACTTCCAAATCTCTCCGTGGAACTGTGTTTGCTCGGGGACCTGGGTCCACTTGGTGGGTGATGCAGAAAAATTGAGATGTTCAATGTGTACCACAAGGGTATTTGATGTTGGGGGAGTGCAGTCAGTAATTCCATATATGTATATATATGTGTATGTTTAATGCATGTTAATTATTGTTTATTTGCATAAGTAAAAAGTATTATGTAGTGATGTGGAATAAGGGGTGGAATGTCATGTTTTTATTTTTTTTGTTATTGGTATTCTACATCATAACATCACATAGAGCACTGGGCATTAAAGAGTTAATGCTCCAGTTTCACGGATTGATGATTTTTCTGGGTACCTGGCTCTCAGAAGAGAACTGCATGTCTTCCACTTCCACTGTTTTGTATTTGTTTTCCATATAGATGGAAAGATAAAACTACTCCCAAATCACAAGACTCTCCCTTCTTTTACTGCTCATCTCTGTGATGTTTGCTCCCTAGCTATCTCTCCTTCAACATTAGAAGGCCTTTAGTTTTGGACACTCTCTCTCTCATTTGATTTATTAGCCTCGGTTCCAGTTATATTGTATTATATTGTGTTATCTTGCATTCCGATATCATATTTAGTATATTAGTTTTTCTCACTTAGCTCATTACCACTGTTTTGTTTTTTTAGGCCCATCTCCCTATCTTTATCCCTTTTTCCCCCTTTACCCTCTCCTGAGACTTGGGTCCATGGGTCCCTCCACCCCATTACTCACGGAACCAAGCTGAACCAGCCCATACAGTTGATATATATATATACATGTGTATATATATATTTGCTTAACAGAGAAGTCTGGCATTTTTGACACTGTCTTACAAAACGTATTTAATTGTTCTTTATGTTGGAGAATCAATGAATTTATTAAGCTTGCAATGTTAATTATGATAGTGAATGTTTACCCATTAAAATGAGAATAATTTCCTTGGAGTCAGTTTTGGCACTATTATCAGCTTCTGCCATCATTGTAATTGCTATAAAATCATCTCTAGGCAATTGTTAATGACACCTGTTATAATAATACCAACTTATTTTTGATTTGGAAGACTTCCTGTCTTCCAAGAATCGGAAAGTGATGTTATGTCCTGTTACATATTTAGTGCATCAGGGGTAGTAGGAGAGGAAAAATAAAATAGAGTAGTGAATGAGGGTGAACACAGACCCCAGACTGGACAGATGAGTTGGGAACTGTTGCAAAAGGGTAGGAGTATGTGATCATCTGGCAGCTCTCTGTCACGTTCCAGGCAGTGAGGAAGTAGGATGATAAGAAGTGAGCCAGGTTTGCTATTTAAATTAAATAACAGCATGTTAATGAAAGAGTTTATATTAAAGTAAAATGGCTGATGGTAACCTTTGGCTTTTATTTTTCTATTAATGTTGAGGGAAGCTGTTTTCATTCTGTGCTGAAAGGTGAAACAGAAAAGAGTGTGAAAAATGTTGTCAATTAACCTGAGCACCAGGACAGAAAGATGTTATATTCTGCCAGTCTACCAGATTCAAATCAAATTTGCTGTGTTACATATTTTGCCCATTTCCCATAAACTGGGAAATCTGCTTGAATATCCCAAAGATCTCAAAATTGAAAATCCATGCTGATTTTCATCTTCCAGAAAACATAAAGAACTGCTAGGAATCTAATATGAGATCGAAAGATCAGTTTTGCATGTGTGTATTTTCAGAACTGTTTCTACAAACTTGAAAACCTTCAAGAGCAACAAGGAGGACGTGTTCATGTAGCTCAATATAAGAAGAAAAAATAGGAGGTAGAGACAACATTTTTTTGCCCCCCCCTTCCTCTGTTTATAGTAGATGGCTGCAGAATAGAAAGAGAGGCAGTGTGTTTAAGACACAGATTTATTGATCACATAATGGTGCCCGTTGTTCCATGTTAGCCTTGAATGTTTCTTCAACTTAATTGTCCTCTACAGTGAGTAACATGCTCTGTCTTGTACTAGAGTAAATCAGCATTTCAGAACAAGAAACATGTGACTTAGTCTAATGATAAAAAGATTGTTAAGATAATGTTGATTCCCAGCCAAAAAAAAAAAAAAAAAGTGAATTAACTGTGAAGAGTATGAATGGGTGTAGCTTCTTTCTAAAAAGTGATTAAGAAAATTGAATAAACATTTCAAGTGAAATCCTAGCTTCCCTTGATTAGATGTAAGAGATCTCCATGGGCTGGGACGTCAGTCTTTGGAATTTCTCTTTCTACAGAAGATCTTCAGAAACTCAGACTGAAAAAAAAAGGGAACTGGCATCAGTATGTACTCTGTACTCTGCTGTAAACATTCTTAATTTTATACAGCTCTTGTTTTTGTGCAGGACATCTCCCCTGGGGATACTGCTGGATGAAGAGTGGTCTACTGAAGGTAGAGGCTGGAAGACATATATCTGCACCCGGAGCTGCAACAGAAGAAACAAACATAACCAAAAGACATATAGTTCTTTTATTAAGCAATTCCTGGCTTCTACTGTTGTGACAACTAATGATTTTTTTTGTATTTATTTGCAAAACTATTAAAAAAAAAAAGTTTTAAAAAGCCTCAACTTGCATTTTTTTTTCCTTATAGATTTTTCTTCTTTGCAGAAGAACATTTCAGGAAGAAACCAGGGGAAGATTTATTAACCTTTCCTGCTACTTTATCAAAGAAATAGCATTGCTAGGAACCCCAAATGGAAGGATATCTCTGAGCCATGACTGCAGTGGATGTCAAGTTTCAGTGCACACAAGACACTTCCTTAGATGTTCCATGGGAACTCCTCAAGTGCTGTTAGGTGTGTTCTTGCATTAGTGTAGGGGAGATGCTAAGTCACAGCTTGAAATTATGATTGAGCACCTCATAGGAAGACAGGGCCAAACCAGGGGAGCCCAAATGCATGCAATACACATGAGTGACCAGAAGGGGGTGGAGCCAGGATCCATCCCTTCCCAGACCTCATTTAAGGGTTGGCAGTGGGGGTGAGGGTATGTTACTTCTCTGGAGATGTGCGTGTACCTGAGGCCTTTTGAAAGTAAGTAAGCAGTTTCTCTCCCTCTTTCCTTTTTTTTTTTTTTTTTTTTTTTTTTTTTTGTGTGTGTGTGTGTGTGTGTGTGTGTGTGCACGTGCGTGCACGCACGCGCACATGGGCTGATGCATTTGAGTGAATCCTTGCTCACTGTAGTGTGGGATCTTGCTGCTTTGCTGTCATTGTGCTTTCCACTGTGTTATTATTGCCATGAACGTGTTTGAGGCAAACTTACTGCTACTGTGAAAAATGTGGAAGCATCAGACTGAAAAAATCTCAGTAGGAAACATTTGTTTCTAAATCTTTTTCAGTGATTTGTCACATGGGAAGGCATAATTTGTCTCTATTTCTTTTTTTTTTTTTTTTTTTCTGCCTGATGCTAAATGGGATTTTTTACATAGTAATGTGATGAAGATTTTTTTACAAGAAAAAGGTATGACTAACAAGACTTCTAACTCTTCATCTAAATTGGCTTTAGTTTTTATTTAAATAATATATTTAAATAATTCATTTTCTATTTGCAAGGATCAGCCTAGATGCCTGAAGGAACAATAGGGGAAATTGTTTTGAGGAAGGAATGATTACAGTATGAAGTATCATAATGATTTTTTTGTTTGTTTGTTCTTGGCTTTTCTATTATTATTTTTTTATGCTATACTTTTTTAAGAACTATATATTGTGACTAACAAGGGATTATTATTTTCAGAATTACTGACAAGACACCTACATGTTCCAGGGCTCTCACAAAGTGTGTTTTTATTGTTCTGCTTTGTTTATCTGTGTTTGAAGTAAGAAGCTGATTCTCTGGCAGGATGCGACTTACAGGGAAGCATGTTGCCTGCTAAAACCTTTGTTATTGCCATTAGCTATTGGAGAATATGCAGCATGGGACATTGACAGTAAAGTAAGGCATCATTTGGTCTGCACTTCTTGCTCAGTGTATATTTGCCCACGAAGCTTGTGCTTATCTCTGTTGACGACTATATGCATGATTAACTTTTTACTACATTATTTCAGGATATCTCTCTGAATATACAAATTCAAGGACTGAATGTGTTGCTCTAAAAGAATGCAACATTTGTATCTGTTTCGTGTGTATTTGTAATAAGAGAACAAAAGCATGTCATTACAAGCTGGGTTTTTGTTTTTTACCTTTAAAGCAGTTGTTCACAATAAAAAATGCTACATGGCAGTGGGGTCTTTGAGTCATACAGCATCCTATCCTTTTTAACAGTTCTTCAAACAAGTGTGCTATTGGCTCAGCCTGTGAGATTTGTCACATATACACATGAAAAATATATTTTGAAGACTTATCTATCATGTAAGTTTTTAACACTACTTCCCCCCATTGTAATTTTCTGGCATTGAAGGCTATGTTATTTATACAATAGCAACTTCTAAACTATTGTCTTGAGAATCAGACGGATATGACGTTTAGTCTTTATCTTTCCTTTTAAATAAAATAAAGAGTTCCTGGCTTGTACAAAACCAAGAAACTTCATTTCAAAGTCACTTCAGTCCCCTCTGTTGAGGGAACTATGGTGGTATAAGCTAAAGGTGGCAACTGGAGGAGCTTCTTTTTCATGCACAAGAGGAGTTTCACATAGAAGAAGGTGCGTTTATTACCAGTTTAACTAGAAATGAAAACTATAGAGGACAATATACTGGCAGATCTTATTGATTGTATCTGGATTTGTTAGTAGTTCCTGCTCCCCAGGCAAAAAACTTCAAGCAGATAGCTTAGAACTGACTGGAACATAAAAAGGGACTGAAGATAGGTTTTGTATTGTGTATTCTATCTTTCCCTTCTTTGTAAAATTTAGGGGCTAAAAACCTAATATAATATTGGATTCAGTCACAATTATGCAGTGCATGTACTAAAAATACACCTGACAGAAGTTGCAATTATATTATAAGCTTGCTAGTGTTTGTTGATTGGATAGCCCTGTAACTGGTTCAGATAACAGAGATAACTGTGTCTCTGGACCTAATAGATAAGGAAGTTCTGCTGAGACTTTGTACTGAGAAAACAAGGAGGTTCTGCTTGGAATCAGTAATTGAATATGTAACATACATCTGGGAAAACCTCTACGTATGTAATATGGGTAATGTATACAAGCTCAAGATCTTTTGTGCAAGGCATGTGTGATAGGAGGAGCTTGACCCCCATGCATCTAGTGTTGATAATAAAGAATGCCTGCTTTCTAATGCTCCAGTTTATGTCTTAGTGAATTTCTTGATTTATTGATTTATGCTATCATACCCGCAAGTGTGTAATCTGAGAATAATGCTTATTGTTTAATATTATTCCCATGTAGTTGCTAGTTCTTAGCTATCTTGCAGAACTATGTCAGATTGGCATTTGCACTGTTGTATGACTGGTGTTTATAACATGGTTTCCTTTCTACTATAAATAAGGCAGGCTGCACTTTTATTTACGTGACTGTGAGCTGGATCTGCATAATTGACATTAATAAGATGTGTGTACCTGCAAGCAGATATCATGCATGCAAACTTGTGTAAAACAGAGTACGTGTATATGTTAGGCTGAATTTATTGTGGAAACTATCTTTTTCTTGCAGTGATAAGTGAAAATGGAAACTAATAAGAGTTTGTTTCCTAATTACTTTCTTTTAAGAAGCATGGATGTATAACCAACTTACTGTGAAAGTTTACATAAACTAGATTAAATCTTTCTGAAGTGGTGTAGATAGTCAAAAATAACTTTACAGGAAAAAATTTAGAAAATGGTGGGTTGTTGTGAAATAGACTACACCCCAGACTAAGAATATTTGTATGGGAACTGTTGAATCATGGCCTGAACCTCTGATTGCCTCTGACCTGAGGCAAACACTGAGTCAGCCGTGGGAGCACAGGTGAAGGCAATTCACCTGTGTGACTGGAAGGGGTGGAGGCTGGCTCCACCTCTCTTAGACCCCATTTAAGGCCTAATTGCCACTGAGAAAGGATCTCTCTCTGGAGATTGTTCCATTTGGAGTTTTCCTGTGAGTCCAGGACCCAGGTGAGCATTTTCATTTATTTTTGATTATCCCTTTCTACTGTGCTATTTCTAGCTACACAATATGTAGTTACTAGCCTAAACACACCACTCTATATATTTGTTGATTATACAATATTCTAATGGATCTTGATTTTTGACAGATGCTCCTCTTGGCAGTGCTGACAGAGCTACTGCTGGTCACTGTAGCAACAGGTAGGAAAACATGTTTGATGCCTTGGAACTATGTAGGTTGTTCTGAAAGTAGTTCCTCCTATTTATAGCCATAGGAACTACAACAGATACAAGAGCGCAATAATTGTTGTGGTTATAACTATGTATGTAACAAGTGATGCACAAACTATTGCTCGCCACCTGCTGACCAATGCCCACCTAGACTCCAAAAAGCAAAAGGAAAGATCAGAGGCTTCCCATACCTTTCATAACTTCGCATGATGTCACATGGTACAGAATATCTCTTTGGATAATTTGGCAGCTATCCTTTTCAATGTGGTCATCACCATCAAAGCCATGCGTTTTTGTCAGTTATAAATAAGAGCCTTCATGTTGTGCTTAGAGGAAAAAAGATCAAACAACTGTGTGGCTGTCTGAAATATGGCTTTTCTTTCAAATAGCTGTTGCTGCTGCTGCAACAAATCACCCACCTCCTCACATGCTAATGTCTACTGCTTGTTCTTCATAAATGTTGAGCAAGTGTTGATAAATGTCAGTGGGTGCAGTTTCTTTCCTTGTGGAGGAATTCTGTCCCACACCTTTGCTTCATGACACTTCCATGTCACGCTATTTTGTCAGAATGCCCATCTGCTGCTATCACATGGTCACACATTCAATGAATTGTTATTGGGAAGGTTCAATCTGCTTCTGATGTTGCAGGCCAACATAGTAAGATAGGGGGTGTTACTTCCACAGCAGCTGTCATATAATGTATTTTCATTGTTTCTTCTGCGAGACCTTTTCCCTTCTTTTGCACATCTAATCCTGCAGTCCTTGATCAGACAGTGTTCTCCTGTCTCTTACTAGTGACATCAGTAAGGTTGTTCTTTTGGCTCTTCAACTTTCAACAAGTACTGGGTAGGATCAGATCACTAAGGCTATAATCAGTGAAGTCTGGCTTCCCAAACTAGCAGGCTTCACTATTACTATTGAGGCACAAATATGAGTGCATGGAATTTTTTTTAAAGCACTAAAATTAGCCATGCAAGGTTTAGGTTAGTAGAAATATAGATAAAAAGCCCTTTTGCTGATGTATGTAGTGAAAAAATCTATTCTTGATCATATGGGCTGTCATGTCAGGTGTGCAGTCTACCTAGAAGCTAGAGGTTAAGGTCCAGGGCAGATTATATTCAGGGTTTAAAACAAATAAACAAAAAACAGCAGATAAGTTCTTAAATTATGAAATGTTTGTTTTACTTTGCGAGTTATCTTGTGTTTTGTTATTCAGGACCCTCAGGTTCTTTTCTTCAGGAGTCATCAGTTTCCCGTTGCAGCCTTTTTGGGAATGATCACATCAAAACCTTTGATGGTTCTTTCTACAGTTTTGCTGGGGACTGCAGTTACCTCCTTGCTGGTGACTGTCACAAACGCTCCTTCACACTCTTGGGTGAGTCTGAGCAAGATATAAAATAGTAACACTGGCAGAATATTGTAAGCATGTTACATTAATTATCCTGTGCTGTGTTCTGTCATTGAGAAGGAAAATAATATTTCCCTTTGTGAGATAGGCTGCTGCATTAGAAAAATTTTGAGTTTTCTTCTGAAATTAGGAAGTTTTGTCACTTTGGCTTCTATTTTCCTTTAGTAATACAGCTCGCAAGCTGCTAAGAAAGATTTTTTTTTTTCTTAACTGATTCTTCTAACGAAGGAAGGTGAGATCTTTCAATTCTGAATTTCCTAGAGGAATGTGTTGTTTTTTTTTTTTTAAGAGTTGAGTACAGAAATAGGAGTCACATTCCACTATAAAATTGACATTTATTTGTATGCTCAATCACTACACTAAGAAAAATCCCATATTGCAGGACAAAATGCTTTTGAAGTAGCATGACTCTTTGCAATGTTATTCTTAAAGACATGCAATAGATGAAAAGAGAACCAAAACACATGTTGCATTTTCACTGATCTCTTTTGGTAGGTGTTTTTATATTTGTTAAGAACTCTTCTCTATTAGTTGTAGTTTGAGATGACTTTATGCTGACTATAAGGAAGTTAAACTCATCCCACCAGTCTGAGAAACCATTTTGTTCCTCAGCTTAAGCAATTCTGTATAATTTTCCTCTTTCCTCTCTGGAAGAATTCAGCAGTATACGTGAAATATGACGTGAAATATGGATTCACTGATGTGTTTTATGTGATTAGTTAGATCTTAAAGCCTCTGAGCATTATTTTTGCCTTTATCTTAGGAACATAAGTGTAGTACAATCTGGTTTTGCTTCCTTTCTCAGCATAAGCACTTGGATTTCTTTGCTTTGGATATCTGGTTGCGAATTGCAATCTGCATTGCTGAGTAAAGCATCCTAGTCTGGTCAGACTGACCAGATCTACCCTAATCTGGCTGCCTCAGAGCAGTCAGACCTGTCTAGCATGGGTGCTGCACTGTACAAGTAACTGCAACAAAGTCAGAGCTAGACAATGGACAAAAGCAGAGGAACAACATTTCAGCTCTCCTAATCTCTTCTGTCTTGGAATATAATCACTTTGTCTCTATATCTGTGCTTTGCTTTTGAAAAACTGGGAGTGAAATAGCTCTGCTCAGTTGTACAACCAATATTGGCATCAAGCTCTTAAAGACCAACTGAGATGGTTAGAGGGCTTATCAAGAACTAAGTTATCCATGCCTAGTTCTTTTCTCAATTCAGTAGATTTCACTCCCTCTTCTTACTGTTGAGCTATGGGTGTTTTGGTAGTTTTGGGGAGGAAACTAGGCAGGGAAAGATCAGGGATCAGGGTGGATAACTGATTCATCTTCTTGGGAGCTCATCTGGTATGCACAGTGAGATAGAGAATTCACTGACTAGAGATAGTAAAGGGAAAAGCATGAGTCCACAGCTAGAGGCTGGGCAGCTCAGAGTTGATAGTACCTACCCTTATCCTGGGACTACCTCTGTATTTCACATTATCTATTTCATCTTAGAATTGCAAGTCTCTTGAAGATGATAAACAGTATGCTTCCAGTACTGTAACACATTCTTACAAGTTACTCTCCTCAGCCTCAGAGCTAACTTTATTTGCTTATATCACATCTCTTCAGGTAACTACAAGGATGGGGAGAAAATCGGTTTCTCTGTGTATCTTGGAGAATATTTCAACCTTCGTTTCTTGTTGGATGGAAATGTAACACAGGGAGACAAAAGGTACTAGTACTATTGGAACAGCAAATATTCCAGCAGGAAAAAAACAATATGCTTAATGTCATATTCTGAGAGATTCTTATTTTTCATCACAGAGTTTCCATACCTTTTGCTTCTAATGGCATATTTATAGAGAAGGAGGCGGGTTATTATAAAATATCCAGCAGTGATTATGGCTTTGTGGTGAAGATTGATATCAGTGGGAATATTCAGATATTCCTTCAAGAAAAGTACTATAATAAGACCTGTGGGCTGTGTGGGAACTTCAATAAATTTGCTGAAGATGACTTCAGAACTCAGGAAGGTAAGACTGAGACTGTGCTTGTACTGCGATGTATTCTGCACTTTTCCTAATGGGTGACTCAACAGTCTTGCTGATCCAGAAAAATGCTTCTATATGAATGTCAGATACTCATTTCGATGAAATAAAAAGCTGTCCAAGTTCTTTCATCTTCCCTTCTTTGTAAAGGGAAATGATGTAATCTCACAGAACCATAGAATCTCATTCCTGAGCAAAACCCAGTGCTCTGAATTTAATGCCTGGAAACATTAAATGATGAAGTACAGAGATGAAGCTCTGGGCTAAATTATATGTAACACAGTGGTACTGGGGAACAGATGAGGAAAATCCAGCAAAAATTATGAGAAATACTCACTGATTCAACTTTTTTAAAAATCAGTTAGACACGTGGGAAATGAGTAGTGTTTCAATTTCAGAATACTTAAATCCAGGGTGTTGCTCCAGCAGATTCCTACATGGATTAGGCACGGTATGCTGTTATAAAGTGCTTACTTTTTTCTTCTGAGATAGGTTGCTGTGTTTAAAAGTGCACTTCGTATCTCAGTAGTTCCTAGCAAGAGGGAGAGACAAGATAGCTTTTGCTGCTCTCTGCATCATTATGTGAAGTTTGTCAGTACGAGTGAAGATCGAGTGTTTTGGAGAAGTCATGAACATAACTTTCAAGGACCATCTTGATTTAAAGTATTTCAGAATGTTTGATAATTATTAGTATGCATTTGAATATACTTAGAGTAAACTAAGTTGAATTATTATGTTAAATTGATAATGTAAAGTATGTCTTAAAAATAAATGATATAGAAAATGAGAGAGACAAAACATGGAAAAGAACCATGTGTTCTTTTCCAAGAATGGATGTGTATTACTGATGCCTAGGAGTTATAAGCGTGGCTTCAATGTACTGAAGAAACTGTTTTCACATATTGTAAAGTGATTGATTATCCTTTCAGCAATGCCAGTAATAAGACATTACAGAATATCACAGCTGGGCTTAGTGACTTTGTGCTGAGGTCTGAAGCTTACATCTTGAGACAATAACAGGAACTGAGACTACTATAAATGATAAGAGCAGCAAAGGAGACTGTACTGCCTAGCACTGTTCAAATATAGGATAAGCTCTTCTGCTGCTTGTGTTTACACCTTTCTTGCTGTATTTGCTTAACATTCTTGAAAGTATCCTCCCTCTTACAAAAGGAGCACTTTCCCAGCTCTAGATTTCTGATGTGGTGAAGTACGTGGTAGGGTTGCTTCTTCAAAGAGCTGAAAAACAGTGGAGAAGGTGACAAGAGCATAAACTGTTCTTGTACGATGAAGACCTTGATTTCTGTAAAATGTATGGACAAGCAGATCTGTACTTTTAACCTGAAAAATTACTGTATTACCCCAATTCTGACCATTTTCTTCTCTGATACAATCAATCTTTCATGTAATCTGATCTAGAATTAATTATGTTAGAAATTATCACCTTGACAGCTCTGCTAGCAGGGTGGCTTGTGCACTCCTCCTGACATGCTCCAAGTAAAATCAGCTTAGGATTTTTTTAGACCATTCCTTAAAATGCTGGAGTTAACTTTCAGGTGAGGGGGAGCACAAGCAGCTAGTAAAGGTGATACTCTTCAGAAGAGATCTAAGCAGAGTATGTTATAAAGCCATTTATGCTTTTCTTCAAGTGCAGTCTTTGTTTGGCTTTTAGCCTGATTAGGTCTTGTGAAGGTCAGTGCAACCCAGGATATGAGCTTGGTACAATGTCTTAGTGATCTGAAGGCACAGAGGGGTTGACTTAATGTTGGCTGCAGGCTGGTCTGGCTATTCTGTGTATCTTCCTGTTAAAATCTAGGTATGTTTTCCCTATTAGTTTGGGTCTTAAGTTCTTATCTATTAAATGTATTCATATTAAATACAGTAAGATTTGTGAGCTCCATACTTGAAAGTATTGGAAATACAACAGGTTTCTGAGCTGAACAAACAACTCAAGATATTTTAGTCTTCAAATGGTTTTGATTTAAACTGATATGGCAAACTGTCTGGGGACTAATAGTCCTCTAAGAGTCACCGTCTGTGAGTGTGATGAAAGGAGAGATGCTGCTGAAGTGTTTCTCTACCTCTCGCAGATTGTAGCTCACTTTTTTTTTTTTAAAGCTGGTGCAGTAGTTTTGTCATTTCCTGTACAGAAGGGAAATCATGTGGTAAACTCATGTAACCTAATGGTCTCTTTCCAGGGATTAGTTGTGGCACCAGATGATCACATCCCAAATTTGTCTTAAAGTCTCAATCCCTATGGACTGAATTTAAACCATAATCTCAGCTGTTCCTGAAATATCCTGTTTTTTTGTCACAGTTGCAACAAAATGAAAATGCTTATGTTGAAAAACAAATGAGAACACAATTTTCCCATATTCTTAAAAAAACAAATGCTTCTAATTTAATAATACTGGTCACTTTTGCTCAGAAAAATGGTTAGCTTGATTTGATGTAACTTGCTCTTTAAAAAGTGGATAGTGACAGAATTTCACTAATTTTATTTGAATTATGTTGAGATTGTGGGTAAGGTAAGAGAGGATTTTCTGTGGTTTTGGATATTATTTACTTGCTGTAAAAAGTTATGATTTAATATCTTACTACTCATAACAGTAGTCTTCATCTTGTCAAATGGTTTTGGGCCAGTTTGGCCTAGTTCCTGGGTTCCTGACTAATGAGGCAGGGAAGACCCATGGGCTCCCTCCCCAGGAAATGGGGAAGCAGAATAAAGAAAAAGCAGTGAGACAGGCCTTAAAAACAAAACATTGATAACAAGTTAAGGGAGAAAAACTAATTTAGTAAATATGATAGCATGATGGGAGATAATATAATGCAATTTAATTAGCGTTGAAGCTAATAAAGGAGTGTCCAAAACTTAAGGTCTTACTCTAATGCTGAAGGTGTGATGGCTAGGGAGCACACATAGCAGAGAATAGCAGTAAAGAAGGAAAAAAGGGACAGTCTTGTGATTTCTGAGCAGTTTTCCCTGAAAATGGAAATGGAACAGTGAAATCTTCTGGGATTTGTAGTTCTTCTCTTCCAGGAAGTAGGTACCTGGAAATATCAACAATCCATGGAACTGTAGCACTGACTGTTTAAATCCCTGTGCACTATGTGATGTTATGATGTGAAATACTGATAACAAAAATCATAGAACCATGACAATCCTTAGCCTAATCTTTGCGATCTGTGGTAAATTTAAGAGTTTCCTTCTTGCTGTTTTTTTAAGTGCCTAGCCTATCTATTGTTTAAGTCCATAGTATCCGCTGTCTTTTATTACACCCACCCTTAGCATTTTCTGTATACTTCTAATGACAACCTTTTAGGAATTAGGAAAGGTCATAGTGCTCTGTAAACTGTTTTTGTACTGAGCTTACAGCACATCACTCAGTTAAATTTAGATTAAGAATGTAAATATATATACTATTTTATACAACAAAGTATAAGAATAGATAGTATTTCACCCTTTCTCCAGGTACAGTGTGGATCATGTTTCAAGATATTCTCAGTGTGATGTCTTGGGAATGTGTTATCAGTAAGAGCTAATATTCTCCCATGAAAAACATTTGAAGTCACAGAATAGAGAGAGTTAGAAAATTATCTATTCTATAGCAGGTAGCCATCAAAACAGAAGTAGTCCCACAGTCAGCTAGGCCAAAATCCTGGGAGACAATTTGAGGAAGCATTCTTTTTCTTGATTAACCACATCCTTCGGTGGAGAATCAAAAGATGTAATGTGCCTTGAATTTCCTAAGAAGCAAAAGCCATACAGATTAACTCACTGCTGTCCAACCCTTTGACTTGCCTGGGCAGCACTGAGTGAACAGGAATTGCCATGAGCTACATATAAAGTACATAATAAATGTGTATAAGTAGCAAAACTTATTGTTGTCTGTTATATATCAATGAAAGCACAGAGCTTTTATTTTTGCAGGCATAAAACTAGTGGGGTATTTGACTTTGTTTTTGTGAAACTAATGCATACGTCTGGGTTGAGTACAGTGATTGCCATTCCTAGTGAGTTCTCAAGGTCTTTATCAGAGATCTTTGAAATATAATTCTTCCTGTGCTTCATCCTTGACAATAATTGTTTTCTGGCAAAATGTACATTTGTGAACAATCTGAATAAGGTGCAACTGTGAAGCAGGGGATGTTTTGCCTGGTGTGGTAGGACTTATGACAATCTGGTGAGGAGATATGATCAAATTTTCCTTTGAATTGAAAATCTGATTGCATCTCAATACATTTCACATAAAATTTTACCAGTAATACATTTGTTGACTGAAAATGGAGTGTCAAATATACAAGAGAAGACTTTTTTTTTTCCCTGAAATCTCAGAACCTATTCTCAGCTTTCTTTATCAAAATGGAAAGAATGTCTGCATTTCTTTTACCGCTTGCATGACTGTGTTTAGTATAAAAATGCATGAAATTATTTGACATTACTTCAGCTTGCCATTTCAAATACTGCTATTGTCTGCAATATGGCGCAGATCAGGTCATTTTTCACTTTGAAGGTAGATGCTTAATTCATTTAAATGAGCAGTCAAATCCACCAAAAATGCAAATCTGTGTGCAATTTCTAATCTTCACATTCTGGCACAAAGTTTCCTTTTAATTCCATGAAGGATCATGAAGGACTTGATTTTACTTTGTGGAGATTTTCAGCATTTTTTCCCAGTTTAGGCTCTTTCCTTCTGAAAAGTAAATGGTGACTCTAAGAAGATTGCTTTAATATATTTTTTACTGCTTCATGTAAATCAAGAGATTTAGCTATGTCTTTTCAATTGCAACAATAAGCCTTTTTCACAGTGACATTATTTGTTATCAGTACCTCTCATGAAAATGGCAAATTAGCTGTATCTGTAGTATATGTATTTTCATCTACAGCTAAAGCACAAAATCTGAAATTAACAGCTTTACCCTCCAATTTTTTTTAATAGATTTTCCAATTCCATAGTTTACCTGGCTATAGTCTGGAGAGACAAGCTGATTTTTAGAAAAAAGTTTTTTTTTATCAGGGCATTCTTTGTGTTGTGCTCTCTATACGCTGCTTAACAAACTCACCATCAGGGAAAGCTTGTGTTTTTTGTTTTTTTTTTGCAATTATTTGTTATCACATTAACTAGCTTTTATAAAAGAGTCTGTTAAAGTTTTAATTTTAAATATTTTTTGAGGTGACAAACTTTCAGTTCTGCTGTTCTGTCTTTACGAAGCATTCTTTGATATGCAGTAAACTTGACAGCATGTTTCTGTAAATGTCTTCTCAAACTGTAGTCTTTGAAACAGACACAATTTACTTGCAAATTAAGTTTAGTGCCATATCATTTGTCAGCACCGCGCTGAGCCTTCCCTATTTCCTTGTACCAGGCCTGGCCACTTGGTGGAGTGAAGTTGATGTAATGATGATGGGACAGGAAGGAGTGCCAGCTGCAGTGTTGAGCTGATCTGGGCAGCATGTGATGTGAAGCCTGAAGTTTAGACATGACTGCATTAAGTCCTTCAGATTGGCTCCTAAACAAAACAGGTCCACATCTTTGCCAAGAGCTGCTTTATAATACTGCAGAGAAGCATGATTCGGGACAAGATCCAAAGCAAGATTAGTTATGGTGTATGTTACATTTCTTTCAAATAAGATTTCCTTTCAGAAATCAAGAAAATGAAGGTTAACTGTGATCAGGAACACTTCCACTGGTTTGTGAGAACAGCTTTGCTTTGTTTGCCTTTCTAATCTCTATTGTTTTGTGACAACTTCAAAATAGTATGAAAATGTCTAGATGTGCCTAGGTTTCTGCAGAGTATGTTTGACCAGCAAATAACTTCCAGCATGTTCATACAGAGGTGAGGAGTGCTGGGAGCTGCCTTCTGCAGGCTTTGGTCTGCCCTGCTGTACAGGGATGGATTTTAGAAATCTGCCACTGCGCGGGTCCAGAGGAAGTTGGATCTCATACTGTCAGGCTATTTGGAACTGAAATTCTTTCAGTGCTACAGATTTTTAAAATAGCTTTCACCTGCCTATGGCATTTATAATAGCCAATAATGACCCTTTGTTACTCAACCCCTTGAAAAACTGTGTGTTTCTCCTCTTGTTGGTTCACAGGGAGCCTTGTGGGAAACAGCTATGATTTTGCAAACTCTTGGGCATTGCGCAGTGAAAATAAGTTGTGCAAGAGAGTGCAGGCTCCAAGCAGCATGTGCAACGCTTCATCTGATGCAGAGAAGGTTTGTGCCATAAGATACCATTTGAGTTTTCAACCTTACCTACCTGAAGGCAGGGCAATATCTATATTTTCTTGAGTCCTACAGCTGACGTATTCCTCCATCAGCAAATGGTTAGGATGCTAGATGCAGGAGATGCCTGTTTGGGATTTCAGAGGTACAGAGTGATCTGCAATAGCTATGCAAAGCATTGTTTGTGCTGTCACATGGCAAATATGTGGGAATCAGTGCTTAGTCTGGCAGGAAGCATGTGATACAGTGGTTGGCATGTGTTGGAGGTGGCAGTGATGCAGCATGCCATTCTTTTGGTGTAGCTGCTCCCAACACTCTTAAGGCTTGGCACAGGATGCAACTATGCTTCCTTGTTACTGAATGCAGTTTGCATCCTACCTGGCTGAATTATTTTTATAAATCTAATACATATTGCCACCTCTCCAATCTCTGAGGAAAAAAAATCCCTAACTCCAAACAGATAAACAACTCACTTGAGCCTGAAGTATGAGTTGTTTCCAAAGGTACTCCAACATTACTTGGGGAAAAAAATGTGTTTAATGGATGTGTTTAGAGTTAAGTGAGCAACTCCTATTATTCTGTGAGCAGGAAAGCATTGCGTAACATCTGTTGCCACCACCACTGCAAACAGCATTTGTGTATGCATTGGAGTTGATAACCCTGTGCATCACCAGAGCAGGGAGATGATTAAGTAATGCTTTCTGACAGAGGTGATCTTCTCTGTAGATGTGCACACTTCATGCCACCCTGCTGCTTCCCCTGCCAGGAGGAAGACTTCAGTTCCATGTACTGTACTAGGTCTAACTAGTTAGAGAAACACAGAACAGCTAATTCTGTGATTCCTTTATTATATAAACCATAAACAGGACAGGCAGATGCATGCTGATGGTTGCCAGGTCAGTCTTTTCCAGGTTGAACAGTCTCGGATCTCTCACTTTCCTCATAATGGAAATGTTCCACAACCCTAATAATCTTTGTGGCCTTCTGCTGGGCTCCCTCCAGTAGTTCCCTGTCTTTCTTGAACTGGGGAGCCCAGAGCTGTACACAGTACTCCAGATTTGGTCTTACCAGGGCAGAGTAGAGTGGGAGGATAACATCCCTTGACCTGGTGGCCATGCTCTTCTTAGTGTACTGCAGGATACCATTGATCATCTTGACCACAGAGGCGCACTGCTGGCTCATGGTCAATCTGCCATCCTTCAGGATGCTTCCCTAGAGCTCCTTTCCAGTAGGTCAACACCTAACTCATACTGATGCATGTGGTTCCTCCCCAGGGGTTGGACCCTATACTTGTCTTCATTGAACCTCATATGGTTCCTGTCTGCCCAGTTCTCTAACTTGTCCAGATCTCACTGAATGGAAGCAAAACCTTACTGCATTAGCCACTTCTCCCAGTTTTGTATCATTAGCAAGCTTGCCGAAGGTGCATCCTATCCCTTAATTAAGTGAAGATACAAAATGAAATCAACCTGAGGAGTAGAGTGCAATTAATGTGGTGATGTTTTTGTGTTTTTTTTAACAGATCACATTAAATATTGTTCCTTTCTTGGGCGAAGTTTGCTTGCCCACAAGAATATTAGCTGGATGAAATTATCTTTGTTGTGAGTTCATGAGCTCACGGTATTTAATGTTGGCTAGATTTATTCACTACGCAAGAATGAACACAGTGCTATTAGCAGAAATCCAGCCAAATTAGTGCTTGCTAAAGAATACTGAGCTTTTGAATAGCTTGCTTTATTTTCTTGCTCTGATCTCAGAATGTAAAACTTCTGTCTCCTTGCCTCCCTCCCTGCAGCCTCTGCTTCAGCCCTTTTCTCTTTCCTTGCCTCACATGTTGCAAAGATACTCAGCCAGCATACTTAGGGAAACGGCTTTAGATTCCTTATCTGGAGCCTGAAGTGTTGTACTGTTTTATAACTAAGTTTAGAATAACTTGGAGGTGGTGAACTTTGTGTTACACCTCATTCAATTTCATTTTGTGAGCCTCTCAAGTTGCAGAATTGGTGACTGACTAGATGAAACTTGATCAAGGAACTGGTGAGTTAGGGAGAAGGTGGCTCTCCAGCTGAAAGCCAGGGTGGGCTACCCCCACCCACCCACGGGTGGGTGCCCATTGTGGCCAGAAAAGGCTTATGCACCAAGAGCTCCCAGCTGGACTACTGGTAGACATTCTGATTGTACTTCCCCATGCAGAAGTCTGCTGGAGCTGCTGATTGTCCCAGCTGTTGGTCAGGAATGTTTCATCTCCTTCACAGTTTCTGTTCTCCTGTTCTACCAAACAATAGATGTTAGCACAGTGAGCGGGTGACTGGTGCATTTCAGTAGTGGTGACAGTGAAAAACAAGCTATGTTTCAGACACTAGTGCTGCAGAAATCATAAGAATGCGTGAAATACCTCCTACAATTCTGCGTGGTGGGAGTAGAGAACAAAGAAGGTCAGTGAGATTGTGACTAATAGGACTTGCCAGTGTATGGACAATGCCAAGCCATTTAAATAAACTCTTAGGAACCTGATGGAGAAGTAAAGGAAGCAATGTAAATAGATTCACCTATATACATACTATAATATATAGTAGTTTTACTCTCACTGTTCTGTGTTCTAAGCACAATTTCAGGGTGGATTTTTATTTAAATTTTCTTTTGGTGCAAAGTAAGTCCTGTAAGCAGGAATGCTACAGCAGTGGGTGAAACTGTACTGTCCCCTAACTAAAGAACAAGAAGCTCTGCTAGTTCAGCATCATCATTAGGTGTTAAGGAAAGGATTGAAATATACATAATTTGCAGAGCAAGGTATGTCCATTAGTCCATAGCAATATGTAACTGAGATGTCTCAAAGACCGGAAAATTTCAGCTGTAATTCCTTTTATGGAGTTGAATATCTTAAGCAAATTGAACAGCAAGAAAACCTTTAAATAGAGAAAGTTATGACTACATAACTTTCTAGCATATAACTTCTTTTCTAGCATATAACTTGTATTCTTGACAATCAATTAGAGATCAATCATTGGGTATGTTATTGAACAAGAGTGAATAATACTGTAGGGAGAGAGAGGTTTTAAAAATCATTAATGATGGGTCACAAACACAGTCGTAGCACAGCAATTTTTACATGCTCTCACCTCAAGTACTTGTTTAGGCATTCAGGAGTAGTGTGTCATTACCGCAAATCAATGAACTTAAAAACCTAACCTATTCCCTTTTTGTAATAGACCTGAAATATACAGCATGGCTACGACAGTTCATATAAAACAATGATGAATAAGTAGAAAGTTAAGCTTCAACTGTCTGTGTCAGGGTTATTTCAGAAATAATTCTCCTACTTGAGCACGTTTTCATCCTTCCAGAAAGCTGCAGTAAAGATATAAGACTTACTGAATTATGACATAAGGGAAGGTTTACCTGAGAATCTCCCTCAGAATGAAGTGAATTCTTTTTAGGCTGTGTTCTGTGTACAACTAATTTACAACTTAGCTTGCTGCTAAGTTAAAGGACAAGTTTCAGCACACTTCTCCCCATCTCACTATGCAGACTTGTCCTTGCACTAACTGTCAGCATGCAGTTTAACTTGCTAGAAAAGCAGAAAAAATTGCTTTCCTTCTTGGGTTATTTTCATGCCATTTATGTGAATTAGATTAACCTATCCTATATTAGACAAGCCAGCAGGAGTGACAAACATGAAACCAGAAATAGAAAACAAATTTAATTCCTCAGATCCTAGTCAGAATTGATCTTTCAATCTGAAACTTCCTCTGTTCCCCATTTTCTGAAAGAGGATCTGTTCATTTTTCTTCTTTCCCTACTGGAAAGTTTCTCCCCCTTGTCATGCATCTCTTCCTGGTACTCTAAACACCATGTGGTTCTTCACTGGATAGTAAGCATGTCATTGCTTTCCTGCATTTGATGATTGATCAACTGACATAACTGTAGCTGTTTTGTATTAATTGCTGTGTACCTCTGTGTATACATGGATGTGGTGATAATGAGCTATTGACTGTGATGTTATTTAACAACATCTTCTTGTTAAATAGTAACCTTGATGTTATTATTTAAGAACTGTTGTGACAAAGTGTTCGGAAAATCTTTTTCTTCTTATGATTACAGTAATTTAATTATTTTGTCTCCTTGGCCTCCTTGCTCCTCACTTGCCATGCAGGATGTCATGGAAACCTGTGAGCTGCTAAAAACATCTTTAACCTTTGCACGGTGCCATCATCTAGTGGATCCAGAGCCATACATTCATCTCTGTGAAAAAGACATCTGTTCCTCTACCTACAGCATGAATTGTCACTGCTTAGTGTTTCTTGATTACGCAAGGAACTGTGCTCATGAAGGAGTGATTTTGGATGGGTGGCCTGAAGAGAGCTCATGCAGTAAGTTGGCAGGATTATTCCCAAGTTACTTATCCTATGGAGATCATGCCTGTCTTGAAGATTTATGTGTTATAGCTAAGAACAACTGATGCTTTTTTAGGGTGTTGATTAAAGCAGGCAGGTTAAACTGTGAAGTGCCAATCACTTCAATTTATTTGAAGTGCCTTTGCTTGCTCTCCATTCCAGCCCCCCATCATGCACCCGTTTGCTAAAAGTTTTCCCTAAATAAGGGGTTGTTTGAACCACATACGAAGATCCTAAACTTCTTATAGATTTATCTGATCACTCTAACTACAACATCTGAGGAAGTGCGGGATAGATGAGTGGACAGTGAGGTGGGTTGAGAACTGGCTGACTGGCAGAGCACAGAGGGTTGTCACTGGCGGTGCAGAGTCTGGTTGGAGACCTGTAACCAGCGGTGTTCCCCAGGGGTCGGTGCTGGGTCCAGTCCTGTTCAACATCTTCATCAATGACCTTGATGAGAGGATAGTGGCCACCCTCAGCAAGTTTGCTGATGATACGAAGTTGGGAGGATTGGCTGATACACCTGAAGGCTGTGCTGCCATTCAGCGAGACCTGGACAGGCTGGAGAGCTGGGCAGTAAGAAACCAGATGAGGTTTAACAAAAGCAAGTGTAGAGTCTTGCACCTAGGGAGGAATAATTGCATGCACCGGTACAGGTTGGGGGATGACCTGCTGGAGAGGAGCTCTGCGGAGAGGGACCTGGGTGTCCTGGTGGACGACAGGTTGGCCATGAGCCAGCAGTGTGCACTTGTGGCCAAAAAGGCCAATGGCATTCTGGGGTGCATTAAAAAGAGCGTGGCCAGCAGGTCGAGGGAGGTGATCCTCCCCCTCTACTCTGCCCTGGTAAGGCCTCATCTGGAGTACTGTGTCCAGTTCTGGGCTCCTCAGTACAAAAAAGACAGGGATCTCTTGGAAAGAGTCCAGCAGAGGGCCACAAAGATGGTGAAGGGCCTGGAGCATCTCCCCTATGAAGAAAGGCTAAGTGAACTGGGTCTGTTTAGCCTTGAGAAGAGAAGACTGAGAGGGGACCTGATCCAGGTCTATAAATATCTGAGGTGTGGGGGGCAAAGTGGTGAGGCCAGACTGTTTTCAGCAGTGTGCGGAGACAGGACAAGGGGAAATGGCCAGAAGCTGGAGCATAGGAAGTTCCGCACCAATGTGCGCAAGAACTTCTTTACAGTGAGGGTGACGGAGCACTGGAACAGGCTGCCCAGGGAGGTTGTGGAGTCTCCTTCTCTGGAGATATTCAAGACCCGCCTGGACGCCTACCTGTGTGACCTGGTGTAGGGATCCTGCTTTGGCAGGGGGGTTGGACTCGATGATCTCTGGAGGTCCCTTCCAACCCCTACGATTCTGTGATCTAGAATGTTCTATTTTACATGCAGCTCATATGTGTGATCTCATCAGTATCATCATGAACAGCACTCTCTACTGTTTAGTAAAGACAATTATTTTTCTTTGATTTACCTAAAACATCAGAATTAAGATATTGAGTTTTGACAATTTTTTTTCTCTAGGTAAGAGATCCTGATTGGATCTTGAAATATTGCATTTATTAACTTGGTTTTCTGAGGTCTTGATTGCAATACCTACTGAAATTTTGTAAAGAAAGAAGTACTTAAATTGACTAAGATTTTATAGAAGTAAGATCATGTTTGCCCCAACCTGCTGGAATTCATATAGGTACACAACTCTACCAAAGAACCTCAGTGTAGCACAAAACAATAGAGCAGTGAAGCCTCAGGCTATAGTGAGTGAGGATCTGCTCAGAAATAAGAGAAAGAAACTGCTTACCTTCAGAAGACCTGTAAGACCCTTAAGTAAGCAGAGATCTTTAGATGAGATATCTGAACTCCACTGCCAAACCTTAAAAAAGTCCAGGAAGGGATGGATCCTGGCTCTACTCCTTCCCTTCATGCTCTCCTGGACTGGCTCTGCTTTCCTATCAAGTTCTCAATCACTATTCAAGCCATGACTTAGCATTTTGACTACACCCAGTTAAGTATTTATATGTACAAATGAGTAATAATAAAGATCATTCTATATGTATTCAATGATACATATATTTTTTTCCATGCTGCTTATGTTACATAGAAAGACCAGTTTTTTTCAGTCTATTTGTAGTTATTCAGCATAATGATAGCCCTACAAGCGAAATTTCTTTTCTGGTAAACAACCAGAAAATACCGCCTTCAGATTATAATTAGGACTGGAAGATATTGCTTATGAAAGGGATTGTACACCACAACACAAACTCTTAATTCTTGAAGTAATTTATTACCTTACCATTGGGATATGAAGAGGATCTAACTAATCTCTTTGCTCAGGATGCAAGCCAGAGTACCCACTTAAGCTAAGGCTCTCTGTAAATCTTGCTAAAGCCATGAGAGAATATCTCTGTTCCTAGAGCTCATTTCTTATCCTTGACGTCACAAAAGTTTTTTCCAAGTCAGAAATACTACCCATGCCTGCTGCCACAGCAAGAGATTTATTTTATGACTCTTCATCTGTGCTATTGCACTGTCTTAGATAATGGTAATAATTTTATGTATTGGAGGCATGACATGAACAGAAGGACAGTGGTGCTGTGCATGCTTCATTTCTGCAAGCGGGTGCTTGAGACCTCATGCCATAGAAGACAAGGCTGTTCCTTCATTACCCTCCCATCTCCATCAGTGGAGGATTTGTTGGGATAGGGCTAACTCTAGTCTGTCCTTCCCACTCAAAGCCCATGCAGTTTTCTATGCATTAGAATGAACAAATGGTTCATATAGTATGTGCATACATAACAGTCTTGCCTACAAAATATCAGCTGTAGGGATACCATAAAGTAGCAGAAATGCTAAGTCAGGGCTTGGAACAATGATTGAGTGCATGGTAGGAAGGCAGGGCCAAGCCAGGATTGCTCAGGTACATTCAATGTACCTCAGTGACCAGAAGGGATGGAGCCAGGATATGCCCCTTCCCGGACCTCATTTAAAAGTTGGAAATGGTGGCAAAGGTATCTTACCAGAGATCTGTGTGTACCTGAGATGTTCTGATGGTAAGCAGCTTTTTTTTTTTCCTCCTTTATTTTGGTGCCTACAGCTGTTGCATTTAAGCAGCTCCTCACTTGCTGCAGCCTTCTATTTTCCTGTTATTGCTGTGATTTTCATTGTATTACACTCAAGTATGCATGTTAGTCTGAGCTGTGAATTCTTTAGAAAGAATGGGATTTTGTAGACTTAAATGTTTCCTAGTTCTTTCTGGAAACAAAAAACATCAGGGTAGTTTTCTAAACAAATAGGGCAACTGAGCAGTTCAAAGGTATGGAAAGTGCTTGTCTGTCCAAATTTCCTAGATATTGTTGTGAAACTTCTTCCTGTGTTTAATTTTTCTTAATGTAGTTGGCTTTAGTTAATAATGCTTGGTTTATTAAAGGCTGTAGTGGAATTGCTGGGTCACAGCTGATCCAGTGGTTGAACACCAAGTGAGAAGGTGTGGCTAACCTAGGGAGCTCAGAAGGAAGCAGTGTACCCGAATGACTGGAGCCTGGATCTATCCTTCCTCACTCTCATTTAAAGAGTAGCAACAAAGAGGGTGGCATCTCTCAGTAGGGATCATACTCCTCTTGAGCTGTCACTCCTTGTGGAGAGGGGTGAGCTTATTTTCCTTCTTCATTACCTATTATTATTCTATAGTACGTGTATCCCATTTGAAGGCACTGTGTTATCTTATTTTGCTCTACAGAGGTTGATGTCTGTTTCTTTTCTAAATGTTTATTATATGACCTAATGTATGATGATGTTGAAAACTGAGTGTTCTGTGTCTAAGAAAGAAATATATATATATATATATATATATATATATATATATATATATATATAAAACACTTTCTTGGCATTTCTGTGTTTTAGGCTTTGGTAATTAAGAAAACTTATTTAAGAACTGCTCAGGAATTTGCACTTCTAATTTTTCTTTCATTATTTCAGAGCCAAGATGTCCAGTTGGCATGGAGTATAAGACATGTATATCTCCTTGTGCTAAAACCTGCCAGAGCCTGGATATCAATGAAGTGTGTCATGGGCAATGCGTTGATGGCTGCAGCTGCCCTGGTAATTTATTTACTGGGTTGTTTACAGGGAAATGTTTGGCAATGCTACTACGTACTTTGTTAGAAGAAAGAAAGCTGTGTCTTCTCTTAAGTATTCCTGAAATCAGAAACACTTCTCTTATCTGGGACCAAGCCCTAGAGTAAGCCAATTCCAATACTGCCTGAATATTTCATGAAAGGGCCATTTTTTAAGACTTAACTATAATGTCATATGAACATCAGTGCTATTTAATCATCTTAAGATTGCCTTTCATTCTTGGTGAGCAGCTGCATACTAGTGCAATATCTAGATCTCTTCTGGACTGTTTTTCTCTGGAAATTAGAGGAAGGAAAAAGAACATACGGAATGTGTTTCATTAAAAAAACATCACATATAGAACTTGCTTTCCATTTCTAAAAGTCGTCAGTGTTTTAGATAAATGATTTTACTTACTACTGAATCCTTTGTGGAGGAGCTTTTATTAACTTAAAGGTGGCATCCCAATGACTGCTTTTGTTTTGTTTTAGTTTTCCTTCTCTGTTTACTGTGCATAACATAACTGCAGGAGGAGAGTTAGAGTCCTGGCTCCCTTTACTATCTTCTTCATTGTTATTATTTTGAATAGTGCTACCTCTTCATTTCAGACCTCAAACGTGAGTCGATATGAATGTGCAGATGTATTTACTGTCCTGTACTAAGATACAAAATATGACTGAAGTTTTATGGAGTGTGTCATTTGATTTCCAAAACAAGGCAGTAATGATGAGTAAACCTTGTCAGAGGAGAAACTAATGCATTCTAAAACACTACTAGTCAGAGCTCTCATTTAGCTGCTTATCTCTTGTGTATTGTAGGTTTAAAGCTGTCACTCCATGGCAGGACCTGGACACATCCATGGGGAAGTTGACAGGAAATAGGCAGACAATTGTATTTTGTTGCATAGGAGCTAGGTATTATATGTTTTTTTTATATTCCTGGGAGTGCTGGGAGAAACTGAAGGAACTGAATCTACCAGCTCTGGAGGTCTCTGGCTGTTCTCCCTTCTGTAGCTTCTCTGATCAGTCTGGAACATAAAAGGTGTAAGGGTATAGAAACTGAGGAGCAGAGAGACAGAAGCTCAACAGAAAGGGTACTGCATGAGAAATATGTAAATTACTAGAAGAAACCATATGACAGGGAGTAGGAATTGACAGTACATATGTGTCACTGTCATTGGTGACTTCAGAGAAAAGGGTCAAAGTCTCTCTAGGCATTTGTAAGGATTCTCTCATAGAAGAGGGAAAGGAATTTCTAGCAATCATATATATATATATATATTTTTTACAGCAGCTGTTCTTAAAATAGAGGAATATCAGCTACCTATCAACATGGGGATCTGAGGGAAATAAACTTGTCCTTTCTTCTACTGCTAGCTTGTGTTGTATTCCCAGACAAGTCTTTATAACTGCCCAATGACTCCAATTATCTTTGTAAGATGTATAGAATATGTAATTACAGTTACGTAATGTGGAGAATTTTAGAAACTGAATTCAAGTTGGGAAGTTAGACCTCTCACTTCCTTGTTTCTGCAGCAGTTGGGAGGAGAAACTGCATCTCTACATCATAATGTATGTTTATTACAGAACCTGTCTCGTGGAACAGTGCCTTCCCTGTGTTCTAAGACAGCTAAAAGTATACTGCCTGCAAAGGCTTCTTCTATTGTTTACTACTTCTGATAGATGTTTTTGTTGTTGTTGTTCAACTTTGTTCCTTTGTTCCCTACTTTGTTTTTTTCTTTTGTATTTTTGCAACAAATACAAAACCTGTCTGGACACTCTTTACTTATAGATAGGTCTGTTAGCTCTCAGGTTTATGCTTTGCACTTGATCTATGTATGTATATAATCCAGAACATCCAGAGCCCCCTTTTTTTTTTTTTTTTTTTTTAAATAAATTCCTAGATTATGTAGGAAACTTCCAAATAATTTTTGTCAGGACGGTATCTCTGATAAAAACAGATTTTATTCGCGATTGCAATGGCGGGAGTCCCGCAAGCAGGAGCGCTGTCATAAAGATGACAGTCTTTATACCCTGTTTCCCCATTGTGAACCTGGGGTACCCAGCCAATCTTATCAGTTTACGTTTGTTGATTAGTGTGTTATCTGGTGTCAGTCAGTAGCCATCCTGTTGTTTCTGAGGTGTCTCAGTGCTCTTCTTGTTGTATTGATATGGTGATTGTCTCCGAAGTCTCTGTTAAACAAAGAGCACCGGGGGGGGGGGGGGGGGGGGGGGATGGTGATGCCAGACCTTCCGATTGTCTCTTCAGGCACTTCCGTGCCTTGTTCTCTGGTTTTATCTCATGCAGGATATTCTTGCAACGTGTATGACAAAATATACATATATACACCTATATACAGAGCGTGCATTCCTGGGAAGGTTTGTCTAGAGGATAAGCAATCTTCCCCAAGTAAAGTAGAAGGACTCCCAAAAAGAACTATGACAACGGAGATCATGAAATAAAAAAATATTATCCAATTCTAATGCAGAAACAACATCTGATTCCCACAATTAGCTCAGGTCATATTTGATCATGTTCCCCATTTTTGACTCCTGTGTGTTCCGGTATTTGTTTTGAACTCATGAATTGGCTGAACACAGAACTTCTTTGGGAGCACCAGAAACATACCATTTTGCACATCTGTGGGAGAGGCAACACTGTAAGGAAAGTAGAGATCTGCCTCCACGAGGCATTTTGGCAAGCCACGTTCTTTTTAATTCATGACTAATTACAGATGATAATGTTTTGAAGTCTTGCCAAAATATATGAAGAACTAGAAAATCTAATCCTGTTTATGTTTGTGTCCCTGTGTGTTGTGTGTATGTGCTGTTACCTGATGCATCCAGAGGGGAAGCTCCTTGATGGTGAACATTGTGTTGAAAGCTCTGACTGTTCTTGCATCCACTCTGGAAGACGTTATCCTCCTGGCTTCACCATCTTTCAGGACTGTAACTCATGGTAAATTCAGTGTTCTGATATGGTTACTATTGCTCTAGAGTACTGGGTACATTTTTGGTGACTGTTTTAGATGATCAGGGTCTCTCTGTATGTGATGATGATTTTTTTCAAAGTATTTATTTTCATTGGCATAGAGTCTGGTCTCTTATTGGAAATGCTACCCCCTTCTTAGAAGTGAGCTGTTCACAAATACAAAACAGCCCTGCTTTTTGAGGGATGTGTGTGCTTGTGTAACAATGTGAGGGTCATACTTCAAATAGTAGAGAACTATCTGTTTCCTGTGGATAAGACAGACTGGCGGGCTCCCATCTCTAATTGATGTCAGTGGTGGTGTCTTTGTTTTGACTTCCCACATTTATTTAACCTCTACACCTGATTTCTTTCAAAGAGGTGCTAGCTCAGGCATGTGTTTTGAAACCTCTTAAAAAGCTGGATTTACCCAGCTGCACAGCTCACGATTTTTCTTTCACTTGTGAATACAAATCTGAAGAGGAAGGCTGGCTGCCTCAAGAAAGGAAAGGAAATGAGTAATGTATTCCTGATCTGATATGTGTAAGTGCAAACATGTTTGTGAATGGAGTTCAGATAACACTGTGCTCAGATATTTACAGTTAAACTAAAGAAGGAATTAGTTAAGGCCACCATACAGAGAAGGAAGACTGTCTATGTGCAGCTTTCCATTATCAGCAACATGTGTCACAGAATATGAACCATAATAATAACATTAGCATTCCATCTTTTTTCCTGCACCTGTCTGCAGCTTTGAGGTTGGCCACACAGTATTCCATACACCCATAATATTCTTGAAAGGTTAATGCTGCCTAATAGGTTGTATTGTTAGAAAACGTTTCCTGTTATTCAGAATTGATAAAGCTGTTGTCCTATCGGCTCTGTGTTCACCATCTTAAGTAAATTGACTCCCCACAACTGCTTTTCAAGGGCTGGAATAATTAAAGGAATAAAAAGAGTAGCATCTATTGAAACCCACTTTTTTGTTGGTTTTTTTTTTGGATATTCTGGGCTGATAGGCTTGTTGTCTCAGAGACCCAAGAATGATGGAAATCTCAGTCTGAGTGCCTGTGGCTGGTTACTAGTAGCTCCTCTGGGGGGCTGCACTAAACTCACCACCCAAAGACATTAAAACAGATAGTTGCCCTTTTTATGCAAGTTGCAAGAACATCTAAGTGAAGGAAGCTTAAGTAAACAGTGTGCAAAGTGATAAAGGTCTTGGTTTGCATAAATCAAGCCAGCAGGTAAGAGACAGGGCTTCTTGCCCTCAGTGTTGAACTCAAGAGGCTACGCCTGGAGTAGCATAGCTGGTGCTGGGCCCTACTGCAAGAGGCAGAATGAAGAACTAGAGAGTGACTGGGGAGGAGAATTGGATTTGTCTAAAGGCTAATAGGTGAAACATTCAATATATAAGGGAGAGTGGAAGGGAAGACACAAGCAAATGGCAAAGGTGATTTAGACAAATTGTCTAAATGGAATTCCCCTTAGCACATGAGGAAAAAAATTATCTTCTGAGATGGTACAGCACTAGGGCAGCTGTCCTGAAGGTCCCTGGGATATCATCCTAGAGATTTCTAATTTCAAAGGGGTCCTGAGCTATCTTTGACCCAGTTTTGCAGTTTCACTCTGAACTAAGTGTTGTAGATAAAATTTCCAGAGGTCAAAGTATTTTTCTCTCCATGATTCAGTCATATCAGTAGACATATCTTGAGAATTGGTTTTAAAACTCATTCTACATCAGTAGAATATGAAAACTCTATTATACGTATGGCTATGGGGGGGGGGAGGGGAAATTAAGCTACTTAAGTTTTGTAAATATTCCAGTCCATATTACCAGCTGTTGCTGTCAAATGATTGTAGAAGCGATAAGGGAGTGGACATATTATATTAGGAAACAAGATTATGGCAGATGGAAAGGATGCTGGTCTAATTTCCATAAAATGAGAGTCTGTGTTTCAATTATTTGTGGGGAAAAAAATTTAATTTGCAAATTACTGCATAACTGGTAACTCTGTTTTGTAGCATTTGTCGGCATGGCATCTGGATCTGCAGTAATGGGGAATGCCCAGGTATGTTGGTCCTACAGTTCTTAAGTTTTAGCAAGTGAGTAAATGTTATCCACATCCTTTCCACTTGCATCCTACTTTTTTTTTCTTTCCAAGTGAAGGGTGACTTTGTCTTTGCTCTTACCTGCTTGTTCCAATGCAATGAAGATGAGATTGTATTTCAGTTCTCCTTGTGAGACTAAGCAGATATTGTACTGTATGTATAGGACCACTGTCTGGTGGGGGGAAAAAAAGAGGCTGCTCTTTTCCTTTTTTTTTTTTAAGGATCTGTGTCATCAGAGGAACACTGCTGTTCCTTCAGCAAATAGCCAGTACAGACCCAGCACCTGAACTTCTTCCCACCTTGTTTGCAGTAGGAATATCTCTGTGTAATACTCATATGAAATAATTTGTTTGCAAGCTCTTTCCTATGTGTTTGCAGAGACTGTGGCATATCAAGATACTACCACCCAGTAGTGGTGTCTAAATGCTGCTGTCTTGGAAATGAAGAGCCACAGCTTACAGAAATATGTTAAGATGCTGAAATGTTTAGGTAGCTTCTTTTTGTAGCAGGAGTGTGGAAACATCAAATTTCTGTATTATTCAGTTAGTACTTGTACATATTGTAAATACTGATTGCTGGCCCAGTCTTTGGATGCAGATGTGTCACACTGGACTAAGTAAAAGTGTTTTTCAAGTGTTCTAGTTTGAGATATTGCAAGCCCCTGCATCAGTTTAAGCGGCCATGTGGTCCAGCGCACAGCACACTAGTGACAATGGGGAATCCCAGCTTCCACAACAGGGTGTAGCCGCCTTAGGCATTAGCACTGTCACTTGTACAGAAGGAAATTTGTTGCTACATAAAAGTGAATGCCATCAGTATCATGTTGGTTTCAAACAAAAATACTTCAAGAGAAATTTCAATTCAATTCTTTCGTTCAATAAACTAGTTTACTTAAACTAGTGTAATTTGTATATGACCTAGCTGGCAGAAACCTTGAGAAACTGTGCTGATTTCCCAGGGCCACACTGACATGCTACAGAAGAATCAAATTCACTTCAGAACCAGGAGCTAAGCTGTTCTCTGATATAATTATAAGCTAGCCTTTGAAGCATTATACTTCATTATAAGCTAGCTACTTTGAAGCATTTTCCATGGACAGGATTTCATTTCCTGAGTGTGACTGATGCCATATTTCCCTGCTTTTGTTGGTGCTATTGTTGCTACTAGTAATGACTTACAGGAATAAACAGTGAGATAAGCATCTTGTCCATACTCTCTGGCCTTCAGGGGATGTGGGCTCTGTGCAGCCATCCAGCTACTGTTCCCCTTCTGTGACACAGTGGGCAGGATTTGCGTTACAGCCAGCACTGGGGTCATTAACTGCTCTATGCAATTTTCTAGGGGAGTGCTCTATCACTGGCCAATCTCATTTCAAAAGCTTCGACAACAAGCACTTCACCTTCAGTGGGATTTGCCAGTACTTATTTGCCAAAGACTGTGTGGAAAACTCATTTTCTGTTATCATCGAGACTGTCCAGGTAACAACAGTTTTGGCTCATGCCTGTGTGTACACTCTGGAGTGAGCAGGAAGGGCTGTGGGAGTATGATAGGAATTGCATATAGTCAGGACAACAAAAGTAATTTTCCTATGGAATAGTTCAAATAACAGATGAAGTCTTTTTCCTTGGATAATAAACATTTTGCCTTTTCTCATTATCATTTCCAGTAGCCTACCAGGAGATTCAAATTAACAGTGCAATTTAGAGGATCAGCCTCCTCTTCCTCTGTCAACTAAGCAAGTACAAGTAGAAGAGGCTGTGTCCTTTCCTGAGCACCCTGGAGGCTGCTGCTCATTAGTGCCTATGGAAAACAAGTTTCCACAGACACTGAGTAGGGTGCATTGACTGAATGGTTATGTGGTCATAATAGTTTTTGGTCATGCTACTGGGTCAGCCTGATGTCTATAGGAGGCAGTGTCCATCAATAAAACTATCAAGATGCTTATTGCCTCCTGAATAACAGGCTGATATTTCTTTTGTGGGCCCAAGGTGGAGTCATGAATAAAGCAAAATCTTGAGATTCAAAGCAAATTTTTTTTCTCTGTAGTGTGCAGATGATCCTGATGCTGTGTGCACTCGCTCTGCTTCTGTCCGAATCCGAGATATGGACAACAGCCTAATAAAAATGAAACATGGAGGAGGAATTTCACTGAATGGACAAGACATACAGACCCCTTTGTTACAAGGTGTGTGTGTGTGCAAGGGGTTAACTGGTGAGCTATTGAAGGGATCCCCCTTTATTAGTCATCTTAGGTATAGTTCAATCAGAAAGTGTTTTCCATATCAAATTCTCACTTGCAGCCTCTATTTCTGTGTACTGAAAGTTCCAGCTTCTTTCTGTGAAGCTGACACATCTTGGGTCAGCAGTTCTAAAACTAGGAGGATTAAGATGGTTTCAATTTGGGGGATGTGATGTTGAAAACTGCCATTGGTCTATTTTTAAAAGTTGTTATTTTTTAACCTGGAAGCTTAAAATCCCACAAGTTATCTAACAAAATGTCACAATTAATACCTAATTTTTTTCAGAATATGCATACATCTTCCTCTGGGGCTCCTGAGCAGGTGTTATGGACAAATTCATGCACGTGAGCTGATTAGCAGGCACAAAACTTTGAAAGTAGAAAGGGGGGCTAGCTGGTGCTCCTCCTCTCTGGCAGCCACCCCACTGTCCTGTTCAGAGAACCTCAGCAGTCCCATGGATTGAGTGCTACATCTGGTCTTGACTGATACTTTGTGGTTGCCTTGAGGTGCCCTTCGGATCCAGCGTGTGGTGAGGACTTCAGTTCGCCTTACCTATGGGGAAGATTTGCAGATTGATTGGGATGGCCGTGGTGAACTGCTGGTGAAGGTACTCTTTCATTCTGTCTCGTTTATTTCTGCCTTCCTTCCACCTCTCTCAACCCACCCAAACATATACAGTGGCTTGCTTTGTGCCATGAGAAATTGCTTTTCATTGCATGCTAGAAATACCATTCTCCTTTATACTTCTTGAGCAATATATAGGTCCTTTTGTATTCCAGAAAACATTTCCATCCCACAGCAGACTTTTTTCTCCTTTTTGTGCAGTGGCAGCCATTATTAACAAGGAATACTTGTGTTTTGTTCAGCAGATGCCCTTCAAACTGTATTTTTTGTTTTCATTGAATTTAACTGTCCTGCCTTATAGCAATAGATTCATATGACTTTATAATAAGGGATGAAGGTGACTCTAGGGACAGTTATAACTATGGAAATAACTCCTGGAATAACATATATAGAGCTATGGATGAATAACATATATAGAGCTATGGATGAATAACATATATAGAGCTATGGATATATATATCCATAGTTATTTCCGGGAAAGATCAGTTAACTCATACAATATATGATGCATGCTCCTTCTTTTATGAGGAATGTTTAAAGTCAGTCTTGATTAACCACAAGGATTTGTCTGTGCTGCAGACAGCAATAGCATGGAAATGCTCAATCCGGGTTTAAAATAAGTGAACTGTAAGGGAATCTATTGAGCAGAAAGGGCAGAAAGCTTCAAGTAACACGCTTTATATACGAATGTGTGTATATTTTGGTCTGTTGTTATTTGCAGAATAAGTTAGAATGCAGAAGAGCCTGTGAGGGAGGGGAAAGAAGGCTGTTTACTGTGCAATGTTCTCCTGATAGCTGACCAGCCAACACACACCTCACTCTTACAGTGGCTTTTGGAATTGCTGGAATGTTTAACTTGTGAAACACCATGCCAACATATAGTGCAGCTTGAACAGATGAAACAGGATCTGGGCTGAGTTATGCAGGAGGTCAGGTTAAATAGCTAAAGTGGTTGTCTTTGCATCTGCCAAGAAGGTAAATGACAAACTAATTTCATGATCCCCTTCCCTAACCAAGCTGTCCATCATCCTTTAGCTCTTACCTGAGTCTGTTTTTCTTCAGAATGGTAGAGTCTTGAGGACTACAGACATTGTCTTTAAGAATCTATTTTCTCCCTCAGAGCTGCAGTCTGCCTGTGGTGTTTCTTCCTGGTGTACTAATCCCTAGGTGCTAAACCAGCTGGGCTGGCTTGTCAGACCTGCATTCTTATGCTCTGTTCATGTGGAGAATCTCCAAATAACCACAAACCTGGCTGAGCCTGAGGCCCTCTTGTAGCTAGAGTTCTGCAGTCACCTTCAGTTACTACCTTAATTTGTTTTGTATTCAAAAGTTGTCCTGCAGCTATTAATAACAACATTCTTGTGAGCAGTTAAAGAATGTAGTACAATGAATGTAGTGCTGTGTGATATATTCTAGAGTTTCCTTAGTTAATTGCAAATGGTTCATTCCTTAGAAAATCTTGCCCTACAGTGATTACCTATTCTGGAAGATGGCTGGGCTAACATTTGTGTTCCTTAGGTATCTCTAATATATACTGAAAGGATGTGCGGCCTGTGTGGAAATTACAATGGTAACCAAGGGGATGATTTTCTTACTCCTTCTGGCTTGGTGGAAGTTCTTCTGGAAGATTTTGGAAACTCTTGGAAACTCAGTGCAGACTGTCAAGACTTGTTAAAACAAGACAATGACCCCTGCAATCTCAATCCTCATTTAGGTATTGAATTCCCTCCAATATTAACATGTGCTGTTGTTCAGCAACCTGTGATATTCCATCTTAAATGGAAGAGGAACAAAAAAAAAAAAAAAGAAAGAGGGGGTACCCCAAATACTAATTGATGCAGGTTTCTTTTGGATAATGTACTGTTTTCTGAAAATAGAAACAAAAATCAGTAATGTGAGGTCATGCTGCCATTTAATTTGTACGGTAGTGTTAGACCACCACATCTGCTGCGCAAGTGTATGTCACTAAAACTAATCATACAACTGATAGCGATTCTGTCCACCTACAGGATAATGACAGCACACTTGTTCTCTTCACCCCTCTGCCCTTACACATCATATACTTTCCCTGATCTCTTGACTTCTTGCTCTTACCCGGTCTGAACTGACAGGCTCCCTCTTTCCCTCTGTAGTGCCTAACTGTTCTGCTTGGACTGTGGATGTATTCTCAGAGACGTTTTCTCATGCCACGTATTACAACAGTCTCTGATTTCTGGGATGAACAAGAACACGGAGAACTTCATTGTCATAGACCAGAGTAGGCACTGTTGATTTAAGAGTGTAGTATAGCCTAGTGGGTTTAATTCTGCAAATATAAAAATCAGCATAAAGCAGGGGCCCTGTAAAAGTAACTACAGTACCACAGATAGTGGTAACAGAATATAAAAGTATTGCTTTTCCTTGTTTTGTTTTATTAATGGAACATTATTCTTTGAGTGGAACTCATGATCTATGAGCTATCTATGCCTACTTGATCTGATATTATTCTTCTGGATTTTTGTTGTTGCTTTTGTCCTATGAAAGCAAAAAAAAAAAAACAAAAAAACCCCAAAAAAAACCCCCCAAAAAACCAACCCAACAACTCAATTACTGTGGTTCTATTTTTTTTTTTTTTTCTTGAAAGCACTGATTTCACATATTTTTTCTCTTTTCTTAGCCAAATACGCTGAGGAATCCTGCTCCATTTTGATATCTTCTGTTTTTGAACCCTGTCACCATGAAGTCAGTCCTACTCCCTATGTGAAGAACTGCCATTTTGATGTTTGCTCTTGCTTCAGTGGCAAGGATTGCTTGTGCTCCTCTATTACTAACTATGCAACAGCCTGTGCTAGGAAGAATGTTGTGGTCCAGTGGAGAGCACCTGATTTCTGCCGTAAGTGAAATACTCCTAAAAATTGCTTGTTTTTGTTTTCTCAAAAGAACTTCTTAGAAATATTGAATGGTAAATAGAACACAACTGTAAACATTGAAGGTATTCTTAATTAGATGGGATGTCTACAGCCTTCTGCTTACAACAAGGCAAGCTTATAGCAGATTTTTCTGAGGCCTTGTCTACGCATATTTTGAATATTTCAAGAACAGACATTCTGTAACTGCTGTGGCACTTGTCTCAGTGTTTGAAGAATTGCCTAGGAGATTGATTATCACGCTGCCAGTGCAGAGATCTGAGATCTTATTTTCATGCACACGATTCACCAGAATTTTCTTGGTAAATGTCATTTTGCTGACCGCCCTTCTAAATTCTAGTATGATTTGGAAGCTGGTTCAGGATGACGACCTGAGTCTGTGAATGTTAATTAACAAAAAAGAGCTTTGACTATGACACTTTATTAGAAGCTTCTCTTCCATGAGCGTCAGAAAAAATTAAGTTTTAAATTCCCCTGAAGATCACTTGCAGCATTCCACCCTTTCATAAGTGGCAATCCTGGTTCAAAGGCTAACAACTTATAAGATGAGATGCTGGCAGAATATAAAACAATTCAGAGTTGGGGAAATGGAACAACAGGATGTTTTCACACAGATCAAAAAAGATTAGAAAGCCTTGGCTTTAAGGTGAAGTCTTCAGTGACTGGAAAAAGGAAAACATCACTCTCATACTTGAGAATGGAAAGCTTGGGGAATTACAGGCCAATGAGCCTTATCTCTGTACCAAGGAAGGTCATGGAACAAATCTTCATGGAAGCTATGTCAAGGCACATGCAAGATGAGGAAATGAGCTGTGATAACCAGCATGGCTTCACTGTGGGCAGATCATGCTTGACTGACCTGGTGGCCTTTTGAGATGGAGTGATTGTTTCAGTGGACAAAGGAAGGGCAACTACTGTAGTTTACTTAGACTTCTGTAGGGCCTTTGGCGTGGTGCCGCACCACATTCTTGTCTCTAAATTGGAATGATAATGTTTTGAAGGGTGGATTATTCAGTGAATAAGGAATTGTTTGAAATGTCACAGCTGGAGTGTGTGACGAACAGCAATATGTCCATATAGAAACCAATGATGAGTGGTGTCCCACAGGGGTTTGTCTTGAGACTGGTGCTTTTCAGTGTCTTTACCAATGACCTAGACAGTGGAATGGAATGAACCCTCAGCAAGTTTTGACTAATCTGAGTGGTGCAGACAGAAGAAAGGGATGCCATACAGAGGGACATGGAGAAGCTTGAGAAGTGGGCTCATGTGAACTTAATGAGATTCAACAAGGCCAAGTACAAGGTGTTGCACTTGGGTCAGAGCAATGTCAGAGATGTGTACAGACTGGGAGAAGAACTCCTTCAGAGCAATCTTGTGGAGATCTATTTGAAAGTTCTGGTGGATTAAAAGCTTGATGTGAGCCAGTGTTCTGTTCTTGCAGCCCAGAAATTCAACTACATATTGGACTGCATCAATAGAGAGATGGTCAGCAGATGAGGCAGGTGATCATCTCCCTTTGCCATTGTGAGGCCCTGTCTAGAGTACTGCATCCAGGCCTGGAACACAAGAAAGTTGTGGAGATGTTGAAGTGGACTCAGAGGTGGGGCATGAAGATGCTGGATGCACTTTTCCTTTAAGGAAAGATGGATGGAGCTGGTCTTGTTTAGCTTGGAGAAGAGAAGATTCCAGTAATCAAAGGCAGCTCATAAACAGGAGAGAAACTACTTTTTACACAATCTGATAATGACAGGACAAGAGGAAATGGTTTCAAACCAGAAGAGGGGAGGCTTGGGTTAAATGCTAGGAGGAAATTATTTACTCAGAGGATAGTGAGGCACTGGAACAGCTCGTTCAGAGAAGTTGTGAATGCTTCATCACTAGAGGTGTTGAATGAATTGGAATTAGATTGAATGGATTGGAATTAAATGGTCTTTAAGATCCTTCCCTGCACAAGACATTCTATTGTTCTATGATGAGTTTAATGCAAGATTAATTAGGAAACTACTAACAAGCTGGAACAGAAAGAGAATGCATTTTTAAATTTCTTACTTTTCTCTTTGGATGGTATTATAAACAAAAATCCATTGCAATGAAATTTGCTTGGCATGGGCACACTTTTTCCCATAAGTATTTGTGAAATGATTTTTTTTTCCATAGTGATCTATCTTTTAGGGAATGGGGACTCTCCTGAAGGGAGAGCGGGAAAAACATTCATAAATTGAGTGTGTAGAAGCTATGGGGAAGAGAAAGAAAAAGGTCACTGGTGTTCCACTTAGTAAGATCTGTATCTGTAGGGTTTGTGGCTACAGCTTCTGCAGGCTGGATAGCCTTTATTGCAAGTGAGAATGAAATGGATTTACATACTGCATGATTTCAAAATATTTTACCTAATTTAGGGAAATGTTCGGCTAGTGGAACTGCAATGTAATAAATATTTTAAAAGCGTGCAGATTTGGAGGCTGAAAGAAGGAGAAGCAATAATGCCCCGTTGTCCTTTCTGCAATTGAACAAGTGGATTTTCACAATTAATCTTTAATAGTGCAGCAGTGCTTCCTTTTCTCTGTACATTAGAGTTCTCATCATTACATTACGATGTTCTCATCAAGTGATGTTTTCCCTGATTACAGATCCATCAGTTCCCATTAAACAATCCTGATGCCCCAGGCATCTCCTGTGTTATGAAGGAGAACAGTCTCCCTGTTAATGGGCTCAAGATGTGAATGTGCGATTTGTGTAATTTGTATTAAAGGGTCGGTGCACAGAACACCAGCTCTGTTCCTGTGCTGGTGAACTGTGATTCAGTTTCTTGGGAAATGGCTGGTTAGTACTAGTTTACCAAGTGAGCTGGCTCCTGCCTTTACAGCCTTCTGTGAATAAGCAATAGAACCAATCTCTTTGTGATGCGTGGAAGGAATATTTAGGCCATAATTTCAAGGTCTGTGTCTCTGATGCATATGTGCTTCATGTATGTATATATGTGTGTGTTTGGTGGCAAAAAGATCCCTGTATCTTCAGATTTTAAGGTCATGTTGATCAGACTGTTTTCCCTAATGTAGCGGAGGCATGCTAGTTGCTTGTTGCCTTTGCATGGATTCTGTGAGAGGGATTTGTAAGGACTCAGCAGGAGCAGTATCTGTGAAAATCCCATGGTAATAATAACTCGTTACTCTCATCTTCTGAAATGTATTGTCATAGCTGCCACCTAATGCTAATGCTGTTGTACACAGAGGCGCTTCTCAAAACTAAGTTAATCTTCTATAGACAGAGAAGCCAATTCAGTTTTGAAGGACAAAACTAGGTCTTCAAATAATTACATTCATAATAAAAAAAACTCTTAGAATACAAGGTTTAGCTCCACAATTGCTAAGTGGATTTGTTATTCATACCTATTTCCATTAATAATTCTGACAGCATCTGGTTGTGAGGATTTAGATTTAGTTGTAGCAGGCACAAAGGCACAGACATGCATTCTAATTTTTTTCACTAAGTTGTCCTTGACTGTACTGAAAAGAAAGTGTTAATGTGAATCTGGTAACAGAAATTGAACAGAAACTGTTTCTCATTATGGATGAAATTTTGTTGTTGAATTACATTGCAGGGTTTGCAATGAAGTCCAAAAATTTATTCCCTGCACTTTGTAAGATTTTTGCTCATTTACGTAGAGCAATGCACTAGGCTTAACTTTAAGGCAAGCTGCTGTAATTCAGTGTCATGGTCTTATGATTTTTTGTTATCAGTATTCCACATTGTCACGTCATGTAGTGCACTGGGAGTTTCAGAAGAGAAGAAATGTACTACAGGTCCCAGAAAACTTTGTTGTTCTGTTTCCATTTTCCAGTCAGTGGGAAAGATAAAACTGTCTGCAAAGTTGTGAGACTTTGTGTTTTTGCTCTGTTGGAACAGAGTAATAATTTTCATTTTCAGAAACTCTCATTTACTTGATTTACTAGCTTCAATCCCAATTAACTTACATTTCTGCTATATTATATTTATGTTATAATTAGTAAATGAACTTTCCTCCTCAGATTATTCCTGCTATTTGTTGCTATTTCTTTTTCTTTCCCTTTTTGTTCCCTTTCCCTTTCTCCCCCCCTTTTTTTGGGCTGGTGGGCTTGCTGTCCCCCTGTCAAAGTTATCTTTAGACATGTGTCCATTACAGTTACTGGGGCATTGCCTGGGAAATCCAAATTGAATTTTTAATGTTAGCAGAAGATGGATTTTCTTAGAATGCCATACAAAGAGTTGCAGAGTGCTGTAGCTAGCGTTGACCCTCATAGATTAGACTGTAGGTCTGCCAGACTCTGGGCACTGTACTGTTTTTTCTTTTGGCATCATGCCAACTATGAAACTGTTCTTTATTTTAGAAGTGCTTTTTAAAGGATTAAATACTATTATGTTCAGAACTTTAATTCTTAAAATGAACTGGTTTCTTATGAAATTCGCCACTTTCTGCTTTCGATGTGTGTATGTGTGTAAAACCAACTGGAGCACTGATGGATACGCCTACCTGATACCTGTACGCTTTGTTGTATGATTGGAGTATTGGCAGTTATATCCCAGAGGAAGTAGCTAATCTTACAAACAACACAATGTTTATATAGGTTTCCATGTTTTCCTCTCAAGTTCTGTATGTTTTTTGGAATGCTAAATTGATTCTCAACCTCCTTGAGTGTATCTTCATTTACTTTATCTGGAGGAAGCCTTCCCTATACCTGAAGAATATGGAGTGGCAGAGAATATGGAGGGGCTTAAGAAAAATCTTAGGGGAAAGGGGACCTCTAGTGTCTTGGGATTTCACTTTTGAAAACCTGTGGCATCCCAAGAGCTTACACAACTATTTAAGTCAAGGATGTTGCAGCTTAGGTAGATCTGAGGAGGTAGAACTTATTCTCTTGTAAATACTTGGGCCAAAGATCATGGCATTGAGTGTATTCATCATATCTCCTATCATTCACCAGCTTCAGGTAAAATTGAATGATACAATGAGTTGTTGCAAACAATGCAACCTAAAACAGTAGGAAAGCATTTGGGAGAAGACACCTGGTTGGTCAACACTCAAGAATCTATCAATCACAATGTTCCTACCCAATTCAGCTCCCTACATACTGTAGAGGGAGATAAGCTCTGAGTAGTACATGTAAAGAGCACACTGGGAAAGTGGCTCGGGTCTTTCCAGCTTCTGGAAAGGCCAAATCTCTCCCTGGAACTGTGTTTGCTCAGGGACAACTTGGTGGGTGATACAGAAAAATGGAGATGTTCAGTGTGTACCGCAAGGGAATTCGATGTTGGGGGAGTGCAGTCAGTAATTCCATGTATTCTGTGTGTGTTTAATGCGTGTGTGTATGTTTAATGCATGTTAATAATTGTTTATTTATGTGTATATCAAGCATGATGTAGTGATGTTGAGTAAGGGGTGGAAGGTTATAGTTTTATGATGTTTGTTATTGGTATCCCACATCATTACATCATATAGTGCACTGAGAGTATCAGAAGAGATGTACTACCAGTTCCAGAAAACTTTGCTGTTCTGTTTTCTGACTGGTGGGAAAGAGAAAACTGACTGAAAGTCATGAGACTTTCTCTTTTTGCTCACTGATGGATCAGAGTAATAACCTTGGTTTTCAGAAACTCTCTCATTTATTTGATTTATCAGCTTCTGCCCTAATTAACTTGTATTTCTGTTATTATAATTTGTTAATTTTTTCATTTAGTTCAAGACCTGGTCTTCCTGATGTACATATCTTTCCACAGCAATGACCTGTCCTGAAGGCCAAGTTTACCAGCAGTGTGGGACACTGTGCAACCAGACATGCCGATCTCTGTCCTTCCCAGACGAGAACTGTGATGAATTCTGCATGGAAGGCTGTTACTGCCCACCTGGGCATTACCTAGATGAGAGTGAGGAGTGTGTACCAAAGTCCCAGTGCTCTTGTTACTATGATGGTGAGATCTTCCAGCCAGAAGATATCTTTTCGGATCATTATACTATGTGGTAAGTACAGGATTTATTGCTACACGATGTGATTTAGAAATTTTTGGATGGTTTGACTAAGTGGATTAGTTCTTCAGTTTGATTATCTCCTCTGAAAGAAGTTTAAAAGAGAACAATTTTTTTTGCCTTCAACTAAACAAATTTTGCTGTCGCATCTCTCCATTTCAAATGGCATCTTAATAAAAAAAAAAAAAGAAAAACAAAAACAGGTTATTAAGCCTTATTCTGTGAACAGTTTCTGACAGTTTGATTTGGAGTTTATTTACTGACAATGGCTACTTGTAGGCTTTCAAAATTACATTTGTGTACTGCAATACCTTTAATAAATTTTAAAACCTTGTTACTTACCAAAGATATAAATATTAAAAAGCATTTCTAATTGTTAAATTGGGTAGTGGTACACTGAGAGTAGGGATGTGTAAAGCAAACAAAGGCAATGACAGAGCCTTTATTAGAGATGCAGGTGTTATTAGAACAAGATATCAAAGAAAGAGGAATTAACTCACACCTCTCAGCAACGGTTTAGAAAAAAGGACGAGCTGAGGAATGTAGCCTTCACCAGTTTGAACTCAGATGCACCAGAAAGGGAGGGGGGAAAGAGGAACTACTCAGGCTCTGAGTACATATGTGCTTCCAGAAGCATGGCTGGAAGCACTGCTGAGATGGGGAGTGAGAGGAAGTGTGGATCTAGGCACTCCTCCCTCCCCTCCAGCTCCAGGCACCTACGTGCTGACATAGTGGTTCAGGCTTTGACCTGGCAATTCCACTGCAGGATGTAATTGGTACATGCTCATGACATACTTAGATTTGGGAATAGCGTCTTCTACTTTTCTATTCTACCACAGAAATCAATTATTGCAGGCACTTTGTGGTCCATTACCTGTCTCCACAGCAAACTTGACTATAATTATGCTCAGCTTTATGCCTGTGCATAAAAAGAACCATGCATTGGATTCAGTGGGACAGGGACAAGAGTAAAGCTGTTACCATGCTAATGCATCACTGACTGTCTCAAAGAAGTTTGACCTTTAATGCTGGTAAGCTCATTGGATGGAGAGTCAGTCCAAATTAGAGGTATAATTTTGTTACTCTCACTGGTTTCCTGTAGGCCCATCTGGCCATCTGGTAAAAGCATTGTAAGCTGGAAAAAAAAAAAAAAAGTCACTTTGTTAAATATAAACTCTGTTTTCTCTTAGCTATTGTGAAGATGGTTTCATGCACTGCAGTAAAAGTAGAGCTCCTGGTGCCTTATTGCCAGATGTTTTTGCTGATGAGAAGCCTTCTGCCAGAAGTTAGTATGCATTAATTAATATTTCCTGTTTTTTCTCCTTTTTTTGCCTTTGGTCTTCTGGTAATACAATGTAGGGAAGAGAGGTGTGTGTGTATTTTGTTACAGGATACAAATGTTTGCATGGCAGGTGCAGGGCTCATTGCGTCCCACCTCTCAAAATCATATTTAGTCACTGTACTTTCTTTGTGCTTTTAGAAGTTAAGAAATTCTTTAGTGATCTGAAGCTTCCAGTTACAATTCTAGGATCATATGACATCAGTAAGTAGGCACTTCATACCTCTTTCTCCTTGGCCAACAAGCTCTCATTTCCAGTGCATACAAACACTTTTTTTTGGCCTGAAAACTAGCCTGCTGTTGGACACTGTGCCTTCCAGCCAGCAGGCATTTCAACTTTAAATTTTCTAGAGCCTGAAAATTGCCTTACAGAGAAATCCACTGTGTTGAAAAACATCACACCAGTGGTCTTGGACTTTGTGATTTTTCCATTGATACCCAGATGGAGATCTCTAGGATCGCGATAGGAGAGGGCAATCTGAGATTGAATGTCTCTGAGAGGACAGGGATACTGGGGATTTGGTGAAGCCTGGGAAATACCTCTGCACAATCAGTGGGAATAACCACAAATATAGTATCTCCCATTGCATTCAACCAAATGCACCTGTTCAGGATATTGTGAGAAATTTTTTGGTTGATGAGTTTGAGACAAGAGTTTATCGATTGACTTTGATTCTTTGAATTAAGTGTCAGACATCCTTACTGCCAAGCTTCTAGTGGAAAATACTGCAAATCTGACTGACTGGTAACAGCATGGCAGCCTACTAAATATGTCTTCATAGACCACCAGTAACAGTAACTCCCTCAGGTTAAGACTTTTAGGAGTACATCAATACTGACCTCTCACCAAACTCATGCTTTAATGCTTCAAAGAAATAATTTTCCTAGAAATAGTTCATTAAGACAAACAAAAAATAACAACAAAGAAAGAAAACAACAGAGATCCTCAGATGTATATAGTTCATTTGCTTGAAAGAGTAACCCAGAATTCAGTAGGAAATTCTTTCAGAAATTGAAGTTTCACTTGAAGTTTCAGAATTTGAAAGTATTTTATTTATACTATGCACATTTTTATTAACAGTTGTTGATGGAAGTATGCTTGTTTTGGAGGTGAGCCTAAATGCAGTATGCTGCTGATGGATCTGAGAACATCTTTGTGATGATGCTTGTGTACACTGCCTACAGATTTAAATATGTTTCAGAATAAAGTGTACTTGCAAGCTTTAGTGCAATTTGGAGTCTGTTTATATTGGTAGGATGGTATTTACTGTAGTGCAATCACTTTGCTTCTGTGTTAGTATTCATGCTTTTGTGCTAGCCTAACTGTAGTGGTGTTGCTCTATTCTATATCTGAATTTAATTATCTAACATCCTTTAGAAAAATACTATGCTACCAATACTTGAGTTCTAAAAGAAATTTCTGTAAACTTATTTTTTCAAGTAAAAAGGAGCTTGACATGCAGATCACCCATGGTAACACTTATCTGTCCTGAAAATAACCCAAGAGCTAAAGGGTTGGAGTGTGCCAAGACTTGCCAGAATTTTGACCTGGAATGCATCAGCCATGGCTGTGTATCTGGATGCGTGTGTCCGAAAGGGATGGTAAGGAGGCTTAGTTGCACAAAATTGAAGCATACCACCTTTGTTTTCTTGCTATCATTCTTTCCCATCAGAGTTGTTTTGCAGCTTGGAAATGTGGTTGTGAGTCATTTCACAATGACTATAAAGTTATGGCTGGTTTAATGTGTCTATGTAGGTTGCTCTGGAGCTAATGCCTCTTACTTGTTTCCATGGAAATTACAACAAATACTAAGAGCACAATAACACTATTTCATAGAACAAATTCTCAACTATAGGAAGCTATATTTACTGCTATTAACTATGCATCTTCACCAGTGATGAACAAGAACTTGCAAACCACAATTGTAAAAATCTGCACCTGCAGAGGTGGCACAGTGTCTTCATTGCCATTGCTGAAACACAGCACCCACTGCTTCACTGTGCTCTCTGTGGTCTCTAAATGCCCAGCAAGTGTTGATGAATGTCAGTGAGTGCAATTTTCTCCTGATGGAGGAAATCAGTTCCATACCTTTACTTCAGTCCATGTCAGCTGCCATTTTGTCAGACTGCCCCTTTGGTGCCACCTGTCACATAGCAACAAAATGTAATGGAAAATTTGTGGGAAAGTCCAACCTCTACTGCTGTAGCACTAGTGTCCACCTCTGATGTCACAGGCCAACATAATGAAATAGGAGGCATTACTTTCAATGCAGTCCTTGTCCTAATATACAGGTGCTCATTCTTTCTAACTAATATACCTGCATAGAAGATGAAGTTTAGCTTGAGATAATAATTGATAACCAAGCAGCTAAAACGTTCTTTTTTTTAAAGATCAATTAATTCTTTCTTCATCTGTTCCCCCAAATGTTTCCTCAGTCAGGAGGGAGGGGGAGGGAGGGGGAGGGAGACAAAGGGAGGGAGAGAGAGAGAAAGGGAGAGAGAGAAGTATGCAGAAACACATAATAAAACTACCCACTCAACATCCAGCCAAGTTTTTGTAGGTATGTGTCAACTCTCTCCCTCTGCTGTAACCTTGCTACAAGACAAGTGAGCTCCCCATGTGATGGAAAGTGGAACGTGATACTTTCTAAGATAATGCCAGAGATATATTGGAATTGCAGTGTGTTGAACATGCTTTCTTGAGTTCAGGACTATGGCCTCCCTGCAACCCTTAAATTTAATTATTGTTTAAGTAATCTTTAAATTGAACAAATACTTACGGAGTTCACAGTCTGTCTTTGCAAATATCAGCTTAGAGCCCTAATCCAAAGCATCCAGTGTAGAAGGGAAAGTAAATTACTGCTATTTTTCTTTGAGTGAAAGAAAAACAATGTTCAGAGCTGTACAACAGTAACTGGGCAGGTGAAGTGTGTGTAGGATCTCACTCAGCAGTTGGGGATTGGGAGCTATATAGAGACATGTCATTGTATGAACCAGTGATTGAGCTTCTGGTGAAGAGATGGGCTAGCACTGGGAGAACAGGTGCAAGCAATTCATCTGTGTGAGACTTGGGTCTCCCCCCAAGAGGTGGACTTGGGTTCTCCCCGCTCTGTCCTTATTTAAGGGTTAGCAACTGAGGGATAAATATCTTGACTCGGAGTTTACTTCTCTCTGGAATGTTCCAGCATGCTCTTCCCTTTGAGATGAGGTAAGCTACTCTTTCATAGTACTGGCCTTGTGATTAATACCTTTCACAGGTCCTCCTAAACTGGTTAGAGGCAGTTTGTTACCTCTTTGCCTGTTATGTTTGCATAGCCCCAAGAATTCCATGAGTAGGATAGAGGTGGTATGCTTTTTATGCAATTGAACATGGTATGCTTTTTATGGAGTAGAGGCCAGTCTTGAATTGTCTGCCCAGGAGAACTGTTGGCATGACATTTATGATGCCTGATGTATGAAATGTATAGAAATATCTGATACATGTTGGGAAAAAAGAGAATTTATTTTTTTGGAGGGCTAAAATATCCTACACTTGTTTGATACTTGTGGTACTTAAAGATGTGCAGGTACTATTTTCTCATGACGTGAGGTATAAAACAAGAAGTCTTCAAATGTTGCAACTCAGGCTGTATAAAAATGCAGAAGATCATTTATTGCTCTTTAATGCCTGTTCAGAGTAATATGTGCTGGATATTACTATTTGCAAGTGAAGATGTGGGTTATTGCAGGACTGAGGTGTATGTTTATTTTTAGGTTTCAGGTCTCAGAAACTGATTTCAAGAGGAAAAAAATCCAACTTTTTAGTATTTAATCTTACCCTTTATTATCTAATTTTTTATTTTCAGTTGGTTGGAGCTATTATTCAAACATTTGTTACATAACACTTTTGCTAGGCAACACAGTCCTGAACACTCTGGAATGAGAAATTCCATTTGATTCTGTAGTGGTGTGATGTGTGCCACTGAATTCAACTGAGGAGTTAGGCCACCTTTAAAATAACAACAACAAAAATAACCAATCAACTAGTAAAACAAGCTGTTCTATCCACCAGATGACAGTATGGCTCAGTCTTCCAATAGACTCATATATAACTGCATCAGAATTACTTTCCATCTGGCAGGGAATAAAAATATGAAACTGAGATTCACATTTCTCAAAACCACAATGGGACAAGCTAGTGTATAGACGACTTTGCTGTAACCATACCCATGGGAGACAAGATCAAATTAGTGATTTCTAATGAAATCTGGTTGTATATTGCTGTAACCTTAAACTCCTGAAGCGTGCCTATATGGGACAATGCCAACTTGCTTCCTCATCACCAATAGGTACCTAATTGCTTAGGGGAGCATTTGAAAATCATGAATTCTTTCTAGTAACTTACTGATCTTCTTGGTTCTGTAAAATGGCAAGCACATTCAGAAATATCCAGTATGCTTAAAAAATTCTTCAGTACAATTTGCTAATATATGTAGCAGTCAGTACCTAATTAAGTATGTTATATCCCTATGCTTATAGAGGTATTTACAGATCCATTAGTTGTGTTAAATGAGTCCGTAGTCTGAAATCTTTAACCAAAATTGGCTGCCAATTTTGAATTGCGTACTTGAAAAATAAATCAATATAATCAAGGATTGTTAATGAAGTTGATGCTGCAGTTATCAAGATATGAATTGGAACATTTTCTTGAGAGAGAAATTGCTGATCAGTCTATTACTTCTTAATTAGAAAATGCAGGAGAAAATTTATTTCTCCTGATTTTTATTCCAGTTGAAAAGTTCTCTAATTCACTGTCTGGAACTTCTACACTATTTTGATTTCTTGAAAATAAAAATGTTCAGGGCGTTGTGATGTGTCATGGAAAGTAATTTTTTTTTTTTTTAATTTTCTGGAGGGTAGGAAAATTTCCCTGCTTCTGTCTTTGGAACAAAAAAAGATACTTGATAAAATATACGCAGAAATAAGAGGAAAAATATACTTCTGTGTATTAGCTTACTGCACTCCAGGTTTTTCTCATTGGAAGTTATTAATAAATATACAAGTGCTGTGTTAACCATCTACCTGGGGAAAAAAAAAGAGGACAGAACATTCTGAAAATACAGAATTCAGAAACTCCAAAACTGGAAAGTTTCCAACTGCAGCAAAATTAGGGTCTAAAATTGAAATGAAAAATTCTATTGTATTGTCTGCTGTGAGATAAATCTATTTCTAACTATGATATGTTACTCAAAAAAGAATAAAACTAAACCATCTTCGAAGGTTTCTTTAAAACTTCAATCAGTTTTCACCAGAAACTTAATAGATGGTTGTTCTGATTTTTTTGCTTGCTCTTCTGTATATTTCTCAGTGTAGATTTGTCTTACATAATGATATGACATTCTTCAAAAGGAGTCAGTATCAGTTTTCTGGTATGTGCATCTACCAAAGGATAAAGCTTTGTAAAACAAACATAAGAAACATGCAGGCAACATAAAGTTAAATTCAGGTCTAAAACACTACATTTTGAATGCTTAATCTTAATGTTTTTTGTCTGCATGGAGTCAGTGGCAGGCTGTTTCACTTACATCAGCTATTGGGTTCTAACTTCCTTTAATTAATCCCTTACTCTTTCTTAAATTTGGCTGACTTTCTCCTGAGATTGTCAGGTTTATGAGGAGAAACAGATTGAAAATCTGAGTTAACCTTGTAGAGAGATACATATTGAGAGTGTATTGATTAAAAGAGCTTCAGATGTATCCTCAGCAAGACAAAGTTTAGAGTAGAAGAATCTTAAAGATTCTGTTGTCTGTAAAAGTGTCCTCACTTTTGCAAAATTTATTAATAATTTAACAATTAGGAAGAGGGTAAGGAAGTGGTGGACGTTTCTATCAGGTTCCTAGCTGAGGAGAGATTCAGCATCTAGTCAACCATCTATAATCTCATGGATGCACTCTTAGGAGCACCACTGTAAGAACGTGAGGTAAAAACCAGCTGTAGTCATTGCAGTGGTTTCTTCCCATCAACTGAAACACTGTTTGATTTTCTGTATTAAATGCTATATATTAATGGAATGAGAGGGTGCCATAGAAAATCCAGCTGTTTATTAATAATGATTCTGGCCTAGTAGATAATGACTACATGGAACTGTGCTCACCAGGCATGTAATTCAGTGTATTTGGCAGCGCAGTGCCATGCTATCTTCTGGATGTGGTACCAGTATGGCTAGTTTTACAGGAGAAAAGTAATCAGCCTTCTGATGAAATTCCACTCTGGATTATGTATGTTCAAATTTCTACATCCTGCCTACCCTCTCTGCGTCATCCAGACAAAGTAGTCTCTCCTCTTTGCTAGTGAATTAATGATCCTGTAACTTCAAAGGATGCTATCTGTTTTTTTCCATCACAAACATATGTCAGTCTATTCAGTTTTTAGAGCTGGGGACAGGCTGTGGCTAGCTTCATGTAGATGCATGAGAAAGCAAGTAGAAGGGATTCTAAAGAAGGGATTCCGAAATTCCTTTTACTCAACATAAGTGTAATCCCTAATTCTGTATTCAGGAACAAGCACTTAAGTCTGTTGTGAACAGTGCTGATGAATACAGTTGAAAAATTCAGAAATGTAGCTATGAGTGTAAAGTCATACACTACTTTTTCCTGAATACCACCAGGAAGGGATGCCCTATGAAACATGCAGTGGTCTTTGGCCTGTTTTTTTCACTGATTAGGTTTGAGGCAGAACCCCAGCTCTATCATCTAGAAAAGTATTTATTCCCATTTGCTTCTACTGACATAAGTTCATTTGGCATAATAAATCCCCATAATCCACAGTGCTACATGTGAACAAATGGTCTCTGGGATGTGAAATCCTTTTTATTTGTAATTCCCTATGGTGGTTCTAGGTCCCCATAGGAGAAGACAGAGCTATTCTACTTTATTAAGTATTCAGACTACGTTGATTTCATTGGCTCAGATTTAATGGTAAAAAAAGAAAACTATTTTAATGATTGTACAGAAAGAATTTAAATTGAGGTGATATATTGTGACTTCTGAGTGAGAGGGAGGGGAAGCACTTTCAATTTCAGTATTCCAAGAAGCAAGAGCCAAACTTTTCCCTAGTTTTACAGAACCACACTGAAGTAAAAAAATAAAAAATAATAATAAAAAAATCATAGCCAGTCTTGATTTTATGTTTTCTAGATCTGAATGCCTTCAGAATGGAAGGGGAATTAAAAATAAAACAACAAACTTGACAAAAAATTGAATGGTCTAAACACTTTTTTGTTGTTGTTTTAATTTGTAGTAAGCAGAATGTATTATTTGTTGTTATACAAAGATAAACTAATCCTTAGTCCTAAAGTGAAAAAGCAAATGCTAGAATACAACACCGTATCTCTCTACGACAGAGCCTACAACAGTGGAATAATATTTTGAATGGACTTATAGTTATTTTAGTTACCTGGTCTTCTGGGTAGTAAGGAGGCATTTGAAAGAAATGGAATGACTGCTGCAAATTTTTGAGTCAGGTTGGCTTTTGAGGGGAACAGGCTATCTATGATCACAAAATCTTAACCTGCTCTAGATATTGTTTCTGGTCAAGTTGAAATTTTCACTGTGATTGTACTCAAATTTGTTCCTCTAGCAGTTTTTATGCTGGTGTTTAACTGGTGAAACAAGGGAGTGATTTTGCATATTCTTAGCTCTACTTAATATGAAAAAAATAAAATAGAAATGCTGTATGTTTCTTACGTCAGATATCTTGAGATCATTTTGTTGAACTTTTCCTTTATCTACGTTTTCTTGTGCTTACTATTCTGAGTCCTGGTATGTACTGCTGGGTCTGCATGCTAATAGACTGTGTGTTTTGTTTAGGTGCGACATGAGAACAAATGTGTTGCTCCTGACAGATGCCCGTGTTTTCACAATGGAAGAGAATATACCAAGGGAGAGACAGTGACTAAGGACTGCAACACCTGGTGAGTCAATGGAACAGTGTTTTTCTGCAGGAAGCCTAATGTATTTCTAAATATGAGGCCTGTTCTGAAAGTAATGCCTCCTATTTTATTATATTGTTCCATTATGTCGGAAGTGGTTGTTTGTGGTATGGCAGTAGAACTTGAACCTTCCATTACATTTTGTTGCCATGTTGCAGATGGTAGCAAAGGAGCAGTCTGCCAAAATGCCATCTGACATGGAAGTGTGTATGAAGCAAAGGGGTGTCACTGAAAGTGGAAAAAAAATGCACGCATTGACATTCATCAGTACTTGCTGAATGTTTATGGAGACCAAACAGTGGATGTTAGTACAAGAAGGTAGTGATAGTATGATATACATACCTACAGTATGCCTACAGTACGAGTAGGCAAAAGTGACTCGGCTAAAAAACAGATGCAATAATAATTTTACTGAAAAAGAGAAGAGGCGAAACTCTTTCTTATTGTTGTGATATTTGCATTTCATCATAATTACCATACACAGTCTCTTATTTTCAGTCATTCATAAAATCTTCAATCAGTTGTAGCCTTGTTGCTTCATTCTTCTAACTTTTATTTCTGACAGTGATATTGTAAGTGACATTTCTTCTTAAAGATAGAAGTTTTTCAATGTCAACATGAAGAAAATATTAAGAATTGTGCTTTTCTTGTTGATAAGACCTTCATCTTATTTTAGGTATTTTTCTTGAATACAGAAAATAAAACTGGAAAACAAATTTGTTTAAATAAGGGAGAGTAGAGCTGTTTGTACTGTATGACTTTGAAAAGCTTCATGATAGTTCTCAGCAAATATCAAGTCAAATGTCATTTACAAAGTGATATAGGAAATTACTATTGCTTTGAGAATTAAGAAGAATTGAAACTGCAATTTGGAGCTCAGATCTTCCTTTTTTTTTTTTCTTTCTTTTTGTTCTGCTGTTGCAGGAGTTTTTATTCTCACTTGTTCTTGCCAGATGTGAACACCTGCTAATGCAATATATAAGACAGAGGTGTCAGATTTGGCATTTACATTTGACTTGACATATGGGAGACTTTAATTCCTGAAGAATGTAATGTCTCCAAGTCTCAGCTAGTGGCAAAATTTGTCATTCTAAGAATTGTGGATAAATAAATAAATTTGGAGTAATGTTTATGAAGCACTATACGGAAGAAATTTGCTAATTTCTTCTAATTGAATTTGAAAAGCCAGATACTTTATAATCTGGCTTTGTATATACATACAGAATCTTGGTCTTACTCTACCTATTAGATTTAATAACAGAGGATGTAATAGGCTTTATGTTACTGAAATTTCATTTCTTAAAGAAAATCTACTGCACAGTTTTTATTATGCTGTGAAATGTTTTCAAGATTAAACAATTACTCCCAGATTAAGGCAATAGACAATGCAGTTCTGTAACTGTTATCGCTTTTGTTAGCAATTTGATCTTGGGGAAGTACCTTAGAATTTTTATCCCACAGCTTTTACATTTGTAAAGTAGGGATAGAATTCCCTTTTCCCCACCCTTACAGAGCTTGATTAGAAAATCCTCAGGGCAGTAATAGCGTCTATCTGTCATCATATACGAGGGATACTCTGAAAGTAATGCCTCCTATTTTATTAAGTTGGCCCTTGATGGCAGTACCGCAGTAAAGCTTGAACTTTTCTGCCAGTATTCTGCTATGTTTTGTTGCTATGTGACAGATGGCAGAAGAAGGGCATTCTGACAGAAATGGCATCTGTCTATGTGTCTGGAAAGGCATACAAAGCAATGTTGTGGAATTGAATTGCTCCATGAGGCAAAAATTGCACCAATCGACATTCATTGACAAGTGCAGAATGTACAGCGACCAAACAGTAGATGTTAGCACAGTGAAGTGGCTGGTGGGCTTATTGATTTTATTATTTTTGCTGTCTCCTGCTAGCTAGCAGGAGATTGGAATGAATCTCTTTCATACTTGCAGATTCAGCAGTAAGGCTTGTGAATCTTCATAATATCTCTGGAAAAGGCAGGAGGCTTGGGTGGATGCCCTGAAGAAGTATCTTCTTTATTTCTCAATTTCCCTTATTTTAATCTGAGGGTTATGGTATTTACTTCCTTGAAGCTTATTTGTAAAGGTACTGTGCAAACCTTAGATTATTAGGTGTCACAGCAACAAAAGGCTTGCTGTCTTTGTGAACAATAAGAATCTTGATCTATTTTTTGTTACACTATTATAATTATATGTTTCAGTATAATTGAGTTTATACTAAGGTGTTTGTTTCCTTTAAGAAAGGAGGAGCAGGAAGAAAGAGAATACCACCAAAAAAAAAAAAAAAGGAAAAAAAAAAAAAGAATGCAGTCAGTTTTATTATGACATCACTGTTGTTGTAGTTCAGCCACTGCACCAAAATAGGTATAATGATATGAAAACTTAACCTTCTGCCTGATTTATCTTCAGAATTCCCCATGCTATGAAAACATGACGCATCTTGCTTTGCTCTGCATGTCAGGCAGTTCCATTTTTTCTTCCGTATTCTTCCATATTTAGCTTGTAAGGAATCTAGCAGGTGTTCAATAAAACATTACTGGCAAAATATATAGGCAAGAAATGACTGGTATATCTCCTTTCAGGATTAGATATACTTTTATCACAGCTTATGTCACATAAGCGGAGGTTTAGGTTGGAGTTCTATTTGTTTGTAGCCAAATGAGAATACAGAAGATGTTCGGATTTCACCACCCCAGGAGACCTCGAAAGATGCTATCACACAGACATTCCTCAGAGAGTGTATAAACATAGCTATTGACATACAGAAAAAAAAAATATTTCTATCCATATGTGTACTCTTATCAGACCATGAGGTAATGCCTCCAATTACTAGGTCAGATAAACTTTCCAGAAGAATGAACTTCATTTAAAAATAGATACACCTCTTTAGAAAAGGATGTTATTAGACTTAATTATAGACTCTGAACAAAAGCCACAGGGCAAACTGAGTTATAGTCCTGGTTACTTGGTCTCCAAAGTTGATCACTAGAGTAAACACATTCTTTGTCATCATCAAATATTAAATTTACTACTATTTTAGCTTTCAGTGAGGAAAAAAATTATGTAATGCAAACTTGCTGATGTTAAATTTTATATTTAACCTGTAATCTTCCTTAGAAGTTAATCAAACTGCTTTTCTAAGAGGCTACTGTAAGAAGAGCAGGATATCTAAAATGAAGTGCTAACAGTATTATGAAATATTCCAACAGGGTCTGCTCGGGCCTGTTTTTGTAATGAAGAAATTCAAAAAGCATGTATTCTTATGTGCAGCTTGTAAAAACAAAACAAACAAAAACCCACATATTCTTTAAGTGTTGAAAGTGTTAGTGTGCTGTTTCTGCACTTAATGTTACTGAATGTTACATTATGCTGATGAGTGAGGTAATCATTTGGCTCATAATAGCATAATTAAAGTCCGTCTGGGTAAGGATGCTAATAGCCCAGGAACAGAGCCTTTTCAAGGCTGAAGCCAAACTGGATCTGCTGGAGATGCACCTGAGGATGGACAGCAGAGAAAAGTGTGTAAGTTCCTCAGAGCTGCATCTGATAGACAGATTAAAGACACGTAAGGAGACTTTACTCTCATGTGGTCTGCAGGTCTCTCTGACCTGTGCCCAACAAAAAGAAGGGAATGTTCAGATCAAATCTCACCCTGGGGAATTTTGTGATTTGCCCAGAGAATGCCACAAGTGAAAAACTGAAACAGCTTCCCTCTCCCCAAACGACAACCAACAAACCCTAAAATGGCCTGCAAGAAAAAATGTTACAGAGACTTTTTTTTTATACTTGTATTTCCAGTTCTGAGTACTGGAAATATTATATACTCATTTTTCAAAAAATGTGCTACTTTGATGTACTAGGCAAAAGATTTCTTGGTGTCAATTTAATTAAGAAAAACATTAGACATAGTAAATCAGCATGTGAAATAGACAAAACAGAAGAAAATTCTGTTATATGAGAGCATGAATAATACAGTACAATATACAGCAGAAGAACATACAGAGAGTTAATAATGTGCAGTTGTATACTTTCTGTCCAAAACTGTTTCCTGCAGGGGAACTTGAGGGATGAGTTAGGTTTTAATATCATTACTTCCACTGTGAGATAACAGAATAGCAGAGAAAGTTGTTCTGTTCATAAAGCCTTGTTGCATGTGCTTCTTACTGTGGATGAATCATAGACACCTCAGTTTATTTCAGATTTAAAGAAAGCTGATCGTGAAGAAAGTCAAACTGAACTATCAGCTTTTTGCATTTATAGTCAACCCATTTTCAGCACAGAATCTGTATCCCTAATTATGTAATTATGTGCTTACTTATTTACTTACTGCAGAATTTAATCACTGACACTTGCTTACAAAACTTGGACTCCAATCTTTTTTTCAAGTATCTTGATGAGAAACATACTTCAGTCATTAACAAAGTTTTGGGCTCAGAGCAGAGGTGCCACCTTTCTCATACGAAAGTAGATTAGACAGTATGTCTTGTTTTACAGATGTACAAAGGCTCAAAATCCATTTTCCTCCCTTAGTTATTTGTCACTTATGTTACTTTATTTTCAAGTGTTTTGTTTTGAAGAACTTGAAAAATACCAAATTATGAAAGATTTCTGAACACATTTTATGCTGAAGAACCAACCCTTTTTAAAATGCATTGAACTTGAGGGCCCCCAGAATCTTTGTGTGCTGTTCAACACATTACTGGTGTATGACAAGTAAGATTAGAAGCTTTTTCAGATGGTGAAAGGTCATTATTTTGTATCACTGCTTGTTGTGTATCCCTTGGAGAATCATCAGTTCATGAGCTCCTGGAGGGAGATACTTTCACTGTCTCACTTTTCCTCAAGCACTTTACATTCTTTTACTTATTTTATATATTGCAAGTAATGATATAAATACTAAAGATCACTCATTTTCCTATGTTGCAGTGTCTGTCATGGTCGAAAGTGGGAATGCACCAAAAATATCTGTGATGGTACCTGCACTGTTATTGGTGCAGCTCATTATTTGACATTTGATGGAATGAAATACAAGTTTCCAGGAGAATGTCAGTATGTATTAGTTCAGGTAAGAATATGTCAAGTGCCTAACTCATGATGCCCGTGTTTTACACCAGAGAAATCCAACATTTGCATAAGCCACAGTATCACTGTCTTGATCGCTAAGCCAGATGCATGGCAGAAGAGAGCAGAGTTTATCAATGGCTTCAAAAATACCTTGAGAAATTATAAGACTACATCACATTATAGAGAAGTGAAATTAGGATTGTGGTGTGTCTAGCTGGCAGTCATAAGATGTGTGAGTGTAGCATGTTATGGAGGAACAATACAATACAAATCTCATTTCTAGTGATGAATTTTAGATGCCCATTAGTCAGTCCTTTATCCCTTTCTGCTAACCACTTCATCCTCTAGTACAGACTTACTGGATCAGACTTCTTCAGTATGCCTTAGAAAAGTATTTAGTGAACGCTCTCTAAATGCTTCCAAAGCACAGACTCTGCTTGTTCACTTTGGCACTATCACTGTTTCATGCAAAACTAGAGTAAATTACTCATTTTCCTTACAGCAAAGTGGAGGGGTGAATAAATACATAGCACGCTAACTTTAGTCTGTGATTTACGGGAGCTATCAGAAATTTGGAGAGTTAAATGAAATTAAGGCAATTACAAATGCAAATCATTATGTATTTAAAAGTCTGTGTTTGAAAGAAGAATTTATTTTAAAATTTGGTCTAAAAATAGATGGACCTGCTGTTAATTTATATAATAGCCTTCTCCAGTTAAAAATTGTCCTGTTTCATGATTTTTCCCGACGAGCCTTTTCATGAAGTACCTTTCTCCCTGAAATTCTTCTTGGACAGAACAGTGTCATCATTGCGTCTTTGGCTGGATCTTTGAAACATGTTTCCACTTTGATACCAGCTGCATTACCATAGAAGGCTGATGATCCTGATGCTAGTGAGAGCTCAGTAATACTACAATCTTAGGAACAATAAGAATATACACTACTACAAGACTATTTAAAATATCACTGACTGAGTGTGCCTCATTCTTGAATAGGTGAACCAAAACCTCTATTAATGCTAATAGATAAATTAATCAACGTAGGAAAAATGGACATGTCAGCATATATCTTATTTGCCACATAGATTACTTTGAGTATTATGTAGGTCACTCTGAAAGTTATGCTCTGATTTATCTCCATATAAACTATAACAGATACAAAGCACAATAACGCTACTTCATAGAACAAATTCTTAGCCACAGAAAGCTATTTCTCAACATGTTTACTGCTGTTAACTATGCATCTTCACCAGTGATGAACAAGAACTTGCAAACCACAATTGTAAAAATCTGCACCTGTAGAGGTGACACATTGTCTTCATTGCCATTGCTGAAACACAGCACCTACTGCTTTACTGTGCTCCCATTCTCTCTTTGGTCTCTGTAGATGTTCAGCAAGTGTTGATGAATGTCAATGGGTGCCATTTTTTTCTGATGGAGAAATTCAGTTTCACACCTTTACTTCAGTCCATGTCAGCTGCCATTTTGTCAGACTACCATCTGTCACTAACAAAATTATCTGTCCATCAAGAAAATGTAATAGAAAATTTGTGGGAAAGTCCAGCCTCTACTGCTGTACCACCAACATCCACCTTTGACATTGTAATAATATACTGGAGGTATTACTTTCAGAGTAGCTCTATTTGAGACTCCCTTTTTCTTCAGACATCTGCATATGTTTGTAAAATGTCCATAGCAATGATTTACTAATTTATTTTTGTCTGATAGGATTTCTGCAAGAATAACTCTGGGACATTCCGGATACTGATTTCAAATGAAGGGTGCAGCTTCACTGGTGAAAAGTGTACCAAAAGGGTTATCATTTTGTATAAAGGTGGAGAAATAGAGTTGCTTAATGGAAATGTACGTAAGCTTCTCTTTCTTTTCCTTTTTTTGAAGAGTTCATTATAATTTTGGAATTTTTGTGACTTTAGGTATGAATAATCTCATGCTCAGTGGTTCTTGAAAACTATATCACCAAGTGAACAGATTAGTAGGATTATAATCATTGTATTACTGTAATTAGCCTTTTTGCTTAATGTTACAATCAGAAAGGTCAACATAGTGGAAGTGTGATACAGGAGCAGAGTAGCAAAGGGACTAGTGTGAACGGAGTCCCAAGCAGCTGACTGTGTGACTCAAAGTTGAATTCCTTGGTAGACTACCCAGCTATCCATGCAGACATTCAATGCAGTATCACCCGGCTTTTGGGGGTCCACACTGCTCATAATTCAGCCCACTGACTACTTTGTCCATCCCCTTCTTCAAACCAGATTGTCTTGGTTGAGGGATGACATGCAACTGCACACCGTTTACTTGGATTTCCTCTTCTGGACACACATATGTATCAGGCACTCTCTTGAATTGAATATTTTCCTTCTTGTATGAGACTCTTCTCTGGTGGAGAGATGGGAACCTCATGGGGGTGCATTGCTGTGGTATGTCACTGAGCCAAATGTTTTTTGCAATTCTTACTTCAGTGGCAAAGAAGACAAACAACTGCATTGCTGCATATGCAAGCCAGAGCGCAAACTTTTGGGTTTGGGCCACCTTGTCTCAGGAATATGGGCCAGATCTTTCACTGACACCTGAATAGGCAGCATTTTACTACTGCTGTCTGTGTTACTGGTTCTACCACCTGCAATGCAGAACAGGTAGCCAATAACTGCTGCCACAATCCCCAGTCAAACCCTTCCTGATTCACACGTACATCCAATTTGGTGGGGAGAGTGGGATCAAATATACAAGCACCTGTGCTTATTTAGCAGCTAACTTTGTCCATTGAAGAGCATCTTGTTCTGGTTGTCCCCACTCCCACAGTTAGCATTTCTTAGTTAATCGATATAAAATCAAGATCAAGTCCAACCACAAACTAACCATGCTACCCTAACATCTCACCACTAAATCATGTCCCCGAGCATATAGAGTTCTTAAAATCTGCATGAGGTGGGGTATTTGAAGGTATATGAATGTCCCAATATGCCCAGAAATTCCTGTGTTTTGCCATGGTTGGTACTAAGGATGCTTGAATTTTATTAATAATATCTCCCAAGAATTTTACTGACAGTCCAGACCCTTAGACTTCCTGTGGGCTCATAACACATCCTTTCTCCTACAAGCAAGCTGGTAATGAGTTTACCATTTTCTCCAGCGCTTCCAAAGTGGAAGAGGTTAATGTGAAATAATATGTTATACATTATTAGCTTTATCCCATTTTGCCTAATTGATGTGCAGCCAAATTGTGGCAGAAGGTTGAATAGTTCAACTACCCTTGTGTTAGGACCTAGAAGGTCGATTGCCTATCCTCCTATGTGAAGGCAAATTGGTTCTGTGATTCCTTAGCAACTGGAGTGCCAAAGAATGCATCAGACAGATCCAGGACACAATAGTAGATCTCCAGCTCCCTGCTCGACATGTCCACGAGGGTAGCAGCATTGGGTACTGCAGTATGAATTGGTAGGGTTATACCTACAGTCATGCACCATGTTCCATCTGGTTTCTGGATTGGCCATATAGGAGAGTTACATGGGCTATGCATTGATTATATAATTCCTACTTTCTCTAATTTCTTCTAATAGTTTTCATAATTTCTTCTTGTCTGCCTGGGAGTTGACACTGCTTCATATTAGTGATGGCTGAGTTAACCTAATAGGCTCATGCTTTGCATATTCCTGCACAACTGACCAGGCCCAGACACTAACACTTCTAATCTCTAACCTGAACTATCCAATATTAGTTTGGAGAGTCAGCCCCAAGAGTGTATCTATGCCTAATATATATTTCTGAATTCGGGCTATAGAAACTACATACTCCTAGGGGGCAAGACACCCTACACCTAACATCAACCAAGTTTAGGTTAATGGAATCATTTTAACTCCAAACCCTCCTACAACATTATGCATGCCCAGAAATCTTGATGGATTGCCATGAATTATAGTTGTTTCAGCTCCAGTATCTGCTAGAGCCATGATCTTTTGTATAGTCTTCCAAGACCAATAGATTGTTAGTTCTAAGTATGGCCTTCAGTCCACCAAGGAAGCCCAAACTCTAAGAGGACCTTCTCCCTCATTTCATGCCATTAATATATCTAGGCACAGATTTTGTTCCATGGAAGCCCTAGCAATGGCCAACTGGGCTGCCTGGGGCTGCTACCTTCATGTTGAAGGTTTCAAGATGTCTTCTAAATTCCATGGCTGGGTGGAGATTCACTCTATTCTTCTTACACCCTTCGTGTTGGGGTGGGCTTAAAACATCAATCATTAAGTTGCTGCCATAAATTTAGTAATACATGATTCAGTTGTCTATTATCTTTTGGGGTTGGACCCCTGATTTTATTAGATCATTCTACATTTGCCGGTGAGATACTCTTTCTAGTCCTAATTGTGGAGCCCTTCAAGTTGGTTTGCAAGATTAAGTCTCTCTAGTTTCTATTGGGTACAGATTTCACTTGGATCTTGGGTGTTTTGTTTCCCCTAGATCAGCTTGTATCTGTGCTGCTTGTTGCACAGTTCCATCTACAGCTACCAGAGGGTTCAAAATAGCTACTAGGGTGCCATGTTGCTAAGAGGGGCTCTCATCCCTGCTATAAATTTAACTAGGTTGAGACTTTCAAAATCCTCCTCATAAACAGTCCCTTTCAATCCTAATTCCTTTAACTGGGAACTCCTTAGTGCCATTTCTGTCTTTGAGTTCTGGATACTTCCCCTGGTATCCTGCCAACTATGCCAAATGTTCTACTCACAAAAAAAGTAAAACAGCATCTGACAGCTTCTTGGCAATATCAAAGAATTTGCAAGGAGGCCAATAGTCATATATAGAAAGAAGAGTTGAACTCACAAACAGCTGGTGAAGGGACTCTGGCTATGTAGGAAGGGGAAACAGGCTGGAGTGACTTCACCCTGGCTCCACTACTTCTGATCATATGAGGAGCACAAATGCAAACAATTTGCATGTGCTCCCTAGGCGAGCCACAACCCTTCATCAGGTGCTCAATGAGCAGTTCAAGCCATGACTTCACAGTCCCCCTTTGTTTTTGTTTTTTTTTCTCCAGTGTTTGAAAGAGATGGATTACTATAGGTATTTATATTAACTGCAATCAAATACATCTAGATAGTACATGTGATACTTTGGGGAAGATGAAAATGCTTCCAGTTCCTAAATAATCTATTTTTAGCATATTTTTCTCCTAAAAATATTTAAAGCTCTCTTCATGAGATCCTTCAGGATTGTAAACTGTCTTCTCTGTGTATAAAGGCTTTTGATCATACTGCACTGATGAAGAAAATTGAATTGTATTGTAGTATTTTTACTGAATTGAGCAGGGAAACATAATGAGATAAGGAAGAAATTTTTTCTTATACCACGAAGAGGATGAATGGTTTCTGGGCTCCTCTTTCTTCCATGCTTTTATCATGATTTGCACTGATTGAAATGTTTCATCTACCTCTTTCACAAGCAAGCAGTTCTCAGTCACTGCACTAACAGTGTAGATCACAGATGTCCAAACTTCTGGTTTGTCTGGGTTGCACTGAGTGAAGAGGAATTGTCTTGGACTTCATATATGTAGGTTGCTATGAAAGTAATGCCTCCTATTTATTTCAACAACAGATAGAAAAGGCACAGTAACACTATATGATAGAGCAAACTCTCAGCTCCAAAATACCATTTTTCAACATGCTTACCACCATTAGCTATGCATTTTCACCAGTGCATGCATTTTCACCATTGTATGCAGCCTGCATACCATGCTTGTAAAGATCTGCACCTGTAGAAGTGACCTACAGTTACTGTTGCCACTGCTGAAACACACCACCTCCCTGTGCTAACATCCACTGTTTGGGTCTCCATAAACATTCAGAAAGTGATGATGAAAGCGTAGTGATATGGAGGAATTCAATTCCATGCCTTTGCTTCATATGTACTTACATATCAGCCTCCATTTTGTCAGACTGCCCCTCTGCTCCTCCTTTTGCATGGCAACAGACTGTAATGGAATACTGCTGGGAAGCTTCAACCTCTACTACCATACTACCAACATCTGCCTCTGATATCACAGGCCAACATAAAACAATAGGAGGCATTAGTTTTAGGGCAGCCCTCGCATAATATACAATACAGTTAATACGTAAGTATCAGAACATTTTGACTTTCAATATTCTAATTAAAAAATTAAAATAAGAAAACAACAAAAACATAAAATTATTGGGATATTTGACCGTGTTTTGTGAAACTAATCCGTCTGTCTTGTTTTATGGCAGTGGTTGCAATTCTTAATGAGATCTCAAGGTGTTCATCAGAAATTTTTGAAGGAATGTTACTATTCATGTGCTTCATCATTGAAAATTGTTATTCACAAATGCACATATTGCCAAAAACAGATGACATGAATGAGGTGTGACTGTGAAGCAAAAAATATTTTTCTCTGATAAGATATGTCTCATGAAAGTATGGTAAAGAGACATGAACAGATTTTTGAGTTGAACATCTGATTACAACTTGTACAATTAATAAATGCACAATTAGAAGAGTGGCATGGTCAGGATAGTGTTTTACAGGTTTATAGTTAGATTATCACAGTGGAAAGAGACAATCAAAAATGAAGTGCTCATCCATGTCCTAGGCTCGCAGTAGAAAACTCCAAAGGGAGGAACCTCCAGTCAGCCCTTAAATGCGATCCAGGAGAGGTGGAGCCAGGCTCCACCCCTTCTGGTCGCACAGGTGAATTGCCTTCACCTGTGCTCCCATGGCTGACTCAGTCCTTGCCTCAGGTGATCAATCAGCGGTTCAGGCCATGACTCAGCAGTTCCCAAGCACTCCACCCCTTCTCAGCGTGAACCGATGATTGAGTTAGCTAGAGGTCACCCTAATACAGAGATCTGACACATTGTGATGCTTATACAATTGCCTGTCGTGATGCGGGTTGACGCAATTTAAGATGAGTGTGTCACGCTCCAATTTATAGGAGGGAGCTGAGGTTCTTTTAATATCTGTATACCCGGTGTGAGATTAAGAAACAACGGTTCATATGTTAGTCCAACCAGTTTATTATAAGTCTAATTAGGGAGATGGGGAAGGGAAGGAGTGCGATAGAAAAGCTAGGAAAAAGCAAGAATGCCGTGAAGCGGGGATAGTCACCACCAGGATCCAGCAGCGGTCCCGTTGCACGACGTTCCGAAGGTCCGAGGCAGAAGCAGCAGGGGGGGAGAGCAGCAGCGTGGAAGGCCTGGGGCGGCAACAGGTAGCAGGAAGAAGTCGCAGAGCCAGTCCAGGAGGAAGCAGCAGGATTCAGGTAGCAGGCCCAGGAGAGTCCGTCGGCATGCAGGAATTCCGTGGTGAGGAATCTGATGGCAGAAAACCTCCCTTCCTCATGGTTTTCGATTCCTCCTTTTATCCTACTTCTTCTCCTGCCTACGTGACATCCCTGGGCGTTTTAGCAGGAGTCCTGCGAGTACTTCCCGAGATGGCCATCTTCCTCGAGATAATCCCACACAAAAGACCACTTTGCAGCTATTAAGCTGCAGCTTATCTCTCTCTCATTGCCCCCAGCCCAGTCCATCTTCGGTCACCTTCGGACAAAAGATTTTGCAATCCTTGCCCAAGACTTGTCCATCAAACTTCTCCAGACAAAAGATCTCTCAACCCCTGACCAGGACTTGCTTGAACTTGTTCATCTGTGTCCTTTAGACAAAGGATTTCACAACCCTTGCCCAGGACTTGCCTGAACTTGTTCGTCTGTGTCCTCAGCAAGCTTTGAGACAATGATGATGCAAAATAATAATCTCTTACAGAGTGATGATCAGTCTATGGTGGAGGTTCATATTCTTTCATGGGCCAGTGCTCAATGGTGTTACTGTAGGCATGCAGTTGTGTGGTGCAGGTCTATCCTATGCTCCATCAGTCCCATGTAGACCATCACCACTACCTGCTGGATTAAATCACAATCTATCAAGAAAAGGGAAAGCTATTATGACCACAACCATTGAAAAGGGATTGAAAGAAAGTATTTTAAATTAATGCCTCAAGTTCCCATTAGCTGCAGACTGTGAATTGGCAGCTAGATGAAAAGAGGGTGGAAAGGCACACACAGGAAGTAAAAGGGGTGGAAAAATGAAAAGACATCAAAAGGAACTTGTCAGGGCTTTTCCTGTTGGAGTAACTGGTCAGAGAAAAAAACAACTTCCTGACTTAGGAATCAGGCTCTGGTTCTTCAGCATACCCATGCACGTGGGTGTCTCTGTTTGCTTTACACCTATACCAATCCAGCCTTTTTCTTGCTACCTGCCTCAGGAGTACAAAATTTTTCTTTCCTTTTTTTTCTTTTTTTAGAAAAAAAATAATATAATGTTATAAATAAGGATTATTCAATGAACAACTACAAAATATTTAACTGTTCATTAATTGTATATACCTGGCCCTCCTTATTAACCCTACTTCAGCTTTGCAATTTTTTTGGAGGTGTTTAAGCTTTCAACTTTCTCTAAGTAATGCATGCGACAATACCTCATTCAAAGGTGCAGAAATGTGATGAGATTGAAAGACTGTATTTTCATCCTGATTTGCTCTTCAGAAGCTTTACTTTTAAGGAATTAACTTATCCACAGCAGCTTTTCCGAGTAGAGGCAGGCATGTAATTAGTCTTGTATATGTCATTTGTTTGCAGTTTTGCAAACCCTCTTGGATTATCTGTGTGGTTTCTATGAGCTGGCTGTTCTTTGGCAAACAGCATGGTTGAACATAACCACTGTTATATGAGTTCACGTCCTACTGGGAAAATGGTATATGTGAAAAAGAAAATCATTGATAATACAACGTTTTTCTTGTTCAGGTAAACATTAAGGTATCTCCTAAAGACAGCAGTGACTTAGAAGTCATGAAGTCTGGCCGTTATTACATCATTTTACTGAGCAAAAGCATCACTGTGACATGGGATCTTGCTATGGGAGTCTCAGTTATCTTAAAAGCCACTTTCAATGTAAGTGTTTTTTGCTTTAATTCTTACTCTCACTAAAGAATGCACTTACATCCTCCCTTGTTGATAGCACTTTTTAATGCAGACATGCAGATAGATTCCCTTGAAGTATTAGCTACTTGCTTGAAAATGAAGAGATTTTTTTTTTGTAATACACAAGGGTTGCTTACTTTACCTGGTCCTTCAACTGTAAAGGCTAAATTCTCTGTCTTTGGAGATGAGCTATGATGATGAGTGCTATAGTGCCTAACAGTAACTCTGCTTTGAAAGACTGAAAAAATTTCTTTCATGTACAAGAGGAGCTGTGTAGGGAGCCAGGTTCACTAGTGATGGTGACTGGACAGTCATCTTGAGGAATAAAATGGGGTCATATGTAAACTTCCTGGTCCTGGCCCAAACAGACCCAACAGGCACCACTAGTCAGAGTTGTCTTCTCACATCCCTGAAGACATGGAGACAGGCTAGTCCTACTTTCAGTTAAGCAGAATGGGAACTAAACATTCTGCATGTCAGATTGTGTATGTTTTAGGGAATTTGACAAGGACAGAGATAATTCAGTTTTTAAGACTTATGCCTTTAATGCACTAGGTTAAAAAGACTTTAAAACAAAACTCTGAGCCAGGCTATAGATGTATCATTTATGTATTTTGTGTTTCTTTCCCTGCAAGGATCAAGTGTGTGGTCTATGTGGAAATTTTGATGGAATCCAGAATAATGATTTAACCAGCAGCAATGAACATCTTGAAGTGGATCCAGTTGACTTTGGAAACTCTTGGAAAGTTAATACGTATTGTGCTGATGTCGAAAAGGTGATTGTGAATGAAATGAAAACTAATTAATACTGTTTACAGTATCACTTAGGAGTGCTTAAAGAGCTCTGAAGGAATAGAAATAAACAAAAATGAACTCGTATAATTTTTTTCCAATATTCTTTTTTGAAATTTGATGAAAGATCAATTAAATATTTTACTGCCTCTAGGCATCTTGGCTTTAGATGAATGTTAACATAGCCAGTCTGAAAGGTAAAGACCTTATAGAGTTTGCCAGTCTAGATGCTAAAAATCCAGGTATAACTGGAAATCTCATTGTGAAACTTAATTTAAAAAAATAATAAAAAAAAAAACAACAAAAAAAACTCAACCAGATGTAATTTTCAGACAGAACAAATTCAGATAAATGTTTCATATTTTTCCATCCAAACTTCTTTATCCCTGTATCTCACATCTTAGTTCATCCATTTATGAATAGCTCAATACATAGACTAATTTCTTTCTGTATTATTTTTGATGTTATTTAGAGAGCATTCTGTTACTATTTTCAGATTAGAGAGGCATGAACAGAAAAGGCAAGGTACAAGAGTGAATGTAAGACCTTTTTGCCATGTTATTGTCTCACTCCAATTTATAGGAGGGAGAGGAGGTTCTTTTTAATATGTAAATACCCAGTGTGAGTTTAAAAACAACGGTTCAAATGTTGGTCTGACCAATTTATTATAAATCCTAATTAGGGAGACGGGGAAGGGAAGGACAGCGACTATTATGAATTAGGGAGATGGGGAAGGGAAGGAAAGTGATAGAAAAGATAGGAAATAAGCAAGAATTGCATGAAGTGGGATAGTCACTACCAGGATCCAGCAGTGGTCCCGTTGCATGCCGTTTCGCAGGTTTGAGGCAAAAGTGCAGGGGGAGAGCAGCAGCAGTGTGGCTGGCCTTGGGCAGCAAGCAGGTAGCAGGAATAAGTCGCAAAGCCAGTATGGGAGGAAGCAGCGGGACTCAGGTAGCAGGCCCAGGAGAGTGTCAGCATGCAGGAATTCCATAGTGAGGAATCGGATGGCAGACACCTCTGTTCTTCTTCAGCATGCTGGTAGAGCGCAGAGCAAGTCCAGGAGGGAGAGAGGCAGGTCATAAGGCTTCTCCTGTCGTCAGAAACCTCTTCTTCTTCATGAGGAATCTGTTGCCAGAAAAGCTCAACCTCATGATTGTAGGTCCCCTTTTTATCCTTCTTCTGCCATTGTTGCATTCCTGGGCACTTGGGTAAGAGTCATGTGCAGTACCTCCCAAGATAGCCATCTTCCTTGAGATAAACCCACACGAAAGACTGCTTCCTGGCCATTAATCTGCGGCTTCTCTCTCTCTCTCGTTGCCCTAGCCTTGTCCATCTGTGTGCCTCAGACAAAGGATTTCACAACCCTTGCCCAGGACTTGCTTGGACTTGTTCATCTGTGTCCCCAGCAAGCTTTGGGACAATGATGTAAAAGAATAATCTCACAGTTATCACTGCTTCTGAATTTTGAGAAGCTTAACTGCTATCTGAAAGTGTTATGCAAGTCCTTGTCCTGGAGAAAATGTGATTTCACAGTGTACTAGTTATGTTACATGTGAGAGTGCACTTCTTTTCCAAATGCTGAGTTTTGAAAGGAAGAAACTGAATAATAAATTTGTCTCAAGCTCACAAATAATATGTCCAAAAGTATTTCCATACCCAAAATTTTGGAAACAATTTGAAGGCAACTTTTTTGATATTTAAAGAATGGAATTTTTCATTCATATGATGCCCTCAAGACTGAAAACTTTGTCTCAAAAAGGCCTATATTTTCAAAGGGAGGAAGAAAAGATCTTTCCTCAAAATATTTAAATAATTAGAAAACAAAACTAAATATTCATTTTTGATCACATGGAATTTTGAGTTGGTTTACTTATGTGTGGTGACATAACTTCAGTATTGACTGGAGAATAGGAGAAATTATGGCAATGAGGAGTGAGATGTGCAGGGTAGAATCTACAGTATATCACCGTGATAAAAACCATATTAGTATCTGTGTTCTTAGCTAAATTAAAATGGAGACTTCTGAGCCTTTTTGTATTCAGCAGTGACCTTGGCTATTGTATTTTGAAGAGTCTCTCGTGCCTTCTGAAGAGCTGTGAATGATTGTTTTTCAGGATAGGTGTTTGGTACAGCAGCACTTACCATTAAGATTATATCTACGTTAAGACTGTAGCATGCCGGAGCTGGAGAAAATGTGGCAGGTGACCTGCTTTGCTTTGCATTCTGCAGATTTCTTGTTATTAAAAATGTCTAAAGTGAGTGAATCTGTTCAGTTTGAAGAGTCCTGAGGTTCTGAAAGCAAGGCTAATGCAGTGTGTACATGTCTCTTATGATATTAAGTTCAACTGGGAACAGGCCCTGGTGTCTCCACTGTGTAATGACAACGTCTTGAAGCAGGTGATGGTAGAAACATCATGCAACATTCTGTCTGGAGGTCTCTTTGAAGAATGCAAAAAACTTGTAAGTATCATGTCCTGTGTTTCTCATTTATCAGTTCTTCATGACCTGTGCTGATAGTTATTACAGCTAAGGGAAATAGTGCTGTTACTCTGACAGCACATGGAACATGGACTGCCTAGTTGGTATTCTCATCTCTGACCCTGTCTTTAGCTGATAGCTATAGCAGCTGGGAAAATGCAAGATTTCCCTAGTGGAAAACCACAGAAAAACTACTGCTTGAGGAAAATTTCATTCTAAACTGTAGAGAGATGCATGAAGTCAAGTAAAAGGGTTGGCATTTTGGAAGAGAAGGGTGGAGGAAAAGTTAACCTAATTTAATGCCATTCAAGCTTCTTTCTACTCAAACTGCACAAGACAGTTTGGTAATAGGGCTCAAAATTTATAAAGCTGATCCACATAAGGAGCAGTAAGGTGGACAGTAAACTACAGTGCCTGTAACTGAGAATGTGGCCCCATTTAAGTTCTTGCTGGCATCAGCAGAAGGATCTGCGCTGATTTACATAACATCTCAGCTCTTGGTGAGTGGAGCAGCCAAACCATCTGAATGTTAAATACGTTTAGGTTAAGGTGATTTAGCGTACTGTATCCTAAATTCATCTTTTTCAGGTGAATCCTGAGCCATACATAGATATTTGCATGTATGACACTTGTGCCTGTGAATCTATTGGAGACTGTGCTTGTTTCTGTGATGCTATAGCAGCCTATGCACATGTCTGTGCACAAAAAGGTGTTACTGTTCACTGGAGATCACGAGATCTGTGCCGTAAGTATGATGTTGATGGGGAAGAATTGGAAATGATTTTGAATGACAAGCAAATGGAAAAGGTATAAATTCTTTATCAAGAAGCCGTTGGCTCAGCTAGACTATTCTTATCTAGTTCTGTTCCCTCTGATGTCCAGAGAAATTCACTGTAATGGAACAAAGATTGCAACTCATTGTGACTTTTCCCCTCCCTTTTCTATTTATTTTGAAAAGCCATTTCCTCAACAAGAGGATAGAATGGATTGCAGACCAGTCAAATCCAGATTTTTTTTTAATAGGTATAGAGTTTGTTCTTAGTAATCATTTTTGTCAAGAACAACTCTTCCTCATCTACACCAAGTATTTCATTATGTGAAAAAATAGATGTATTTGAAGAAGTAGCCTGCCCTGGATGGACTGGGGGAAGTTATTTTAAATTGTAAATCTTTCTCAATACATATGTGGTACACCTTGTATTCAATTTGGTGTCTTAGTTCTGAAAGACATGATGACTTCAGTGTTGATTTTTTGCCTTCAATTCTTTTATTGTATAGCACAAAGCTGTGAGAACCTAAATAAACAAGATTTAGATAATCAATGTGAATGGAGATACAATAGCTGTGGACCTGCTTGTCCTATAACATGCCAACACGCAGAACCTTTGAAGTGCCCTTTACAGTGTGTAGAAGGATGCCATGTTCACTGTCCTGCAGGTAAGTCCATCTTTTGCTGTAGTCAGTTAATTACAGTCTTACATTCCAGGAACATTCACAGGTTTCTAAGGATGGAAATTGCTTAGGGTTTAGATATTGCAATTGATTCCTCAACTGTTTTATTGATGTATTTTCACCACAGTTTCTTGCAACGTAAGTTAGAATTTGGTTAGGAATCCTAGTTTGTGTCCGTGAGATGAGAACAATATGTGGAGGGCACTAAATGGTTCCAGGAAGAGAAGAATGGAACCTTGTCATTGAGAATGATGAGACGAGAGCAGTGTAATCAGGGAGATAGGGGGACTAGGGGCTATATAATGATAGAGGCTGTTGCCTCTGTAGGTTATGAATTTGTGCTGGATGCAGTTATCTGAAATCCAGAAAAGAAACTCTCTAACTGCAATGTGGAGTTAGAAAGCCAACGTTTCCTTATTTCGCGTGACACGTACAAGGCAACTTGATAAACCAAGCATGCACACTGGGAGTTCTGGTTCCACATTTAAACAATTAAGACATACATATGCAATACATTGGCATACATATTCATTCTTTTCCAAGAACTCGTTAATATGTGCTAATGTCCCTCTGGGCATGCATGGCCCTCTGGTGGTCTTAAACCACTTACTTTCTCCTCATTTTTCCACCATCATCTTCTTTCTAGTGCCCTACGGATGATCTTTTAGCTGTTTTTCCCCAATGAACAGTTTTCTATCTTGGTGCACTGTAACTCAAAACAATTTACGTGAAATTCAAGAAAAATTCTTCCACCTGGTGGATGCAAAGATTAAAGTAGTCTTACTGTGACTTCAGTGCTTCTGTGAAGCAGAACTGTTGAGAAAAACAAGGCTGTTCACACACCAAGCAAAGCTAAACTGAAAAATGTTTTAACTAGCATGTGTTGATTCCTTTTAATAAATTAATATATTGGTCATTAAGATTGATCCCAAAACCAGCCTATTTCAATAGTCATAAAATGCTTGCCTTCAAAGCAGCTCCTATGGTGGAGGAAACTCATCAACTTGACCTGCTTACTGCTCTCAGGGCTCCGATACTTCTGAAGTTGCCCGGCAGCTTTCAGCTTAACTGTACCCATCATCTTTCTTAGAAAGGGGAAAATGAAAAAAGTGCAGGAGGAAAATATGAAAGATAAGGAAGATCCAAATGAAGAATGAAAACTCAGGTGAAAATATGGCTCATAAGATCAGAGTTAAAATGTTGAAGGAACTGGGATTGTTTAGCTTGGAGAAGAGAAGGCCCCAGGGAGACCTCATTGTGGCCTTCCAGTACTTGTAGGGAGCATATAAACAGGAAGGGAGACGGCTATTTACGTGAGTGGATAGTGATAGGACAAGGGGAAATGGTCTTAAACTGAGACAAGGGGAGGCCTAGGTTAGATATTAGGTGGAAGTTTTTCACTTCCAGAGGGTCGTGTGACACACTGGAAGAGATTGCCCAAGGAGACTGTGGATACCCCACTCCTGGAGGCATTCAAGGCCAGGCTGGATGTGGATCTGGGCAGCCTGGTCTAGTGGTTGGCAACCCTGCACATAGCAGAAGTTGAAACTAATGATCATTATGGTCCTTTTCAACCCAGGCTATTCTATGATTTTATGATTTTATGATTCTATTATTCTATGGTTCATATCTCATGAAAGCACAAAAAGAAATTTTTTTTAAGACCAAAAATAGCTATTCTGGGTCTTGGTATTTCTGTTTACACTTTTACAGAAAGATGAGAGACTTCTTGGATATAACTTTATGTAAGTATTAAATATGATACTAAAGTCTTCAGTATGCAGGTAATAGACATTTAAATAGTACTCCAGTATGATGAGTACCAGGAGGTAGGAAATAAGGGGACAAATCAGTAATATACATGTGAAAAGGAAAATGTTTCTTTCTCATGGTATTTTTAATACTTTATTCTGAACTGTGTTCACCTTCTGCATGGCCCTGGCTATTGCAGGTTCTACACTGAGTATTTTCAGTATCCCACTAAAACAAAAACTGTTTGTGAAGTCAAATTTGCAGTGACATTAACACTAGTGGAGTATTCAGAACTTGAACCCAACTCAGAAAACTAGTCATTATTTTTTAAGCAGTATAAATGCAATGGATTGAGTTTGCAATTCAAGAATACTGGCATTTTTATACTACTGTTCTATTTCAAAACAGGGAAAATACTTGATGAACTGTCCCTGGATTGTGTCAGTCCAGAAGACTGTCCAGTGTGTGCAGTTGGAGATGTCAAGATCCCACATGGAAGGAGAGTAGTTTTGAGCAGAGATCATCCGCAGCACTGTCAATCTTGGTATGATGGAAGAGTTTATGCAGTGAAATAATATATCTTGTGAGAAGGACGAAGAGAGAGAGATGAAATGCATCCCCATAAATAAGCTTTTGGACTTCACTTAAATACACTACTGAGGATGAGACTTAGAAACCCTCTTTTGTGTCAAGACTCTTTCTTAAATATCCTGAAAATGAACTTTTTTGATGGGTGGGATAATTGGATGACAATTGAATTTAAGAAAGGGAAATCCATTAATTCCTTTCAACAGTGTCTTTTCCCCTGTGTGGTGGCCCCACTAATTTAAGTCATTCTTCTTTTTTGTAAGGTGTGATTCAACATCAGTAAAGCCATCAGAACTCTTTCCTCCTGCTGGTACTAAACAAAATTACATATATATAGTGCAAGATCCAAAAATGCACTCCATCTTGAACTTTCTAGATCCTGAGCATTTGGAAGTGTGCAGCATAATTGAGAAAATTATTTCACTGAGATTTTAAGATGATATACTACAGTCTGATCCTGCATGCATGCATTTCCAAACATTACAAAATTAATGCAAGGGTGCACTATGCTGAGCATTATGTGGGATTAGACCCTTCAGCTGCAAAGTGGCAGAGGCAGATTTTCATATTGTATGCTGCTAAATGGCATATTACACAAAGTTCTATATTACGTGAAAGCTTGGCCTGCTTCAACTGCCTAGTCTCTTGAGAGATACTTTAATTAGAAATTCCTACTGCTGTGAATACAAAACTCTTTTCCATTGTGTTATTTGATCTTATTTAATAGGAACTGAGTTGTTAAACTGCAGTAGCTATTAGCCCAGACTAACACCCTAGCTGCAAACAGTCTAAACCTCACAGAACCTCCAGATGGGTACAAAACTGGAATTCTTGGCCTTTTGCTGGAGCTAGTGTGCATCTGCCTTATAAACCCAAGACGTGAGACTGTTAGGCTGATCAATAACAAAAAAAAAAAAAACAAAAAACAAAAACCACAAAACACCATCAAGAAAACAACTGTATTCACGAAGAGCCTAGAATTCCATCAAGAGGTCAAGAAAAAGTCTTCACAAATGAGTATATGTTTCCTAATCCTTGAAATTTTTAATAATAATTTTTCTTAAATGTTGATCCATTGGCTGCAGCTCACAAAAGATTACAGAGTATTAGGATAACTTACCTCACTAGGGAAACATCTTTTTGCATAGCTGTCACCTAATTTGTACAGATGCCTACACCATCTGTACAAACAATAAAAGATATTGTGCAAAAATAAATTTTATAGAAAATACCCAAAGGAAATTGGAAACTAGAAAAGTCTTGTTCATATTAGGTTAAAAATAATAAACCTTCTGTTGGTTTGCATTAATGCCAAAAATATCTGAGCATTCTTCAATTAAAAAGACACTCATAGCAGCTTGAAAATAATATAGCCCTGGAAGAACTTAAAACTAAGATGCCATATGTAAAATGACACATTTTTCTGAAAAAAATGATAATTCTTCTAGCATTTACTTGTTCAGTCTGTACATCTTTGGTTTTCTTTGGCAGTGAGAATTAGTACGTTTTGATCCTTACTCCTTCATATACTTACCATATTCTCTCCCTTATACTGTCCAGTAATACAAGTAAAATGTCTTTACTGATTCTGAGCCACTTTCATGAGTACAGATGTACAGATTTTTGGTCAGATAAGTGAAGTAAAGAGAATTATACAAACACGAATTAGCAGAGTAGAAGTGTTAAAGCTTTGCTAAAGTTAGAAATTAATGAATTATAAACAAGTTCCTAAAAGGTGGAGAGTGACAGAAGTGGAAAATCTTATGGGATTTAGAAAAGATTAGCAGTCGATAATGTAGAGATGCATTGGATAGTGAAGAACACTCAAACCTGAGATGGAAGGGAGAAGAGAAAAATGTACTAAGGGAGGTGAGCAGAAATTGTGAGGGAGGTAAGAAGAATAAGAGAAAACAGATGAAACACATAGGGACTGGAAAATAGAAAGCAGTATGGGGAAGACAATGAAACAGACATTAAAAAACTAGGGGGTGAATATATGTGGTTAGCGGAGGACATGACTATGTGAGTGTAGGCTCTTTTTCTCCCAACAGATGAACATGTACCAGAGCTATTCAAAACAAAACAAGTCAGAAAAAAATCAAAGGAAACTAGTACAGTTTAGATGTGGATAGAAAGCTGGTTATATTTTTCTTTTGCTAAGATTAAAGCCTGAGTAAGCTAAGCCTCTTCACAAATTCTGCTAAATCTTATTAGAGCCAACTCTAGTATTTTTCTTTGTATTAGCTGCCTCCAGTTTGCCTCATAGCTTTTCTTCCTTGTGAAGCAAACCATGTTTCCAGTTAAGTTCACCAGTTGTTGCATTGCTCAAGCTCAAAGTGTTTCCATGCTGTTCCTAGAATAGATTTTACATGTTCTACCAAAAGCTTTTATAAGAAGAGCACTGTCTGACAAATACAGCATATATTTTCAAAAGCTTCCTGTATTTAAACAAACATGCATGAACTGTTCCTCTTCTGAGTGGGTTTAATAGGGTTTGGCTATACAGTTCCTTGTGGGGAAGGGGAAGAAAAAAAATCACTCTTTTGATTTTGTTCTAAGATATATAACCAGTGGATTTTCTTTTGTAAGATGTGGGCAGTATGTTATTAGAAGCATTGTTTGTTTTTTTTTTTAATAGTTACTTTTGATGATTTTTTGTAGTCTGTGTGAAGGGAAGAATTTAACCTGTGTGTCCTGTGAACCAGTGGAAGAAATCCTAACACTAACAACGCCTGCTCCAGAGGAGGACAGAGAACTTGCACCTAGTGAATATTCATGCAGCAAGATGATGGACTTGGCCTTTCTAGTGGATGGCTCCAATAAACTGTCAGAGACGGACTTTGAACAGCTGAAGACTTTCATAACTGGAATGATGAACAAACTCCACATCTCTCAAAAGAAAATCCGAGTGTCAATTCTGGTATACAGGGCTGGGCCTACAATCTACCTTGGCCTTAAAGATATCAAAACACAGTCCCAGATGAAAAAAATTGTCCAAAGCATAAAATACACAGGTGATGAAGTAGCATCTGTTGCTGAAGTCCTTAAATACATTGTGTTTCAAGTGTTTGGAAAAGCAGAAAGGACTAATGCTGCCCAAATTGCGATGCTATTTCTAGCAAGCAAGTCTCCAGGAAAAGTCCGCACCATCATCCCAGCCTTGAAGAATAAAAAAATTACAGTTATACCTGTGGGAATTGGACCATATTTTAATGTGGAACAAATCAGATTCATTGAAAAGCAGTTACATACTAGATCCTTCCAAATGAATAATGTGTTGGAGCTAATGGATAACAGAGATCTCCTAATCGATTATCTGTGTGATCTTGGGCCTGCAGAAAGTTCTCCTGTGCCCACTCCAACAATGTTTGATGACATATTTACCCAGAGGGTGCTTACAGCACCACCACACTTCTCAGAAAATACCACTACAAAAAGTCTGGACATTGCTTTTGTTGTTGAAGGATCTGACAATGTAGGACAGGAAAATTTCAATATCATCAAGAAGTTCCTTGAGAAGGTGCTCACAGAAATGAATATAGGACAAGAAAATATTCATGTTACTGTCATGCAGTATTCAGACACTATCACTCTGGAATATTCCTTTAGGGAAATACAGTCTAAAGAAAGTATTATTGAGAAAGTGAGGAGTATACCCTACCAAGGAGGGAAGGCCACCAACACTGGGCATGCCCTTGACTATATTTCCAAACATACATTTACATCAGCAAATGGGGGCAGGCAGAATGTGCCTCACTTGGTATATATGGTGTCATCCAATCCTTCCACTGATGTTATAACACGACATCCTACGAGTATAAATGTTATTCCCATAGGCATAACTCCCAGTGCAAATGTCCATGAGCTTAGAATGATCAGTCAGCCTAATAGACCAATAATCTTACGAAGTTACAGCACACTTATTGAAGAAGCACCTGAATTAGTGTTGCAGTCATGCTGCTCTCATAAAGCTTGGACAGAAATACCAGGTAAAGTTGGATGTATTTTTTTTGTGTAATTTCCTGTTTCCTCTATCCTGTCTTTGTTTTTACTTCACGTATCTGAAATTTCTCATATCTCAATTAATATTTTGTCCAAATGCCAAGGAAGGAACATTTATCCTTATTAGAGTCAGGTGATTCCACCCCAGTTTGGCAGTGCCATCCATTGACCTGCAGCCAGCCTTCTGTGGTCTGAGCAGTCCTTGGCTGTGTTTGTCAGTAGTGTACAGAAGCTTTCAGATAGGATGGAATGTAAGAGCAAAAAAAGAGTATTCTCATCTATCCAACTCAAGAAAGTAACAAAGTTCCTCTTATCTAAAGTGACTAAATTATTTGTTTGTTTTTCTGGTTTACTATTTTTAGTCCTCTGAGAGCAAAAGAACAGTAGCAGAAAAGATGGAATTGAAATATAAATCTTGAGCCCTTCATTAAATACACTTACTGTTTCAGCTTTGTTTTCTCCAACTGCAGCTATCTGCCCTTTCTACTCCTGCCAATAGATTAGTAGATGTTAGTTCTGATTGTCATGCTTAATGCTCTTTGTTTTTTTTTCCTCCCAACTCAGAGTTGTGCAACAAACCTATGGATGTCATGTTTCTTCTGGATGGAAGTCCCAATATTGGAGCATCAGAGTTTGAGGAAATGAAAAACTTTGTACAGGCATTTATTGAAAGTGCTGATATCAGTATGTGCCTGTCTTTTAACTCAAAAGACATAATGGCTTTCAAATTCTTTTGCTTATACTAGACAAACAACTCACTAAAGTCTTTTTTGTTTGTTTGTTTGTTATTTTAAAAGATGGCAAAATTGTTCAGAAAAGCTAGATTTATATACATATAAATATATGTATATAATATATACATATATTTTATGTAAAGCATTTCAGCTGTGGATCTTTGTGTCCTGATTTCAGCACTATTTGAGATCAATGCACTACATAGACCTCCCTGCCCATGACACAGGGATTGGAACAAGATGGTCTTTAGATTTTTATTGTAAGACATTCATATGCATTGCTTAAAGTGTTTGTTTTCTGCCTTTCACTTCAGGCAATACATCAGTTCATGTGTCTGTTCTCCAGTATGCCAGGGAAAATAATCTAGAAATTTCACTGAACAAGCCTCAGGAGACTGAAAATCTCATCAAGATGGTGCACTCAATTAAACAGAGGGAACAAGGTCCTACCAGACTGGGTGAGTGATTATGTGGATGTTACTATTTATGCAAGAAGGGAGGAAAAAAAAAAAAGAAAGAAGTCCTGTGAATATAGTCTGATCTTGATCACCAATTTCTGTTAGTGTTTTCCACGAGAGTGCTCAGGTTTCTAATTCAATTATTATCTTTACTATATGTATATTTCTTGGTAAAGTTTCAATTTTCATTAAAACGTAATTTTAAATGACTTGAATTGGGTTTTATCTTAATGTATTTTGGAAAGAAGAGTAGCAGTTACTTTTTAGCTCTGAAATAATTCTAATGATTTTAATTCATTATCTTTCAAGCAAGCAAAATTTGATCAGAAAGTGAAAACTCAATCATAAACCTTTCAATATCAATTACTGAGATATTTAGCAGCAGAGCTGCTTATGCTGGATTTGATAGCTGCTCCCTCCAGCTGTTTGTTGCTCTTTGCTGGGCCAGTGTAATGGGTCTTGTTTTGAAACAGCTTAGAACCTAACTACTGTGTTATTGGGTAGTTTTGTTCCCTGTCAAATTGCCATGCTGGCCCCACAAGGACTCAGGTTGACGGAAAGCTGGGAATGGTGCCAGGAAACAGTGATCACCTACCAAAAATCACTTGTGAAACAGTGTATTTGCTGGAAATCTGCATCCTGAAACACATGTCCACTTCAAATTTTTATGTGCTAAAACATAACACAGATTTCCCACTGAATCTGTGGAAATTCAATACACGCATGTGTCAGTTGTAAGATTCAGCAAACAATGATTCTCTTACAGTGTAGCTGATCTTTCACCAGATACCCTGAGAATTTTGTTCTTTTGGACTAGAACTACATTTGCTCTGGCAGCAGCCTAGCTGGGTCCTGTTGAGGAGTATACAGATTTTTAGGGTCTTTGGCCTACAGTAGGCTGTAAAGAGTTGTTGGTACAGAAAAGTGAGAAAAAAACCTGACTTCCATAGTTCGCAGAAGGGTTAGCCATGATTGCTTTCTCAGCCTGGAGAAATAAAAATACCAGATGGCCAATGAGACTTCTATAGGCTCATTTTAGGATAAACCATTACATATGAATAGATAAGTTTCATGAAATCTTATATTGTAATGGGTATAGTAAACAATGCTGCAGAATAAGTAGAGAAAACATAATCTTTGGAAAATGAAAGGGGAGAAGCAGCCATATGGCATACTTGTTAGTGATTTGTTTATGTCTCATTGGAAAATACTCAGAAATCATGATTAAGGGTACAGTATAATAAGCCTAAGTGGAATAGAGTATAATTAATTCCTCCCAGTGAAGTAATGAAAATAAGCCACTGTGGTCCTGTCCTGCACTTTGCAATGTGTGAATGTGGATGGCTGAGTAGAAGGATTGATGTCCTTGGGAAATGCATGGTCATTCATTTCACTCTGTCTGTGCTTAAGCCTCTGGAAACACAGAGGCTGCTTAGAAAGTTTAGAAAGCTCTATTTGGATTCTGTACTTCCCTAGGAAATTTTTTTAGCTTATAGAGAACTTGATCAGATTTACCTATCAAAAAATATCATTCTCATCTGACCATCATTCTCATCTGTTTCTTCTCATCTGTGCTGGCTTCCCTGTTGCAGAAACATGACCCTATAATTCTTATGCAACCTTTGCTGACCAAAATAATCCTGTTTCAATCAAAGCTATACATGGAGAGAACAACTATAGGTCTGAGTCATATGACTGACTTTACCTTCCCTTAAGCCATAGGTGTCTAACATTTTGGCTTGGACTGCACTGTGTGAAGAAGCATTGATTTGGGCTGCATTTACATAGGTTTCTCGGAAAGTAATTCCTCCTATTTATTTCCATGAAAACTATATCAGATGCAAAGAGCACAATAAAACTCATTGATTGAATAAATTCTCAGCTACCAACCCTATTTTTTCAACATAGTCACAACTATTAGCTATTCATGTTTGGCAGTGATGAACAAGAGCCTGCATGTTGTGCTTGTAAAAATCTGTACTAGTGGAGGTGATTCACTGTTGCTGCTATCACTGCTGAGATGCACCACCCACCATCTCACTGTGTTCACATCCACTGTTTGGTCTCTAAAAAAATTCAGTGAGTGTCAATAAATGTCAGTGGGTGCCACTTTTTGCACATGGAAGAATTCAGTTCCACACCCTTGCTTCATAATCATTTCCATGTCAAATGCCAACTTGTCAGATTGCCTCTTTGGTGCCATTTGTCACACAGCAACAAAATGTAACAGAATCTTGATGGGAAGGTTCCATCTCTAATGTCATACCAGAAACAACCATCCACCTCTGATATTGTAAGCCAACATAAAATTAGAGGCATTATTTTTGGAGCAACCCTCATTAAATACATAATAGAGTTAATGTATATAAAGTAACAAATATTATTCTATTTTTAATTTTTTTTTTTTTAGTTAAAATATACGCAAAAAAAGCATAAAACTTGTGGGATATGTGACTTTGTATTTGTGAAACTAACACGATTGTCTGGTTTGATGGCAGTAGTTGCAATTCTTAATGAGATCTCTATATATTCATCAGAGGCTTTTGTTTTCTCTTTCTGTACTTCATTCTTCAAAATAGTTGTTCACAAATGTACATATTGTCAAAAAGTGATGACATAAGGCATAGTTTTGAAGTGAGGGGTATTTCTTTCTGGTAAGAGAGGTCTTACAAGAGTCTGGTAAAGAGACATGATCAAATTTTTAATTGCAACTCTATACATTCCATTTGAAAATTCACAAGTAATGTATTTATGTCGACTAAAAATGGAGTCACAAATAAACAAAAAAAATTAATGAATTTTTGCCCAGACTAAACCGTGACATTTTTTTCAGCAATTTTGAAACTTATTTTTAAATTCCTTTATTAAAACAGAAAGCATGGATGCATTTTCTTTGCTGTTTACAGGACTGTGTTTAGCCAATGTATCAAAACGCATAATCTTCTTCACCATGACTTGAACTGGCACTACACTGCACCCCATGCTCTGGTTTCAGCTCAGATAGTGTTAATAGCATGCTAATGTTTAGTTGCTGCTAAGGGGCCTGGCAGGGCTGGTCGTCAGGAAGAGCCCCAGCAATGATGGTGTGGGACAGAAATGGGGAGTGACTGTGAGCTGTGCTAGGCTGCATGTGGGCTGTAGGCTGCAGGTTGGCTATGACTGCTTTAAGTTGTGGCTCTAGCACGGCTCTAACAAGTGGCTTGTCTCCTAGGATGTTTTCTTGCACTCACATGCACAGCTGCTAAGAGAGCCAGTCTGTGCAATGCTGAACAGATAATACCCATTTTAAAAGCTGAGCTGCAAGCACACCTGTGTCAGCTGAACTGCTGATGTGAGCATATAATTGAATTAAAGAAAACAAGTGTCTGTCACCTCTCTGTATGGAGTTTATTCAACAGAGATTATTCCAGATCTGTTCCCCCTTCACCTGCCCTGATCTAAGGGCTCTCATCCAGTAAAAAACGGGTCTTTCTGACTTGCTTCAAGCTCACCTATTCCCTCCCATACACATTTTAACATTAATAGCAGAATATTGAAGTCTTATAAACAGACCTTTTAAAACATCCACATGTGGGATCAGTTTGCAAAAGCTAATTTGCTTAAAATAAAAAAAAATCTGATATTTTCAGTAAAAATAAATTAGTAAATAAATTCATGTTCTGTTAAAATCCTGAATTAAGATATAAAGACCAGATTCTGATTTATTGTCAAAGAAGGTTGTTTCTGACAGGTCCTTGGTTACCAGGTGCAATCTGGACTATCCACAGGCTTCATAGCCTTTGGCTGTTTCTGTAACTTTTCAAGTGCTAAGGAGCTATGTCTTTTTGCTTCTTTCCCAGGCAACTTTCAGTGCTTGTGGGAAACTGACTTCTCCTTTTTGGTTAAGTAGTTGCAGAAGTGTTAGCGAAATCATTGAGGCCACTGAAGACATGGACACTTCAGCTCCCAATAGGAACCTCTACCTATTTGGAGTTCCCTGTCACAGCTCCACAGGCCCACACAAGGGTATTACATTTTATTCCTCATTTCAGACAAAAATGAATAAAATAACTACAAAACTGTTTTAAACATTTTTCTGCTTTCCCCAGATTACTGACAAAATCATCAAATGTTGCTGTGTTGGTTTATGTTCCTCTGGATTTACTTATTCTGGAATGAATCTTGTTTGTTAGTTCTTGGATGTATGTCCAATATTATAGAGCAAGTTGTGTTCTTTCAGTTCATTCCATGATGTTCAGAATTATTTGCAATCTAATATCTGCAATTCAGATTAGCATATCTTTTTTTTTCATATTTTTCTCTCTTTATCCAAAACATTAATTATATTATTCAGAAAGGAAGAATCTAAGGTAATGCTCCATAGACTTCCAGTAAACATTTCCAACCTTACTCAGCAGATTTTTTGTCCTTAAAATCTTCTCTGACTGTGCAGAAGATGATTTCCACAAAAAACAAACAAACAAGAACAACTAATTATTGAATGGTCTTCTTCAAAACAATAAGAAAAAGATTTTAAAAAGGCCTATTTGTCAAAGTTGAACATTAATTGTTCATAAATGTAGACTTAGGCAATGATATAATTGTGAATAGTATTTTGTGAAATGGAATCAACGTCGCCCAATCAATTAAGATATTTTAAAGTGTTTTGTTATAAGTAGAAAAACATTCAAAATCTACACATTCAAACTTTCTACTGAACAGAATCTCTTTAGTGATTTAATTTCATCTGTAAAAAGTAATATTGGAAGAATATGTGACCTTCTGTAGACAAGTGATTGCTAGTGGAGATAAATGAACTAGATAGATGGAGTCTTACAGAAGAAGAAGAGCTCATTTTGGATTGTAATTCTGCAGTAAGCCAAATGGAGTCTGACAGGAATTCCTGAACATTTCCAGCTCTTCTGTTCAATTGCGGGCATCTATGTGGAGAGAGAACACTGAAGATGAGGCTAGGCCTCTAGAGAATAAATAGTGATAATGTTCTAACAGGGAAGAAGTTGTGTCTGGATTAAGATGGAAAGAGGCTGTCATATCAGGAAATGTAGGATATTGGAGATGAAAGGATGGACAAAGCAGCAGAATTTGAAAAGGTAATCCCACCTTCGAGGCAGTACTGCAACAATGGAGACATTTGGGTGCCTTCCCCACTCTAGGCTAGATTCTTCTAAGGGTTAAGTTCTTCCTGAAGGTCTGATTTCTTAAGGTAAAGCTTTGTAGAGTATGCAGTTGTTGTTCTCATGTTGTCAATAGTCAGTGTGCCGAATGGATTTCATAGAGGTTGTCCTTGCAGTAGCTTAGTGAAATTATCTTTGCTTCTGTCAGTTAAGAGGGATGGATAACAAAATAAATTGCAAAATGTTTAGGTGTGCAGAGCTGTTCTGAAGGATTGCTGGTGAGCTATCTATGATCTGATTTACAAATGTTTTTATTATTCAAAGCTTGTCAGTATATTCCTTATGCAAGCATATTTCTGTTTGATAGTTCTTTGAAGATGATTACTCAGAAGAATTAGTATCTCAGGCACTTATTTTTCACCATTCAGTGTTTTCCCTGAGCATCACATCAGTCATATAGTATCATTTCTGCTTCCTGACCTGATGATTTCCAAATCCAAGGGAGCTTTTAAGATTTTGAACAAAATTTTCTCTGAGTATTCACTTTGTTCACAATTAAAGAGCAGTGGTTACCCATTTTAGCTGGTCTGTGGTTTTTGCTGAGATTGAATTCTCTGGGAGCTGAACAACTTCAGTGTACCAGTAATGTAGTATGAAATTGTAGTGTTCTTTGAGGGCAGATCATATAGCCACCAGATGTCATTGTTATTCTGCAATTGGGAAACAAATACATTCTCACAGAGTCATAGAAACATAGAATCACCCAGGTTGGAAAAGACCTTAAAGATCATTGAGTCCAACCACAACCTAACTGTATTACCCTAACTCTAACAGCTCTCCACTAAATCATGTCCCTGAGCACCACATCCAAATGGTTTTTAAACACATCCAGGGATGGTGACTCAACCACTTCCCTGGGGAGCCTATTCCAGCGTTTAACAACTCTTTCTGTAAAGAAGTGTTTTCCTGATATCCAACCTAAATTTACCCTGGTGCAACGTAAGTCCATTTCCCCTCATCCTGTCACCTGTGAGAAGAGACTAATCCTGCTCTCGCTCTAAGCACCTTTCAGATATTGGAAGAGAGCAATAATGTCTTCTCTCAGCCTCCTTTTCCCCAGACTGAACACCCCCAGTTCCTTCAGTTTCTCCTCGTAGGGCATATTCTCCAAGATCTTCACAAGCATTGTTGCCCTTCTTTGGACCTGCTTGAACACCTACCTCAATGTCCTTTCTCAAGATTAGTCATCTTATTTCCTTTTGTGTAACACAATGATAATACTTCAGGAAAAGGTCATTACTAAAACAAGAATCATGACTTTATCCTTGTGGCTATGGAAAGGCAGTAAGATTTTCAGTACATCGGAGATCAGGGATATAAGGAAGAATCTTTTGTGTTGGGGTGTATTAGTAATGCTGCTAGGGACTTAGTAGCTTTCTCATGTGGCAGCAATAAAGAAGGCACTAAATATCCTTTGAAGAGAAATCCTGTAATATTCCCGTACTTTATAACCTACTAATAATACATATGATTTAGTTTTATATCCCTTCCTACGATTCTATGAAATCTCATAATGGTTTCGGTTGGGGGGGAGGGAAGACACACTTCCAAGATCATCTAGTTCTGACTGCCCTGCCATTGGCAAGGACAACTCCCACTAGACTAGATTGCCCAGGACATCATCCAGCCTGGTCTTGAATGTGTTTAGGGGTGGGACATTAACAGCTTTTCTGAGTATTCTGCTTCAGTGCCTCACCACCCTCTGAGTAAAGAATTTCTTCCATTTACCCTCTTTATTTTAAAACTTCTTGTCCTATCACTACAGGTCCCTTCAATCATGTCCTTCATTTATCTTTTATTCTTAGGCAAAGCCATTGACTTTGCAGTTCAGAACGCGTTGTCAGAATCCTATGGAGGGAGACCCAATGCATCAAAGATGATAATAGTCATTGTGTCAGGGAAATCAGAAGACACCATGGAGACTGCTGCACTCACTGCAAGAATGAACAGTAAATCTCATTTCACTGACATTATTTTTAAGCAGAGTTGTTTTTTTTTTTTAGGTAATTTGCTAGAACAAAGGGTGAAAAATTCAGGCACTTGTGTGTAAATTTACTGATACAGTCTTACTGTGTCTAAAGTTCTGGTAAGAAACAGGCCTGAAGAAAACCTTCAGGGTGAAGGTTCCTTTGAATTACTGGTAAGATCAGGACTAATCTGCAGTTTAAGCTGCACAGTTTACATAGACTTCTCAGTTTAATGGCATTTCATTTTCCTGGTTCGTATGAACAGACAGGCACATCTGAAATGTGATTTAATGCTATAAATTCAATATGGCTGCAATATAGTGAATCTTGAAAGATTCATAAATAAATGAAGGATTTAGTCAAATTCTGTACTGACTTGTATGGGAACTTGGTTCTGGTATGAGTGTTTTTTCAAGTTTTCTGGCTGTAGCTTCTGCACCTCAGTTTCTTCAGGTATTCAACTGAGGAACAGTGACTTCATTTGTTGATTGCTTTCGGAGTTCTTGAATAAGGCATGGCCTAAATAACAACTGTTATATTTTAGCTAAATAAATTGAAAATAATCCAATTGCAATCTAATTACAGAATGAAAAATTTTCAATATGTTGTTTTCTTATCTGAAAAAAGTGAGGATGTTGCCAATAAATCTGTATCTTCATTCTGTTGACCTTACATAATATTATTATGTTTGTGATTTCATTTTAGCTAACACTAATTACAACATCGCAATTTCTACCTTAAACTGCAATTAGTTTATGTGAAGGGAGTGATACAAATAATATGTGGAAAATTAACTGTTGAAAGAAAATGTTCCTAGTAAATTTTTTAGGAAAAAAAAAAAAAAAGAGAAATCTGCATTATCCACTGAAAATCTTTTATTATCTTATCCTAGAGGTGTCCCTGTTTCCTATTGGAGTTGGTAATGGATATGATGAACAACAACTCAGGACTTTGACTGGGCCATTGGCTGTTAATAGAATCATGAAACTCAAGAATTTTGAAGACTTATCCAGTACGGTCACATTGAATAGTGAATTTATCAATAAAGTGTGCATGGGTAAGTCCAGTATAATTGTGTCTTTGTAATTTGAGCAAAAACAGAAATCAAAACACAATAAGCAACAAAAGAGCTACAGTGTGCTGAAATGTTTCTACCTATTTCAATGATTGTAACTTTCACTTAATTTCATGCAAGAATCCAATGATTTTTCCTGAGCTGAGAACTCAGACTAGATCTCCTTTAGTATTGTTTCAATGACAGTCTTAAAAAATGCTGACCTATGTCACCACCATGCTGGGTAAACTGAATTTGAGGCCTTTCAGCATGTATCCAACTTCTATTCCCATTAATGAGTTCTCTACAAGTTTTTAAACTGCGGGAGCTTAAACTTTCATGTATCATCTCCTTAATAATGATGACTGGTCTCTAACTGAAGGACACCAGAAAAACTCAACTGGTCATAAATGAATGGGACATGCTTCAAAGTGTTGTGTCCAGTTCTCGGCTCCCCACTACAAGAAAAAAAAAAGAGAGGCATCTCTTGGAAGAGGTCCAGTGGAGGGCCATGAAGACAATAAAGGACCTGGAGCACCTCTCCTATGAGGAATGGCTGAGCAACCTGGGTCTGTGCAGCCTTGAGAAAAGAAGACTGAGAGAGGAGATGTGATAGATGTCTGTAAATATCTAAAGTGCGGGAGATAAAAGAACAAGGTCAGACTCTTTTCAGCGGTGTGTGGTGATAGAACAAGGGGAAATGGCCACAAATAGGAGAATAGGAAGTTCCACACAAATGTGTGTAAGAACCTCTTCACGGTAAGGGTGATGGATCACTGGAACAGGCTGCCCAGGGGGATTGTGGATTCTCCTTCTCTGAAGATATTCAAGACCCATCTGGATGCCTACCTGCGCAACCTGGTCTAAGGAGCCTGCTTTGGCAGCAGGATTGGACTAGATGATCTCTAGAAATCCCTTCCAGCCCCTATAAGTCCGATTCCGTGATTCAAAATGTTAAAAGCTAGTTGTGAGTAAAGATTTCAAATAACATTCTTTTCTGCACTAAGCTTTGGTATCTGTCTGTCTACAAAGAATTTAACCAAAGTTTAAGAAAAGGAAGAGTAAGAAAGACTTAACTGTTTCTGGGGAAAAACAAACAAACAAACTACTACTGTAATGTATGGGAGAGGAAAGAAGTGTAAAATATTTTATAGGTTAATTCATATACTTGTAGATAGTTCTCCTGCTAACAAATTTCATTTCAACTCTTGTCATTATTTTACTTGTTTTGCCTCCTTTGTCTGTGTATATATGGGTATTTATTTCTCCTGTTTTATTATTACATCCATCACAATAGCATCTGTGTAACCTCTCTGCAAGCCAGTGTCTCATTGTGTTAGTCATTGCAGAGGTTTTTATCAGCTTTAGTAGTATTTATGTCTCCATTAAAATAACAGAGCCAAATACAACCCTGAGGGAGTTGCAGGTTATGCACAGTTCAGCTTTGAGATATCCAATTAGTCTCCACTGGGATCACTTCTGGCATTTTAAAAGCTCTCCAGAGCATCAAACAGCTGCCATTTTCTCTATTTTCTTTTAAATAAGCTTTTGAAGAACCACTTCCTCTCCTCACACTATAAAATATGTGATGTTCTTACCTTAAATTACATTGATATAGGATGAGGAGCAGGAATTTGAAACCAGTAGCTATTTTCTTATTGCAATATGTGCTATAATCTACATGTGGAAGCTTCATTTAACTATAAAACCACATCCAGCTTTTCTAACAAACAAATTGTATGGTAAAAAAAAATTGAATATTAATCTGAGAAATCTGTCTCTTTCTGTTGATGGTAAAACCATCATTATGGAGCATGAAATGATTACCCTTTTTTTCCTTCTTTTTTTCCTCCCTTTATTTAATCTTATTTAATTTTCCTATATTCCATAAAGTAATATTGTCCCTTCTGGACTCATATAGTTGAATTTCTTGTACAGAGTCCTGTTTTTTTTTGTTATTGTTGTTGTTTGTTTTTAATGGAAGCATACCAAGAATAATATTATTAAAAATGTTTAAAAGACTTCCAAATGCTTTCAAAATGTATTACTTGTCCTGGAAAAGAGCATATAAGGCATATATGTAGCATAATTCAGTAACACATAAAGAATTTTCTAGTCAGTGTTTTAATTTCCTGGATACATGCTCATCCCATAGCACTTATGTATCATTCCACTTAACTTCAGGTGTGTTATGAAAGCACATAAGCATGTGCTTATATTTGGAATATATAGCATATATATATATATATAGCATGTATTATATATATATATAAATATATGTATATCATGTATAATATATATATATTATAGCACGTGCTATAATTTGGAAGCAAGTTTGTGAACATCTAAATGGTTACAGAAAAAAATTACACATAACAGTATTATTTGAATTTAATGAAACTGAAAGTATTCTTAGTACAGCTATTCTCATATTTATACTAGTTGCTGACACTTTGCTTCAGGTTACTCTCTGTATTTTTCTTTCTGCATTGAATAAATGTGTATGTGTGGAAATTCTTATTACCTATTAATTAGCAGAAATATTTCTGATTCAGAAAACAAAAAAGGCTGGAGCCTTCCTTAGAGCTGTAATCTTTTAAGTACCATCTGGGCAGAAATATATGTCAATACGAAGAAAAATTACAGCCTAAGAGGTTCAATACCTTTTTGTTCACAGGATATTTTCAGGACCAGTGCCATTGTAGAAGTAAGATAAAGCTAGCAGTAGGAAAGTGTACTCATTCTTTGACTTTCTCTTGTACATTTTGGGCAAATGCCTGTAATCTTCAGGTGGGAAACTCAAACAGGTTTCATAGCTGAGTACAGAAATACTTTCTACAGTCTGTAGGGGAACTGTTAGGCCACAACTTGAACTTGTGATCGAGCACCTGGTGAAGGGGTGTGTCTGGCCTAGTGAGCACAAATTGTTTGCACCTGTGGCTGCTTGTTGTAAAGTAGTGCTGCATAGCCAAAGAGCCCTTTTACCTGTTGGTGAATACTACTCTTCTTCTGTATGTGACTGTTAACCAACCTGTGAATGCTTTGCTTGGTATCATGTAGAACCTGTCACAAGAAATTCTGCTACTTTGTAATCCAAATGTTGTCTAATTCACACTTTAAATTAAATAGCCTATATTTTGGCAGGCATCACCTTCATTAAGCTTTGGTAAGGGAGTCAGGTTGATAAAAGATGTTTGTTTCTCTTTCAGACCCTGTCAGAGAATGTATAGATGAAGATGGAAACAAAAAGGAAGTAAGTTTACTGCTTGTAGCATCCATGTGGTTTTTAAGTTACAAAGTTTACGCAGGATGATGAATGCCTGAGTAGGTGTTCTGAAACAAGAAGTATTGGCTAATATTAAGGTTTTCTTTCTGAGAATGATTTTTGAGGAAGAAAATGGTGGTGTTTGAACTGACAGGAGGTTTTTATGCATGCCAAGGAGAGTTAATCCAAGAATACCTGATCTTGCAGTATGTTGAATGTGACTGAAGGCAGTGTAGAGCCAAAGTATTACATCTGCCTTTCCTGAAAAAGAAAAAATGTACTTCTGCCACCTGGTAAAAACTTCTCGGAAAGCTATGTGTTCCCAAAAAGTATGTGTATAGGGGAAGGTAACATTGCTGTCCAGACTTCTAGAAAGTGCAAGTACCTCCTCCCTATGGAAATTTCATCACAAGATAATTATTATGTGATAATTTTCTCTCTAGGAAAATTCATGCCTTCTTAAGGCATTTCTGAAATGAAATTAGAGTTCTTAGCATTTGTTTGCATAGAATCTTCTATTAATCCTGAGAAAATTATCAGAAATTTTAGCAAAATTACCTGCTCTCTTGAAAGTAATCCTCTGTAGAGAATGATGTAAATATTATAAATGATTCAGATCTCAGGTGAGATACCAAAGTTATTGAGTCTACGTGATGCTTCAAACATTCTAAGATGTAAGCATAAGCTTGTTACAACCTTATATATTTTAGTAAGCGTCAGTTACGAATTCTATTCTGATTTATTTTAAATTTCAATACATTGGAAGTATCTTGATTTTTTTTTTCCCTTAAATGACTGAAAGGAGGGATGTGGCTAATAAGGAAATGCTTTTGAACTGCTTAGACACAGAAAATATGACAGTTGCTCCAAAAGCCATGCCTCCTATTTATTTCCATGGAAACTACAACACATACAAAGAGCATGATTATACTTTATGATAGAGCAAATTCTTAGACACAGAGTGCTATTTCTCAACATAGCCAACAGCATTAGCTATACATTTTCACCAGCAATGAACAGAAGTCTGCATGTTGAACTTGTAAAAATCCGTACCAGCAGAGGTGACCAACTGCTGCTGTCACTGCTGCTAAAGCATGTCACCAGTCACCTCACTGTACTAACATCCACTGTTGGATCTCCATAAAATGTTCAGTAAGTATTGATGAATGTCAGTAGGTACAATTTTTACCACATGAATGAATTCAATTTCATACCTTTGCATCATATTCTTCATATGCCAGATGCTATTTGTCGGTTTGTCCTGCTGTCATTTGTCACACGGCAACAAAATTTAAAGAAATATTGTCATGAAAATTCAACCTGTACTGCCATATCACTGACATCTGCCTCTGATACCACGGGACAACGTAATAAAATCGAAGGCATTACTTTGAATCTATTTGAGTTTTTGTATTCATGCCCTGCGGTGAGTTCAAATAGCTCTAAATACAAGCTGTGTGGAGAGCCACTGTTTTAATATGATTTGAACTTGCTGCATGACAGAATATGAGAATGATTATGATTTTTTAAAATGTAGTTTATTCTTTTGGGCACTCTTTCTCTGATGCTTTTAAACAGGATTGCAAGTGGCAACTGAAGTGTTAACATTTGTCTTAGCAGTATCTCAGTATGTTTAGCTATCTTCTGATGGATTAGCAGTTAAGACTAGATGGTTCTAGTGGTCTTTCCAACTGTAATGATTCTGATTCTATAATTTCTAGCAATAGTAATCACATTCCTAAACTAGTAGTTGCCATAACAAAACTTTTCTAGTATTGCTCAATATTTAGTTTAGAGAAAAACAACCAACGAGCAAAAACCTTGACTTAATTAAAAGCTGGTAAATGATAAATCCAGTCCAGGCACTGACTGTTTTCTATGGATCTGCAGTAATATAAAGAGTGTGCACATCTATGTCCCTATGTTCAGAGCTCCCTCAAAGAGGAAGTCTGAGTCTTCCTCTGGCCCATCTGTTTCAGCATATTTCTATTTACCTATTCAGGTTTTGCTTTCCTTCTATTCTACTTTAACTTCTGTGATTTCATATTGATTGGGATGTAGGGTCTTTTTCTCTTTGAAACCTCCTGATTTTCGTCTGCACTAGAACTCTTGATTTTGTTTGGATCCCTCAATTGATATTTTCATTTTAATGTGGTGTGCTTTGCTGGACAAGAAGTCCTGCTCTTAGATGTTTTCCAGTTGATGTACTATAAAGGATTGGAATAAGAAAAAAGAAATTAAATACATATGGAAGCCAGAGAATCCTTTGCCAGTCTTGCACAGCTGCCAGGTGCCCTACTTTCACTGAGTTGTAGGCAAAGCCATTATAATTAAAAACAAACAAACAAACAAAAAAAAACACGCACATTTTATTTCTCACTATATAAATATATTTTTCCATAGTTCTTTACATTTCTTTTTCACAGCACCCTCTAGGTTCACAGGCCTGAAAAGTATTAAGTCACTTTCAGGCCAACTTCCCTTCCCAAATCCTGAAACATAAGATGCCTGCACAGTCATTCAAGTCATATTTACTATGTATTGTTGTGGATGTACATCTGAGAGTTCTCTTTTAGACCTGATGGTATGTAGTAGCTCAAGGATACAGAGCATGACTTTTATGTCACTGTTCTTGGTTTGTGCAACAGTGAAGAATTGATTGTCTGCCAAATAGTGAAGAACCTATGAATTATGGTTTATCTACCTAGGTATTGCGTCACTCTGTTCTTCTCTTTAATGGGAAGGGGAAATAAATTCAAGAGGAAAGGATGGTTGATAACTTAATTCATTAGCAATCATTTTTTACTTACAGACTTATTTCTGCTTGTGTTTATCAAGAAATGCACAGAATCATTGTCTCATTTTTTACTTCTGAAGTCACCTCTGTAGAGATGGGTAGGTCTGGAAAGGGCTGTTTCCCACACTTGACAGTGCTTTTGGGTGTGCAAACCCAAGAATGAACAATCTAATTTAAAATTCATTGAGATTGTTTGTAGCCTTTTGAGGCCTGTGAGACTTCAGCCTTTTGCAGATATGAGTCTTAAGCTAGTTCAGGTTGTGACTACATCTATTTCTCTGTCATTTAGTAGTAAGTAATCCCGCTGCCTTAAAATTTACACTATTCTAAAGGACAGTCTTCTAAAGAAGATGAGGATGTGTTTTAATTGTTTTTAATTTTATAATAATGCTATATGTATCTAATAGCATTAGTCTAGTGAATAACCAATTTCCCTGTGGGAAGGAATTTCTTTAAAGTTTGGTAGCTGTGGATAAAATCACTAGAATATTCCATGCCTCCATAGCTTGCGCTAAATACTGTTAATTCTTGCTGTGCTATGAGCACCTGTGCTCAGAGCTCTAAAGTAATTTTGCAACATATGATAACTAGAGGCATTGGCATTTAAAGAAGTGCCAAGGGGAATTATTTATTATGTTATCCATGCATGCTATAGGATGGTTAAACTAAAAATGCATGTAGTATCAGATAATTCATGGTGGCAAAACACCTCCTATTCTAGACTATTATTTTTGCTTGGAATTTCAAAAGTCTATTTCCTGCAGTGGTGCTACATTTAACTTTCTCTTGCTCATAAAGTCCTTAATACATTTCATTCTATTATTTAGTTATTCAAAGCTTATTTGCGTTAGCACTACTATAATTGTTATTTTATGTTATTTTATGTGCTATCTGGAGACTATAGATTGCAGTGTGGTAGAAGACAAATTTTGCATTTTTCTCTCTTCAACCTCCCTCAAGCCCCCAGTGATGTTCTCTTCAATAGTTAAATATTAATGTCTCTTTATCTAGCCTGGTGACAAATGGACATTACTAGATCAGTGCCACACTGTGACGTGCTTCCCGGGTAATTACACGGTTTTGGAGAGTCACCAAATTAATTGTGAGAGGATGCCAAAACCTGTGTGTCACAGCAATCTTCCGGCTGTTAAGGTTGAAGAGACTTGTGGCTGCCGATGGATGTGTCCGTGTGAGTATCTATTTTTGCATGCACGTCTCCCCTTGTCATCACTTGAAATATTTATCAGAAAGGTAATGCTGAATTTACTGAGGATAAGGTTGCATTTCTACAGTCCAGTCATATACTCTATTACAGCTAAAATCTGTAAAAATATCAGAATGGAACCTAGGGGTGTTTCCTATAGCATTTTCAACAAGTTCAGAGCCTGAATTTCTCCAGTTTGTTGAATTTCACTGGCCTTGAGGTGTTAAGAGAAGTGCATAATTCAACATAATTCTTAAAACTGGGTTTGTATTTCAAGTCGTAGGATTACTTTTAAAGTAAATCAGAACCCTCAGAATGTGTCAGAATATATACACCTCCTCTTTAGAATGCATGATTTCAATTTAAAATATCCTCTGCAAAACTGGGTGTTTTAAGAACAATTCCTAGTTCATTGTCTTATTCAGAAACAACATAGTTGTTTTGATATAAATACTTGAAAAGGAAATATTTTAGTTGAAACATCTTAAACATTTTATAGAGTTTTAAAGACATTCTTAGTAATACCTACCTATAGAAACTGCATCTGTTCTGATCTTGATCCCGAGTGTTTTAATACCAATATGAAAACATTACTTGTGGCACTGAAATCATGTATTCTTAAAGAATTTCTGATAGTTTGAAATTAAAATTGACATTTGTGTCATTAGTCAGTTGTTATGAAGAGGTCTATAGTTTACTTGAGATTGCTGCTGCTTAACAGAGACTAATGTTTGTGTAGCTCTTTATTAATTTAATGGACCACGATTTAATTTCCCAAGATGATGCACCTTGTGATACTACTTAGTGAAACTGGGTTGATACTGTGTCATTACTGTCAACATCTGCAATAGATCAAAAACTTACAACAATTTGTAAGATTTACAGGCGAGATAGCAGGGAGAGTACTGGGAGGTCAGAATTTCTTTGTTGTTACTGGTGGAGTTTGGCTAGGTAGTCTGTTCTGCAGGAGCATGGCAATGTGTGTTTTGTTGACTGGAACTGAGTTAGGTAGTACTTAGTTATTTAGACACTTAGTGCCATTTCATCCAGTTGTTTAACATTGCAGCAACAGAAGTTGTTTCTTCTACTTTAATTGTGTAAAAACTGCTGTTAATGTAGTCTCATATAATTATGTAATGATTTGGTTTGAAAGGGACCTTAAGGACCTTCTAGTTCCAACCTTCTACTAGATCAGGCACTTGCCCAGTGCCATCCAAGCTTGGCCTTGAACACTTGCAGGGATCAGGCATCCGCAGTTTTTCTGGGTGACTTGTTCCAGTGCTTCACTATCCTTATGGTGAAGAATTTCTTCCTAACTTCTGATCTAGATCTACCATTTTTTAGTTTAAAACTGATACTCCTTGTCCCATCACTCCCTAATCAAGAATTTCTTCCCATCTTTCTTATAGTACCCGTTTAGGTACTGAAAGGCCACAATAAGGTCTTCCCAGAGCCCTTTCCTCTCTAGACTAAATAATACCGACTTTCTCTGCCTGTCTTCACAGGAGAGATGCAACAATTTGAGGAGGAAAGTCAATTTACTACATATGACATTGGAATGCAAGACAATACAATATAGTACAATACATTTGGAATTGAAGCTAATAAATCAATGAGAGAGTACCCAAAAAACTGAAGGCCTTGCTCTAATGCTGAAACTGAGATGGATAGGGAGCACAAACTGCAGATGAGCAGAAGAAAAGAGGAATATCTCACGACTTGCAAACGTTTTTGTCTTTCCCTCTAAATGGAAAATGGAAACAGAACAGTGAAAGTCTTCTGTAATATGTAGTTCTTGTCTTCTGAGAACCAGGTACCTGGAAATGCAAATGGAACTGGAGCATTAACTCTTTAACTCCCAGTGTGCTCTATGATGTTATGATATACAATAATGATAACAAACATCACAAAACTATGACATTCCACCCCTTACTCAACATCGCTATATTATACTTGATACAAAACTTGATACATAAACAAACAATAATTAACATGCATTAAACACACACACACACACATATATATACATACATGGAATTACTGACTGCACTCCCTCAGCATCAAATTCCCTTGTGGTACACATTCAGCATCCCCATTTTTCTGTATCACCCACTAAATGGACACAGGTCCCTGAGCAAACACAGTTCCACGGAGAGGTTTGGCCTTTCCAGAAGCTGGAAAGACCGAAACCACTTTTCCCAACGTACTCTTTACATGTACTATGTGGAGCTTATCTCCCTCTACTGTGCATAGGGAGCTGGATTGGGTAGGAACATTGTGATTGATAGATCCCTGAGTGTTGACCAACCAGGTGTCTTCTACCGAATGCTTCTACTGCTTTAGTGTTTCACTATGCATTGCTTGCAACATAGTTTTAAACAACCCACTGTATCATTCAATTTTACTTGAAGCTAGTGCACAATAGGGGATATGATAAATTCACTCAATGCCATGACTTTTAGCCCAAGTATTTACAAGAGGATTTTTGTAATGAGTCCCATTATCTGAGTCAATTCTTTCTGGAGTGCTGTGTCACCACAGGACTTGTTTCTTGAGACTGAGTATGGTATTTTGGGTGGTAGTATGGGATACTATGTGTGTTTCAAGCCACCCAGTGATTGTCTCCACAATGGTAAGCTCTTAACATCAAAGGTTTGCAAAGCAAGATGATATAATCAACCTTATCTATCAGTTCAAAGCCTGTCTGTCCCTGAGGAAACCATAGCTTGAGAAATTGAAATGCCCCATTTTTAATCACTATTCTTTTTCTTATTTCTTCTTCTCTTCTTATTTAATTATTTTCATAAATTTAGGGGGAAAAAAAATGGAAATTTTCTTGCAAAAATATCTACGTACTGTATGTGTATCTGATCCCTGGAATATTGGCAAATGCTTTTGCGAAGAAGTATTTGGAAATCTGTTTTTAATATGTCATAAAAGTGAACAGAAAGAATTAGGAACAGGAGTTACAACATAAAGCTGCTTGCTTGCTGAACTAGTTCAAAATAGTTTCAGCAACATGATGTGCAATGTGTGATTCATATCTCTTGGGTATTTGTGGACTATGTTTAAATGGATTGCATTCATACATTTTGTGCTATGGAATACTTATGAGAAGTTTGAAAGGATTCCCATTATCCCTAGAATTATATTTAGATGTTCAAGAATAAAGAAAGGTTGAGAAATCTTTTATTGCTAACTTGTTTACTTGTTTTACTACTGTTTATACAAGAATATCTATAAGTTCAGAGCTGTTTTTCCTGGGAAATTGTCATGGTTTTGGCTGGGATAGATTAATTTTCTTCAGAGAGGTTTATATGTTTCTGTGTTTTGAGTTTAGGGTAAAAACAGTGGTAGTATCACCAACATTTTTAATTACAATAGAGCAGTGCTCATATGGAGCAAAGGATGTTTCAGCTTTTTGTACTGCCCTGCCATTGAGGAGGAAGAGGGCAGGATGCTCAAGAAGCTGGGAGGGTACAAAACTAGAACAGCTGAACCAGACTGGACAAAAGAATGTCCAATGGTGTCATGCTCAGCAATAAAAGCTGGGGTCAAGAAGGAGGAAGGGGGAGGGCATCTGGAGTAATGATGTTTGTGTTCCCAAAAAAATATTATGGATAGTGAGCACCTAGCATGGGGCACTAAGGTTTCAAGATGATAACAGATTTATCTAATTGTAGTGTGGAGTTGCTAGACCAAATTTATAAATGTTATAGCTGTTCAGATGATAATTGTTAGGCTCCTGTGGTGGTCATGGGGCTTTCTTGCCTTCTTGTATGTTTAGAGTCCTGTGTTTATTAGTGGCTGCTTTTGCTTCTGCCCTTTGCTTTGCTCTTTACCATCTTGCTTTGCTGCACCTGTGAACAATTACAACAGTTGTCACCATCAACCTGGGCTGGCAGATGGCTAAGGCATTGTTGCTGTCTCTGTGCTGCTCTTCTGGACAGTCTGGAACTCCAGACTGAACTTGAGTCAGAGGTTGTTGACCTATGGATGAGTCCACATCGAGCATGTACACCCTAAAGCATCTGTGGCCACAGATAGATTCATTCTAGAGCAAGCACATCTTGAAGCATCTGTGGCCAGGGAGTAGTCTGTGTCACAGCAGGTACATCTTGCAGTGTCCATGTCCATTGATAAGGCCATGCCAGAATACCTCAAAACATTTGTATTTGTGGATAAAACCAAGACATAGAAAATGTCTGAAGAGACATCTGGAGGGACCACTGAGGAGACTGTGACCAAAGGAAAAGGCCATGCCAGAGTGTTACCTACGGACCTCAAAGTGTCCGTAGGTAAATCCTTTCTGCAGCAGGGCATATCTCTGAACGAACTGTGGCTCATTAATAAATAAACCCACACCAGAACAGATAGGCATCAAAGCAACTGTGACAATGGGTAAGTCCATGGTACTGTAGGTAGGACCTCTGAAGGATTTATGGCTCATGGATAAAAATGTGCTGGAGCAGTTAGACCTCTCTGGGGCTGTGGCCAACAGATAAGCTCAGGCTAGAGCAGGGGCAAGTGGAGGAGTTCATTGCAATGTGAAACCCTATGGCCTTGTCCAAAAGGACAAGAAGTAGAGTCTGTAATGGATATGTCTTTAAACGGTAATCCATGGTTGAATTGCATATTATAGCAAGTACTATAGCAGGAAGTCTTTGCCACTGGCCAGGCCAGGGGCAAGGGTAGGAATTGTGATATTATGATCTGTAGCCTGGTCCAAAGGAGCTGGGGATAAACATTGTGATGGATATAATGTTAAATTTTTGTAAGTCATGATCTGAGTTGCGCATTATAGGAAGTCCTATAGCAGGAACCACTTGAGCCAACAGAGGATGAGCCTCACAAGAAGGAGTATAAGTGCAGCAGTGACCTGACCTTTGCTGGCTTTGATTTCCTGTAATGCCAAAGAGCATTACCTTTCCTACCAGATGACCTTCATTACAGATAGAAGCTAAATTATGGACTTAAAGAACTCAATAGATATTTTATAGACTTAGCCCATAGATTATGGGAAAGATATCTGTATTAAGTGAAGAGTGGTGATTAATGAGGATTGGCAATGACCAAAGTACTATGGAATGACTTTCAGAGTGATGATATCTGTCTTCCAAAGAAAATACTACATGTGATAAGCCCTGGAAGGGGCTGAACACTTGCATGCTGATGGAAAGTAGTGAATGAATTCCTTGTCTTGCTTTGCTTGTACGTATGCCTTTTTTTCTTTGTGGGATCTTTCTTTGTGGGATCTTTCTTTGTGGGATCTTTCTTTGTGGGATCTTTCTTTGTGGGATCTTCTGTCTTTATGTATCAACCCATGAACTGTCTCATTTTTACCTTTCCAGTTTTCTCTCTATCCTTCCTGAGGAGAGTGAGTGAGCAGCTGGGTGGTTCTTAGCCTTCTGTTGGGATTAAACAGCAACAGAAATCAAGTTTGAAGGTCAAGGAACACAAAATAGATTGCTCTCAGCTGACAATAGTAAAAAAATCTTAGAGTTATTAAGAGTAGTAGCTTTTTCCTGCATAGTAGTGATGACTTTTCCTGCCCTTGTAGTCTTTAAGCAAAAGAACTGAGTTTGAATCATCCTTTTGTTTGGGTCTTGTTTAGGTACTCATGGTATTATAATTTTTATTCTTCAGTCTGTGAAAAAAGATAGTTTCTAACCTAATATATACAACACTAACCCATCAGTAGGCCATTAGTTGATCCTGTGTGCATTATTTCTCCTCTCTTTTCCTCTCTTTTCCATCTGAAAAAAATATATGTATTTATCCTTTTGAATCCTTTTATGACATGTTTGATAAAATGAAATAGTATTATGTTTGAAACAAACAGTTTATCGAATAAAATGCAATGTCATAATAATGACAGTTAAATTAGTCAAATACGATTGCAGCCTTTCTAAAAATAGGAGATACATTTTCCTTGCTTTTATTTTTTGAATTAAATTTATTAGCAGATCGCATTCAATGTGAGGGAGCTTCATTCTATTTTTGTAGTACTAATTTGTGCAGGTGATACTTTATAAATAACATAAATACAGGTTAATAGCTATTATGATTAAAGTGATTTATTGAATTTACATGCTTATAATGATTGTGAAGAAATAGTCTAATTTGAAAGAAAGCGCATGCTTACGTGTTGTTATTTGTTGATTTACAGGTGTCTGTATGGGAAGTTCATCTCGACATATTGTCACTTTTGATGGGCGTAATTTTAAGCTCACCAGCAATTGCTCCTACACCTTGTTTCAGCATATACAAGATGATGTTGAAGTTCTTCTCCATGAAGGACCGTGCAGAGCTATACCAAAGATGAACTGTATGGATGCTATTGAAGTGAAACATCGTGGTGTATCCATTCAGCTCTTCAGTAATATGACAGTAAGCAAAAGCCAATTAAGTCATCTGTGCATTCTCTGCTCGTGCTGTGGAGTTTTAGGTTAGGAGGACAGATTTGTTTCCTCTATCAAGTTTCTTCTTCTTGCAACTTGTTCTTAGCTGTATAAGCAAATGCCTCATTTAAACTTCCTAATGTATTCTATATTCACATAATAAACCAGTCATTGTTTCTCCTCTCGTTTTCCCCACTGTACTGGGGTGATAGTGTTTTCCAGATACTTCTACCAGAAAGGCAGGAATTAGGACATCCTACACTCTGATTTTCCTTTGTTGGTAGAGGTCCTCTATGCAATGTTATTAATTAGTGAGTAGGAGAGCAGTCCCATTTTTTAAAACCTATGCAAGTTTGTGGCTACCTGAAGAGTTATGGAGTTGGTTCTTACCTTGCTTGCTGGTGGATCTCAGTAGAAAGAAAGGCCAGCTAAGAGTTACGTGTTACATTTCTTTTATAGGTAATTCAAATATTGTATTCAATAAAGTATTCAAATTATGTATGAAACATTTGCAGTCTCTGAGTTCCTCAGACATACAGAAGTCAACTAACCTGAAAAGGTGATCTCATCTAACTCATGCAATAAAATAGGATTGACCAAAACACTTTTAATCAGTCTGGTATGGTACTGGATAGCCTTGACTTTCACTAGTGTCACAGGGTCTGAATGCAGCATTTTAGCTTCATGGCATTAGGACACTGGTCTGTGTATCTGTTATGCTGTAGAAATGCACTCATATCGAAAAATGCTGAAGAAGTTGTTCATGTACTGCACAAAATGTAAGACAAGTATTTCTGTGCATTCTTAGATTCAGTGGAAAGCTTCAGCATGCAAAATTAACTCTTATGACCAGATTCAGTCAAAATGTGATTCAACTATGATTAGGTTGGATTGATCTTAACTGCTTGTCATAATTGATGTGATCATTTTGCCTTTTTAAAAACAGGTGGCTGTTGACGGTGAAAACATTCATATTCCCTACTCAAGCAGTTTGTTTGAAGTCACTGTCTATGGAGCAATAATGCACGAAATCAAGTTCTCCCATCTTTGCCATAATCTCACATTTACTCCAAGAAATAACGAATTTATTCTTAAACTTAATCCAAAGAGCTTTTCTTCAGAAACACAAGGGCTTTGTGGTAAGTTAGGACGTTAGTGATTTTAACAACTTTCTATTGAGATTTGAACTATTATTAATGCTGAAATTTGTGCAGTCCTGAGCCTTGCAAATTCTCTCATCCAGGCAGTCCACTGTTGGCACATTGTTAATCTGTATTGTTTTTTCTACTATGACTATTAGTGTAATAGCTCATTGACACCCAGTAAGACCTTAAAAAGATAAAGACTAGGCATCTGTCATGTTTTACAAGTACTTCTGTGCATTCTTAGATTCAGTGGAAAGCTTCAGCATGCAAAATTAACTCTTATGACAAGATTCAGCTTGTTCCAGATTTTCTTAAAATGAGGTTTTAAATATAGGTTTTTGTATATATGCAAGAGCACACTGTGATGTGAGTCCCATCCCGTGCTTGGAGGGAAGGTGAGGGGCTTGTGGGGAAAATTTCTGCCTGGGAGAGTTAATTCTGTGGTATCTTCTACAACAGGTTAGACATCTATGGCATAATCTGTGCCTCTTGTATTACAGAAACAAAAATCAGGCTCATTACGATTACTCTGATAACTGCTATAACTAATATTGATTCATCTTCCCCTTGGAGTTTAATGAGCAGCCCCAACAAGCTCAGTCCTCAGCCTGTTTTCTCTAGGTTTGTTTTACTGCTGACTATATTCAGACTGTTTCTTTTCCTTTTACTTGCCCTCCTAGGAGTGTGTGACCAGAACCATGCCAATGACTTCATGTTACGTGACGGCACGGTTATTGCTAACAGTGATGCGTTTATTCAAGAATGGACAGTGAAAGAGATGGGGAAGGTCTGTGAAATCCAGAGAGAAGAAGAGTGCTCTGAGCATGCCACCAGTCATTGCCACCTTCTGCTCTCTGATCAGTTTTCAGCATGCCACAGGATAATACCCCCAGACATGTTCTTTGACGCCTGTGAAGAGAGCAGCTGCTATGAGGAAGAAGCCTGTGAGATGATAACTTCTTATGCTCACATCTGCAGAGAAAATGGGATCTGCATAGACTGGAGAACACCTGAGTTCTGTCGTAAGGGGTTTTCCATATACTAAAACTGGTACAGAAACTTCCTGATTTAGTGCAATATTACTTTTTGAATATCTATGATATCTTTTGAATATATGAGGCAGATCAAGTTTTCATGTGTAAGTGGTATTAAAGATCATCTACTAAGTTGCATATTATGGAATAAGTGTCTCTTAATAACATGCTAACTAGTGAAATGCAGGGCACTTATGCAAGGCTGGAAGAATAACCTATGAAAAAAATGCAGCTACGTGATAGTGTCTGACTTCGTGGCCAGTGAACTGTCATGGGGTCATGTTTGAATTGCCCTCATTCTGCCGGTTACTTGCAAACATAATTGATTTGGTACAGACATCACAGGATCAGAGCAAGACAGGCAGGGAGGCTAATAATTTGTGCTGGTGGAATTCCTTCCTGGCCTGTAACCTTTTTTTCAGACTTTTCTGAATTTTTTTTTTGCACATATTTGTATGAGCAGTAGTCTTTGTGAATTCCCCATGTTTCAACCAAAGCCTGAGGCTTTCAGGCTTTATTTGATTTTTAAACTTCCAGTGTACTTAAAAAAAAAAAAAAAAAAAAAAAAAAAAAATGGGGAAACGGCTATGAACTGTGGTGTTTTCTTTCGAAAGTGTGCTATCTACGCTGCCCAAGCTATCTTTAAGTTATTTTGCAAATCTGGTTCTCCCTCTCTCTGTGTTTTACTTCTTTATTGAAAGTGAAGAGTTTAAGTGTTATGAGAAAACAGCATAGCAGGATGCTGGCCTTGCAAATGCCCAGAGCCTAATAGAGGTGCTAGTGTTAGTCTCATCCAGTTGTTGTTTTGTATACTTCTCAAAATTCTTATAGACCTAAGAAATTCTGCCCTTTTTTTTCCTGTTTTTTTTTAATTGCCTTTTTCTTTCCTGAAAGCCCTATTATGAAAGATCTGCCAAAAATGTACCCTGGATATTAAATGACTCTTGAGGTGGCATATTCTATGCTCGTGGAATTATGCTGTTTATCTGCTGCAATTATTACAGGCATTTAGATATTCAGTTGCAGCGAAATGCATTTAAGGGACCTGGAATGCATATATGTGTAGAGAGAGAGACATTTTCTCTCCCAACTAGTCCAGCCTACAGTGTCTTCATATCCCAGTTGTTTTTTGCATCTGATTTTTGTGTAGTCATTTTTTTTATTGCCTTGTTTCCCTTCCTTTTTGTTCCCAGATGTTTTTTTACTTCAGAATTAGAAAGCTAGCGTCTTGAACACATGATACCACAAAATCTCAGTACGTATTTCGGTTTGGTTTGAGATCAGATTGAGGGAATTATGGAATATATTGTCAAGAATGTGAAATTGGCCCATGCCTCCAGTTAATATCTTTAATATCTTTCTAGAATAGGTTATTGAATATCATATTACTGTTTCATACTGGTTCTTTTAAGAAACAAAAGTGTGTTTGAAATATTGACCTAGAAAAGAGCAGTAGAATATTGCCTGTAATTTTCCAAATTTAGCGCTTTGTAAGATTTTTACAAATTGTGATTTCCAAGTACTTTAACAACTCTGTAACCTTCGAATTTCCATCTTTCTTATACAGTATATACCAGGATAGCCAGAGAGTAGCCAATTTTAATGCTACTTACGTAAAGAATTTTGTTAGTGGCCTAAGAATAGTATCATCTTTTTACTTCAAGCAGGTGCAGTGTGCTGCTGCCAAAAATAAAATTGCTTATTACAAGGATGTTGTACAGGGTACATTAATGATTAAATAGTGCAACCTAAACTCTCAAATACTACACGTTTAATAAAAATTGCATGGTTCTGGAGAAGCTTGTTTTATTTCTTTTTCACCTTCCAGAGAAACCCTATCATTTTTGTAGACTCTAGATTTTTCACTATGGACTTGTAATTAGTTTATTTTATTCTGATGAGCTTGAACTTACTGTAGAGCCTCACAGATTATTTGACCTCTGTGAAGGAATATCTACTAGGAATGACTACTGTAATTCAAAGACAAAATAGCCATGTCTCCTTGAAATGTGATTTCATAGGTTTATAGAAAACTGGTGAGTTTTCAGAGTTTTGGTGTTTTTGTTTTTTTTTCTTTTAACTGTTCTTTTTCCTATTTGAAGGAAGAAATCGTGTTTTAATGGAGTCAGCTTAGAATACAGTATCAAAGCATGATTATAATATCCTCATATAGGTTATAATTTGAGTTGAATGAAATGATTTGAAGCTTGTTTGGCAGAAGAATTACTCTTCTGCTCATTAGCTTTTCAGCCTTATTTTTTCCCTTCTTCTAGTATCCACAGTCTTTTACACAGAAACAAGAAACACTGAAATAGCTAGCATGAGGGAGTGGCTTGTTGAAATACAATTTTATGAGGTTGTCAGTGTGGAATACCTAATTTCTCCTCACTTTGTGTCTATAGCAGAATTTTCCATACAAACTGCACAGCAACATGTGGGTCATGCAGGACCTGGCCAGATTTCCAGAACAGAAGCACAATGATGTCTGAGGTGGCCTTCTACAATCATCTGGTTATTACTGTGCCATTAGGATGAAAGAATGTTTACAAACCATTTTCCAGATATTGATGATGTTTATCCCATGTCTTGACGCTACTTACATGCACTGTACTCCTATGTGCCCCAAGGCTAGAGGCCAGTTCAGAACAGGGGCACTCAAGAACTAGCTTTATTTGTTTGCAAAACACAGCTACGTGCTACATTGCATGAAGTACGTTAGAGGCTATATAGCATTGACACTACTTTTGCTTTTGAACTGCCCGGGTTCTACACTGATGAGTATCAACATTAAACTTTAAAATAAATTAACCTGATTTTGTGCAGAGGTTTATTAGATTTTCTCTAGGGCTACTGGTAGATAAGCAAGATGAAAGGATTGTGTGTTGGCACAAATAAATATGTAGATGGTGTGCTGCTCTAACAGGTGCTGTGGATGTACTTTGTGGATGTACATCAGAATACAAAACTATTGCAGGCAGCATCTGTTGCTGCTTATACTCGATGTAAGGATATGTTTTTCTTGCCATAAGTATAGTGAAGTACTGGAAAAGATTCCCCAGGGAGGTGGTGGATACCTCATCCCTGAAGATATTTAAGGTCAGACTGGATGGGGCTCTGATTTAGCTGTAGATGTCCCTGTTTGTTGCAGAGGCATTGGAATGGATGATCTTTAAAGGTCACTTCCAACACAAAAAAATTTATGGTTCTTACTGCAGTTGCCTTGTTTGCAGAATTTTTTGGAAACTTTTTTTTTTTTATGCAGAATAGTTTTTGTAGCTAGTACTAGCAGTTTTTAAGCAGTCAAATTTTCCTATTTTACATGAACAGACTTCTTATATTTTATGCAGAATCCAACCAAAACATTTAGTAATGGGATTGAAATCTTCAACAACTGTGGTTTCTAAGTTCCTCTGTGCATGCTGGACTGTGGTGCCTGATAAAGTACAATCATATACTCCAACAGAGTATACACCAGAAATAATTGAATTTAGCATTTTTTGAAACAGAAAAGTTTTATTTTTAAAGGCTTTTTTTTTTTTTTTTTTTTTTTGCTTTAGCTGAGAGATGTACATGTATATAGACAGTGTATCTGATGAATGCTCACTGAGTTGGGAGCTCAGGCATTTGTTCAGTAATTTTATTTCAGCATTTTTTGCTAGAGGAGTTTAAAATAGATTTTATAAATATTTGGAAGGGAACAAACTAGGAAATAAGAAACATTTTTCTTAATTGAAGATGTAGAGAAAAATAAAGCAGACAAGGGAGTACACATTATGCAAGCAGTATCCATGTTTCTCGAACTACTATCAATTAGCTTAGTTTTATGATTTTTATGAATTAACTCTTCTGAATTCATCAGCAAAATCTTTATGAAATTGGCTTCAGCAAGAGGAGTGCAACTTTCCTTCACTTAAGGCAGTTCAGTTCATAAGATGCAGGTATCCAACAGATTTGGTGTTGTAGTACCAAACAATTCTGTTCATTAGCTTTCTTTATTTGCTTGGGAACACTATTGCTGATCAAATTGTCAAAAATCTCTTTATTTAGTGCTGTTGTCTGTCCTGGTTATGTCCTAATCCTGAGCTGTTATCAGTGCTTCTCTAATGCATGTAAAGACAGTCTGAATTCTTGTGTCTATTATCCAGTGTTGAAAACAAAGCTACACAAGATGTTCAGCTCATGCAAACTGTTGTATCATTGTAAGGGGTAAGTTGTGCTGTGTTGATGCATGCAGTCTAAAATAGTGGCTTCATGATTTTTCTGTGGGCTGCAACTTAAGCGTATGCCTTTAAACCCTTTATACTGCAGGTTCTATTATTCAAAAAATGTGTTTTCAAAGAGGACTGCAGAGGATATTGGCTTTCAAAAATCTCAACAGAATTCTAAAGAAAGTGGGAGTAGGAAATCTGCATTTTAGATCTCTAAAGAATTTTTTTTTGTCTTCCCCAGCAATGAAGTGTCCTGCATATTTGATATATGATCACTGTCACAAAGCTTGCATAAAGATCTGTGAGAATAGTACCAGTCTCAGTGTCTGCAAAGATTATCCCACAGAGGGCTGCTTCTGTCCAAATGGGCAGGTGGTTTTCAATGACAGCTGTGTTGGTGAAGAAGTTTGCACACAATGCACCAGTGAAGATGGCACGCACCATCAGGTAAATGTATACTTTGCATGTTGCCTTCACAAGTGGTTGTGGTTTGTACTTTTGCAAGTAAATCTGTCCTCTAAGTCTAACTACTTTTCCCTTTGGACAATTTATTTACTAGCTCTGCTCATCATAGCCAGACAGCTGTCAGCCCCATGAGCTTTCCTAGTGTGAAATTGGCTGGTATGGATATAAAACTCACAGCTGGGACTGTATGCATCCAGAAACACATCTATGTGGAGGGAGGGCTACAGGGAAGAGAGGAGGAATGGCATAAGCCAGCTTCTAGCAAGATGAACTCTTCATTCAGCAGGCTTTTTCCAGTAATGACAATTTAATCATTAGTCTGGAACACTTGCTTATCATGCATAGTATTGTTTTTGTACAGCTTACTGAAATATTTTTAGTGCCTGGTATGGAGCCATCAGACTAAGATGACTTAAAGTCCTATTAGCCTACCACCTTTTTTTTTTCTTTTTTTTTTGTAATTTGACTAATGTGTAGATGAGGATCATTCCTTTGAAGAAACTAATCATTTTAATTTTCACAGAAAATCCACTTTCCTCAGCTAAGTCAGACCTCAGAATGGGATGAATGGTATGAGTGCTGAGTACCACACTGCAGTGAAAGACTCTAATTTCTCTTGCTCTATCATGCAAGTGGGTGCACAAGTACCTGCCTACATCCCTGTTGGGAGTATGATGCTCTTCCTATTCAGCCACAGCTACTCCACTCAGAGTTTTCATCAAAATCATTCAGTTAAATCTTAAATCTTCATTTTTTTTTTTTTTTTAATGGGACTTAAAGAAGGCCTTAGTTTCAGTATTTTAAGGATTATACATTCTTACAATTTTATCACTACCTCTTATCATGCTCACCGAGCATACAGTCGAAGACATTTGTTTTTGTTAGATAGATTTTCTGTATGTAGAAGTCCCTGTGTGTGTGTTTATAGTGTATTTCCTCCTGGAAGAGATGTTAAGGCACACAAAAAACAAAGATGTGATCCAAGCAAGCCAGCATAGCTTCACTTGAAACTGTGCTTGACCAATTGGGTGGCCTTCTACAATTCAGTGAGGTCGTTGGTGGACCAATGAAGGTCAAATGAAGTTGTCTACGTGGACTTGTGCAAAGCCTTTGACATAGTCCCACTAGATATCCTTATTTCTGAATTGGAGAGATATGAATTTGAAGGGTGGACTCTTTAGTGGATAAGAAATTCATGGGAAAGTCAAGCCAGAGGGTTGTGATGAATGGCTCTAAACTCAGGTGGAGGCTGGTGATAATCAGTGTCCTCTGGGGTCCATGCTAGGACCAGTGCTCTTTAACATCTTTATCAACGACATAGACAGTGGGATCGAGTGAAAAAAAAATTTAGACATTGGGTATATGTTCTTTACTTAGTGAGCGGTGAGGAACTGGAACAGATTGCCTGAAGAAGTTAGGGATGTCCATCCTTGGAGGCATTCAAAGCCTAACCAACCAATTAATCTAGTGGTTGGAAATACTGTCCTTAAAGGGAACGTTGAAAATAGATGGCCTTTAAAGTCCCTTTTAACCTAAACCATTCAATGAGTTTGTCTTGTGTAACAGCCTTTTATAGGTGCTGGGGCACTGGTAAACAGTGCACTTAGTGAAAGATATGTGCAGGCATCCCTTTGCTGGTCAGGTCCTCTGTGCATTGGGAAATCCAGCTGTGCCTGCCCAGCTCTGTGCCTCAGTATCAACTGCTGGTGCTGTTGCAGCACAGTCTGGGAGTGAGCATTTCCAAAACAGAGATTTTGAGGCTTTCCACCTGATGGACAAGGGACCTAAAAGCCTTAAACTTCTCTCAGGCCTTAGACACCGATTTTGTCAAGCAAAGGGAAGTGTGATTTTTTTTTTATTCCACAACTGTGTTATTCAAATGACATCTTCCAAAATAAAAAGTATGTTTTAATTCTTTTTTTTTTTTCTTTCTGAAGGATTCAACATGTAGCTTGTATTAGCTTTTATTTTAAAATTACAGTATCTCCGTACATGTAGCTGTAATCGTGGTAGGTCAGTTGTGGATCTTTCTCTTATATACAGTATCTTTGTATCTGTGTACTGCATATAAAACTGGTAAAAATTGAAGAAAATAGTTTGTTTTTTTGTAATAAGAGGAACTAAAATTCATTGTATTATTTCTGTTGAAGGAAAAAAATAATAGCTTTCAGTGTATATTACAACATACCCTAAACATAGATCAGTTGTTCACAACTCCCACTAAGATTGTGAACTTTTCTTTAACATTATGATTCTTTATTAAATTGTTATTACATGTATACATTAAGATCTTCATGGCTGTATACTTTAAGCCCCCAAATCTTCAGGCAACTAGGTGCATTTTCCTTTTAAATAATTGTTTCAAGCTCTCATGGAGAAAAGCTCAGAGCACGTTTTGAGAATAATGACTCTGGTGATATCTGCTTGTTTATGTACAAGTTCTGAAACTCATATGAGTTGTTGCATACCCCTTAATGGGGTCTTAACTCTCCAAACCTCTAGTCTGTACCTGGATAGCAAGATTTAACTTCAGTTATTGTGTTGGGAAAGAGGATCAGCTCTCAGCTTTTTGCATCTCCACCATTGCAGGACCAACCATGTGAGTAACACCTCAGGCAGTGAAACTGTTGTTAAGTTATGATCATCTTAGTCCCCTTCTTTTCCCCGATGTTCTTTTTCTATGTTCATTTCTCTATCCAAAGTAGTGCATGGGCTTATGGGATTCTCAGTACCGATACCTATTAAGAGCTCTACAAACACCATGTTATTTCTTGTTATCTCATCTAGTATTAGAAAGAGACTCATTTATGTTGAGAAAACTGAGGCTGATGAAAAAGTTAGAGCACAAGTTGTGATTCTATTTTTCTGTCATGAAATATCCAAATGCTTTTCATATCACCATCTGTAAATGTAGACTTTCTCTGTCAGTTGCCTTCTCAAGGCTTTCTAACTCAGTCAATTGAAATCTATGGCAGAAGGCTTTTCCAGCAGAAGATCTTTTCTAGCAGACATCAACACAAGCTTTCCTTGACTAAAATAGATTTCTTATGCATTAATTAGCTCTATGCAATTCTGTTCCTAAGCTTAGGAAAATCTCCAGTTGTCTTGTTCTGGCATGCCTCCTCTTATCTTGCCGTGTTTTCAACCTTTGAAGGTAAAATACCATTTGACTTGTCTTTACAGATTCCTGTAATTGCTTAAATCACGTAGATATTGCTAGGTACAGATGACAGCATGTTTCCTTTCTTTTTTACTGAGGGTTTCAGCAAGCTGGTTTTTTAAAATGCACTTTGGAGTTCTCTGGATGATGCCTTTTCCCTTAATGGCATCTTAGCTGATTCTACATGTTATCACCCAGAACCATGACTGAGTGTACAGTGTAACTTTATTGTCCTGTAGCCCATCTTTTCATTCATACCTACCTATTGTCATAGGTTTTAAATGTAGGTGACCCACTATAACTTTCTACATCTTTAAAATCAATGATTACCTCCCTCTAATAAGAGAGACCAGTATTGAATAATTATATACTTCACTGGTAGTTTCTTAATATGCTTATTACCTGCTGGTGGTCATTACAGGAGTGATTCTTTCGGATTTGGGCTTGCTATATAGTGTTTTTCCAGCCTGCAAATGAATGGGAAATCAGGTGATGAGACACCACAGATTCTTAATCAAAAATATGTACTGTTTGTTTCTTTATGTATAAGTACAACTAATTTGGGAAAGAAGCCACTTCTGTGTATTTCCGAAAATATCATTTCTTCTATCATTATCACTGAATATCCGCCATGGCATATAGTTCCATGAGTCCACTGTTACTTTCACAACAGCTTGAGATTGCATTTATAACATCTGAGCATTTTGTTTGTATAAAAAAATAGTAATTCCTCATCTCATCCACACATTCTTTACATGTTTAGCTAAACTCGTACGCTACAATTATTTCAGAATTATGCATCTCCTCAGTTTCCTGCTGTTAAACAGAGCAACCAACTAAATCCTCATGTAGTCTTCTGTTTTTCCTCATTAATTTTGCTCACCCTCATCCACTCCCATTGCTAATATACTAGTATACTAGTGATCATAATACTATATTTCATTCTAACAATCAATGCAGTTTTTTTGTTTGGTTGGGTTTTTAATTTTTTTTTTTTTCCTGCAGCACATGGAAATATGGATTCCTTCCAGTGAGCCTTGCAAGATCTGTACATGTCTTGACAACAGAGAAGTAAACTGCACTCTTCGACCTTGCACTACTACCAAAAGTAAGTTAGTTTAGCTCTGAATACAACTGGTCTCAACCTAGTTGTTAACCTAGTGCTTTAGTTCTTATCTAAACTTATTTTATGGATGTTTCATTCTCACTCCAGCTGTGCAGTGTGGCCCCTGTGAAGTTCCTCGTCTGCGCAGGGACCCTAACCAGTGCTGCCCTGTGTATGAGTGTGGTAGGTTCTCATAAGCTGTTGGAATCTTCTTGATACGTGTTTACATGTTTTTATACATCATTAAAAAAACTATACAAAACAGTGTTTTTTTTTTTTTTAAACCACTGAATGACTGAATTATTGTCTATGTGGGAAAAAAAAAGTCCTGAGGAAACTTCGAACTCAACTTTGCCCTTCTATAAGAGATGAAGAAAAGAAAGAAGCTTTTTTTTGCTAAGTAACATTAGAAATGTTTTTTTTTTTCAAGTATGCATTTCCTTGTGATATGGTTTTTTTAACGAAGTATGTTAGAACTTCAGCCCTTGTAACCCAAACTTGAACTGTTCCCTAAGCTGTTTTTGAAAATGATCACTGACCTGCTGAACGCTAACTTGCATAAGATTTTAGGATAGCAACTGAGTGTAGGGAACAAGCATAATGGGAATGTACTTGAATGTGTACACCTTTTCTTGAAGATTAATTAGTCAGGCATTAAACACTCTCTCAATTTCTCTTCTCAGTCTGTGATCTAGTTTCTTGTGATTTGCCTCCTGTCCCTGACTGTGAGTTTGGCCTACAGCTTGCTCTGATTAACCCTGGAGAATGCAGACCGAATTATACATGTGGTAAGATGTAGATACATATTTAGCACTGAATAACGTTGGAGCACTGCATTTAAATAACACTGACAATGACTTTTATATGCAGCATTTTCCCTGTGAAAAGTTTTATTTGGAAGCCATTGGCCATGTAATGATTTCACAGACTTGGAAAAAAGTTATTGTTGACACTTTCAAAAGTGTACTCACATTTGAATTAAGGAAACTGTGAACACCCTATATGTGCTCTGAAATTTGTGTATATATTTTATAAATCTTTTTGTATATATGAGAAGATACATATATATATTTGGCAAGATAGGAGCTTCTTCTGAATCTACAGTACAATCTCTGACCTGGGTCTTCTATTTTTTTATCTATTATTATTTTAAGGAGGTGTATAATAATTTGCAGTAGCAATTAGTGCCCTAGTGTCTAAGAACTGTCCCGTTCATTTGCAATGATCTGAAATTGTATTTGCTTAATCTTTTTTTGCTAGCTTGTAACAAAGAAGCGTGTAGTTTAGTTCAAAGACCTTTTTGCCCACCCCATCGGGAGCTGACTGTTAAGAAGACGGAGTGCTGTGACAAATATGAGTGTACCTGCAGCTGCAGTAACTCAACAGTGAGCTGTCCTCTTGGGTATTTATCCAGATCTCTCACCAATGACTGTGGCTGCGTATCTACTACTTGTGTTCCAGACATGGTAAGGGAGGTGGACTAGAAGTCCATCAATGAGATTATCTTTTATGTTGAGGTGAAAACACTAAAGGTAGTGGGCAGATAGATGTTAACAAAACCCCAAACAGAAAGTGATACATAGGCATTTTTCATCTCTGTGTGTGAAAAATGCACCCTTGGAACCTACTGTAGTTGTTTATTACAGTAATTTTATTCTGATGTAATCACTTCATTTTTGTGACTATGAGAAATTCAGATGATAATACGTGCTTGTATATATTTATAGATATATATAATCCATAAATATAATATATATAATTTATATAAATATATATAAATGGTATATCCACATATATATGTATCAAATCCCTATATACTATGTATGATGTTTTAGAGGTCTTTTTTGAAATTTTTGGTTTCTTTCTGGATAACAAACTTTATAGTGTGTACTTTTGGCTCAGTACAATTACTGTATTTTAGTATTTTATATTTTCAATCATATATTAACTTTATTGACATATTTACATCACCATAGACCCAGACTTTTTCTGTTCTCTGATTACCTTTGTCTGAGGAGGCATTGTATCTTGTGGGAACTATATTGCTAATTTTATTTTTCTAAATTACTATCTGGCTTGGTTAAAGTTTAATTCATTCAAATATTTTTTTTCCCTAATGTTGCCAATCATTTATTAAGTTATTATGTTACATTAATATTTAAGATAAGGTTGCTTAGAAGAGAGATTTCAGGGCAGTGAAACATTCACTGGAGCAACCGAAGCTTAATGTATGGTTAGAGTGTCTTGCAGCTCAGGAGAAGTAGGCTTTATTTTCTGCTCATACATAGTTCAACACCTTACATAAGTCATTTTGTTCCTTCTTTAATCAATTTCTATGTCTACAAAATTAACAGACACATCTCTTTAATAATACACTGTAAAATTTACTAACAATGCAGTATAAAAGATGATGCTACTTTTATGGTTGCTGTGATGATTTAAGGATGATAAAAGAGAATGACTACATGTAGCTTGCCATAGTATCTTTTTATATCAGATGAGATAGCTGGCAAAAGTTTTGTGTGTGTGTGGGACATCTTCTACAGGATTCATTGTTTATCATCTCTAAATATTGGGTCCCATTATAATTCATGTGAAACCTAGTCAGGCCTTGAACTGAGTTTTTATTTGCGTCTGAATGCAAATAAAAATCTCCAATTCATTAATTATAAAACAGCAGCTTTGGTTGCACTTCTGTTCCTTTCCTCAACAGAATGATCTCAGTTTTGAGATTTGTAGCATATCTAGTGGCTTTAAAATATGACATAGAACTTATGGTAGGTTTCATGTGTTAATAAACAGCCTTTTAGAACTAAGTGTATCTTTACAATAGCAGTGTGTTCTTTCATATATAAATTGTTGCATTCAATAGGTGTGTGTGCACAACAACGTTGTCTACCCCATTGGGAAAACCTGGAAAAATGGTTGCAAGGAATGTTCTTGCACTAGTATGAAAGATGATATTACAGGATTTCAGATGATGGAATGTCATGACAAAATATGTAACACATTCTGCTCTCGGGTGAGTAACATTTAAATCAGTAACAATTAAATCAGTGATAGAGCACTGATAGGAACTAAAATGCTTTTAAACCTGTGAGCTTAGAGAAGCTAAAAAAAATATAGGAAGTAAGTGTAGCAGTGAATTATCTTGGAAACACAACCTAGGAGTGTCCGAGTATTACTGACTTTATTTTAGGGTTATTGCTTCAGGATCAGATTCTGCTGACAAGAAAAACAGAATTAACATAATTTTATCTTTCAGGTATAGAACTGCACCCTGAAGTGTCTATAATTTACTTCACTTGCACAATAAATATTCACAATACCCAAAGTTTGAGATAACTTAATTATAGGTGTAGTTCATTTTTTGAGGAGAATATTTTAGATCTGTCTATTGTTAAGCTCTGTCAATTATAGCAGTAATAACAGATATGCTGTCACCTTTCTTATGCTCAGACAGCTGTCACATTCCTTAAAATGATGTGATCTATTTTTGAAAGCCCTCAAAATTCTGAGTTGCTTTGTTATATTGATATAACTGGTTAATCAGGAGGATAAAGATATTCAGTAAACAAAGTTGGCAGAGGAATTCTAGAAGAGTCAAAGGAATTGATTAGAAGTCAGCAATACTTGCCAGTGTCATCGATTAGGAAACTTTGGCCCTGACATGGTTAGTGCAAAGAAAAGTTCAAAATGTTTTTCATACTGCCTTTAAATAACCCAATTTTTACCCTTAACATTTCACACCTTTAAGTAATGTGGAGAATAAGGAATTAAAAAATCACTGTAAAATTTAACATGATGTCTTAGAGTGATGTTTAACATATTTTGTCTGTAATTCATGAGCATTTCCATGTCCTTGCTTCATGTGGTTAGCATGTAAGGAGACAGACAGTGAGGACAATGGGAATATACAGCTCAGGTATGCATAAAATGCAATAATAGAATAAAATCAATAATAGAAGTGGCTGCCTAGCCACACAGTGACAACCTACACCCTTTACCCACTGACATTAGGTCAGAAGAGTAGTTAAGCTATGAATGCTGGAGACCACAAATACATTTTGCCTCTTTTTAAAACTTTCAGAATATATGTAGATTAGTTCTTGATGGCAACGGCAATTTCATCCAGGAGAGGGCATATCTGACCTGAAGAAGCTCCTTCCAACTTGATGATTAAGTGTTCACAATCTGTGAGTTCGCAAGGGTTGCGCAGGATCCACGTGGATTGGCAAGGACTGGGACATGTGAGGTGCAGAGGATTCTCTGCAAATCTTTTCCTGACCCAGGGTTTTCCTCACATAAGTTTCCTCTTCTGAGCCATTAAGTGAAGCCCAGAAAAGGTGATAAAAAAAACTTCTTTTCCTAAGTGCAGAAGCAAAGATGAGCTAGATAATACTATGCAAACATTCAAGTTGTTTTTAAAATCTTTATTTTGGACTATATATTTTATTAACCCAGGAAAACTTGATGAGTTGAGCAAGCAGCAGATATTCCAGTTGTGAGTTGCAACATCAGTGCTTTCAGTGATCTGGTGTCTGATAAGTTAGTTTCCCTCTGCAGTGTCTTGAATGCTGTGTAACTGCCTAGGATCAGAGCAGAAAATGAACCCATTAAAAAAACAAACAAAATAAATAAACAATCAATCTCCCAAAATTCCTGCTCTTCCTGTAGATGTAGAGTTTGATCAGAAAACTTCAGGATGCCAAGTGCAGTGAAAACCATGAGATAGTTGTGACAGCTTTCAGCTTTTGCAAAAGAATCCTTTTAATTTCCATTTTAGAAGAGACTCACTTCTACTATTGCAATGCTTATAATTACTAGATTTTAAATATCTGGCTTTATTTTGGCTTCTATCAGTAATTTTATTAGTAATTTGTTATTCTAATAAAATATAATTAATGCAGAATTACAGTCTTAAGCATTGCAATCTCAAAAAAGCTTTTCTTATATAAGCAATCAACATCAACAGCAAAAAACCATCTTTATAAGATTATTAAAATGTAAGGCCAAGATCATATCTTTTGGAAAAACTGGAGAACTCAGATTTTATTCCTAATTCAGTGAACATACATATCAAAGACCACAGAATTTCTGCAACCCAATTAGAATTGACCCCAAGGCTTATTTTTCAGATTAGAAGGCACTGAATGTTGTCTTTGCACTAAAGACAATGTTATTGTCTTTAATTTAATTAAGGATCATTACTGAGTTGATATTCAAACTACTTCTTGCTTTCTGTTATTAATTCCATTGCCAGTTTTAAGGCTGTGAAATGTCATTGCTGTCCATATCATCTGACTTATGTGAAAACAGCTTACAGATTTTTACTTACAAATTAAAAAAGACCTAACCCACAAACAAACATACTCTAAAAACAGCAATAAAAATCCATAACAACAATCCATAACAATCCATCATTGTGATGAATGAATGGTGCTGCTGTGAGAAATGACCAAATTAAATCGAATCTGATCTATTCTTTTAGCACATACAGAAACACCATAGAAGGAGGGACTTAGATTAACAGTGAATCTGTTTGCAAACAAGATGTGTTTTTGCTTTAATATGTATCACAGTCCTGTCATTTTTTCTACTGTTTCCTATCATTCTCACAAAATTGTGATAAAGCAAGTAGGTAACTGTCATAATTATTGCATCTGTCACTTAGAAGTGATTTCTGTACCTTGCTATTCTCCTGGAGCATCTTACTTAAAGATTTCTCTTGAGGACATCAAAATGCAATGGCTGGTGATAAGTGGTGTCCCCCAGGGCTCTGTGCTAGGAGCAGTGCTCTTTAACATCTTTATCAGTGACATAGACAGTAGGATTGAGTGCACCCTTGGCAAGTTTGCAGATGACACTGAGCTGAATGGTGTGCACAAAATGAAGGGATGGCATCCAGGGAGGCCTGGGCAGATTTGAAAAGTGGGCCCATGAGAACCTGATCGTGCTCATCAAAGCCAAGTGCAAGGTGTTGCACTGGGGTTGTGGCAATCTCAGGTATGTGTACAGACTGAGAAAAGGACTACTTGAGAGCCACAGCCATGTGGAGAAGGACTTAAAGGTCCTAGTAGATGAAAAACTTAACATGAGCTAGCAGTGTGCACTAGCAGCCTGGAAGGCCAACTGTATCCTGGGCCGCATAAAAAGAGGGGTTGCCAGCAGGGAAGGGAAGTGTTTGTCCCTCTTTATTCTTCCCTTGTGAGGCACCATCTGTAGTACTACATCCAGGCTTGGGGTACCCAGCATAAGAAGGATGCAGAGCTTTTTGGAACAGGTCCAGAGGAAGGCCATGAGAGCAATCAAAGTGCTGGAGCACCTCTCCTATGAAGACAGACTGAGAGATCTGGACTTGTTCAGCTTGGAGAAGAGAAGGCTTGTTGTGGCCTTCCAGTGCTTAAAAGGGAACTTATGAACAGGAGGGAAATCAACTTTTTACACAGGTAGATAGTGACAGGACAAGGTGGAATTGTTTTAAATTAAAAGACGTTAGATTTTTCACTGAGAAGATAGAGAGGTGCTGGAACCGACTGCCCAAAGATGTTGGGGTTGCCCCATTGCTGGAGGTGTTCAAGGTCAGGTTGGATGCAGCACTGGACAACATGATTTAGTGCCTGATATAGTGGTTGGCAGCCCTGCTCACAGCAGGGGAATTGTTGGAACTAGGTGATGTTTGAGATCCCTTCCAATCCAAGCCAATCTATGATTCTGTGTGGTTCTATGAATGTTTGTACCCTATGTGCAAAGACATAGTGAATGATGGTTGTAATAGACTATGAAATTTTTGGCTTTAATGTCCAATATTTCAACACAATATTTACCTTTGAAGGAGCATACTTTGACTTCTACATGAAAAACATGGAAGTAAATTGCTTAATAGTGTGTATTTTAAGGAGGTCAAATAAATTAATTTCAAAGGAAGACTGTTGTTAGAGGATTAAACAACAGGATCATATTTAAAAACTGTGACAGTCTTGTTGGGAAGTATTTTCAAACACCCTGCTTGCGTTTTCAAGCGTAATTTATTATGGAATTTAGTAGGGGATACTTTAATGTTCTAGATACTTTCAAATAGAGAATTAAGTTCTCACCTGGTGCTTTTCTCCAGGGAAATCTCTAGAATTGTGCTGATTCATCACCACTGAAGATTTTGCATTCAGCGTTTGAAGTTCATTTGTATCCATCCTATTATGTCTCTTGCTCTTTTCCTTCTCTTTCATTCCTCTGGTTCTCTCTAGGGACTCTTATCTCAAAGTGTAATAGTGGAATACTGGAGTCTTCTTAAAAATGCTGTGTGTTAAGGGATACTTTCTATCATATCTTTCCTACTTTGTAGTCCAGAAGGCAGCTGGCCAAAACCTTAGTATCCATGAAAAGATTAATTGTGCATCCTGAGTAACACTGGAATGAAAGCAGAGTGCCCATGTAGGCCAAGTCATAGTCTATATAGATCCTTCCTGCAGTTTTGAGTGGGCAATGGGACCACAGTGTGCATTCTCTGAAGGCTAAAGAATTAATCTGCAAGTCCCAGTTCAAAAGCAGGCAAAATTCCACTGCAATTCCACTCCTCACACAGAATACTGCCTTAATCTCTGCAATTAGATGTGACAAAACAGCCTGATCTAGCGGCAGAGCTTACACTTCTCAGGTTCTCTGTAGCAGCTGAGTGTTATCACTGGTGGGTTGAGTCAGCCAGAGGCATATGGTTCGAATGCTGTCTTGGGAGTTGCTCAGGAGCCTGGAGCTGTGACCTCCAATGTTTCTTCCACAGAGGAGTCCTCAGATTTTGAGTCCACTGAGCACCAAACGGGCCACTTCAATAGGCTGAACTGTGTGAAACAGAGTTCACTGACAGTGTCTTAGTGGTATGCTTAAGTCTGCTGTATGGCATCTTGTTTAGTTTGCTCTTTAGACTCTGATAATCACACAGGTTTTGTGAAATTTGAATCTTGTAGCTGGGTTTTGCTTAGTCAAGATGCAGAGTTTATCACAGGCAGCTTGTTTACTCTTATACTTCTGAGTTTGCCATGTGAACAAAAGATTGTACCCGTGCTTCAAATAGTTCACACGCACATTTAGCCATTAAAATGTCATATAAAACAAAATGCTCAACAGCAAAACATTGCCCACAAATCTACTGAAAACTCTGACCCTATTAGAGAAGAAAGGTAGTGCTTGGGAATACTTAAGTAATTTCAGCTCAAAGTTGTTGAGCACAATTGGAATGATTCTTATTTTCTTTGACATTTTTCCCATGAACTCTATTTTCACTGTCAGAACATTCTCACATCTGTATGGAAATCAGCGTTATTATATTTTGCCCCATAGAGGCTGTCTAGTTGTTAAATATTAAGTATATTTTTTCTAGTTAGAATAATTTCACTGGCATGCTCCCATTTTTGAATACTTGGCTAGTTGTTCAAGACCTGAAATGGTGCAATGCTCGGTCAGAATTGATCCCCAGACTTCATATCTGATCTACCCCTTCCCTCTGCTTCAGCATGTTAAAAATCATCTGAATGCACTCAGACCTCAGACTGATTTCTAACCTTGAAGTCTCAGAGCTGGAGAACTGTGGGTGCTAATTCATGCCCAAAATGCCACTAGAACAATTTTCATCTTGTATTTTCTTTTGTACAATATTATTGGTATATTTATATATATGTATGTATACAAATAAAGACTTTTAAAAACAAATAATTCTCACTTTTTTTTTTGTATCATTTATGTGTAAAAGCAGATGTTTTCACGTAGTGATTCTCAAAGAGATTTTTTTTCTTCCAAACTGGATTATTTGTATTCATATACTGTTTTCTGAGTGATGGATTTCTTATTTGTAATATCAGTATACAGCCTTACAGTTCTGCTTTTAAAATACTTTCCTTAAGAAGTTGCTAACGTTAAGTCTTCAGCTCTGTGTTTTTATTTTCTCTTCTTATTTCCTCTTTGATCAGTGTTTTTCTTTTCTCCCACAGGGATATAACTATATTGTTCAAGACGGGGAGTGCTGTGGGCGCTGCCAGAAAACTGCCTGTGAAGAGCAACCATTCTGGTCTCGGGGTGATGCAGATCCTCGTTTATATGAGGTGAGATGATAGTTGGGAGGACTTTTCCTCTTCTAAAACAAATTCCCTGGCATTATTTTGTGCTCCACAGAAGGAAACAAAGTTATTTTTCTTGTAAGGTTGGCAACGCTGAAAGCCAGCGGGTACTGGACTTGTTACTTACTCGCTTTGTTCCCCTAACAAGCAAACCCTCCCACCATCCCATTTCAGGCTCTAAGGAAGAAATCTTTTTTTTTTTTTTTTTTGAAAATTCATAATTTTACAAATGATAGTTCAAAAGAATTTTAATGAAAACATTTTCTCTGGCTGTAGAAAATCTGTTTAAATAATGGTGGATGCTATGTAGGTTGGATATTTAGCTGCTTGCATTCTATGGTTCTGTTCAAATAGTATATCCCATTTTATGTGAGTTGAAATATGAGAATATCAGGAACTGAATGTGGATAGAAATATTAATTGCATCTGTTTACTGAAGATGTGAGGATGAAGGCTGAGTGTCAGGTCTGACTGCGGTTTTCTAGGCACACTTCTTTGTTCAAAATAACAGCTTATTTTCAGCAGTGTTTCTTCCTTTGGTATTTATTTGTGTCCTTTCCAAAAAGACCAATAATGAAAAATAAATACATGCAACTAGCCATTCAGAATATTCTGCAGACAATCTATCACTCTGGATAACTAGGCCATATTTTCTCTCTTTTTTTCTCTTCATTTATGTTTAAATTCCTTCCGTTTATTCAGTTTATTCTGTCCCTAATCCAACTAACTGGCCTTGGCAAACCTTTGCCATCTCTTGTAGCATTAAATTACTTAATCTTACACAGAAATTTGGATTTGGTGAAGAAAAGCACGAACAGTAAGTTAAACGGGCTTAACATAAAAGACCTTCTTCCCTTGTTTTTTTTTTCCCCCCTTATTCTTTTATAGCATGTTTGCGCTTATAGTTACATATCACTTTCATATATTTGGTATTAACTTTTAAATTACCTATTTTACAAAAGCAGTTTGCTTCTGTCCTTTTCAAAATATAAATGTATCATTTTGCTGTCTGCTTCTTCCCTGATTTCACCAAAGATATTTCATAATCTGGATCAGTATTATTCTCTGCTTCATAAATCAAGCCCTCAGAAGGCCTTTTTTCCCCCACATCCTGCTGTGTATTACTGGGTTCTGTTGTGTTATTGGAGTTATAGATACTTATACTCTGTTGTCTTGTTCTTGCTGTGTACTCTTTCATCTCCTGTGTCGTCAGCAAGGAATGAACTGTCTAACAAACAGGAGAAGGAAGAATATTCAGGAATCTTCTGAGCAATGTTTGACTACTGGAGGGGTCTGATTCTCACAGAATGTCTTGACTTGAAAGTGATCTTAAAGGTCACCTAGTTCGATCCTCTCACATCACTATTTAAGTGAAATGAAAAGTGGAAGCATCCTGCCTCAAAGCAGTAATCAACTCTGCATGGCACTGAACTAGGGAGCATTTTCTTTCAGGTCTGTGTTGCTATCTCTTCCCATGACCTGCTTTATCTGACTCGTGGATGATAATAACCAGCAGGGGACATCAACAGGATATGGTCTCTCCTATATTTGCAAGTCTTTTCTCCTCAACAGTTTATTGTCAAAGCCTCTTTTGGGCTTAGTGAAGCTGGTTTGCAGTAGGTTCCAGTGGAAAGATGGCCAGCTTGGCTGCTGAGTAGTGCAACACAACCAGCTACAAGGAACAAATGTAAACTTAAATCTATGTAAGCATACATTTTTCTTCTTTGAACATTATTTCACCTGCCCCATTCATTTCCTTACCCAAAAAACCAAGCAGAAGACTGTTTTGTAAAAAGATAGTCACAGTATGGGCTTGTGAAGAACTTTTGAGTGACAGGTTGTTCCCAAAGCAGTGGATATATATTCTGCAAACTAGTGCTTTGACTAGGGTGCCCTTTGCTTTGTTTAGTGACACAAAAACTTCTGTCTGTATTTAATCCTTTAACACTTTCCTGTCAGGTTGGCACGGAGTGGCAATCCCCCTTCAATAAGTGCATAATTAATGAGTGCGTCCGAGTGAATGATGAGGTTTTTGTGCAGAAAAAGAATCTGTCCTGCTCTCAGATGGATGTACCTGACTGTCCAGATGGAACTGAATTACGCTGCGACCAAGTAATAGACTGCTGTCCTACGTGCAGATGTGGTAAGGTATTCTGTATGACAAATGACAAATGAAATCAGTGAAGAGTTAATCATCTCATGTGCTAATCTTCTGTTTTACAGTGGCAATTTCAAAAGTGTATCCTTTGCAAGCGTAATATCACTTTGAAGCTATCCTGCATGATTTAAACATTGACTATAGTAGCTCCTGCTGCTATTATTTTCTCTTTCTAAACAATGTTCTCAGTTTCCTTTTGAATTAATTACTATTGTCATTACTTAGAGAGACATACCAGGCTATGTATTAACAGCAAATTACAGCACTAGTTTGTGGTGTTAAGCAGTTATTACAAGGTCTTGACGTGCTTTTGACCTAGAAAGGTGCAATGCTGTTACCATCTGCAGTGTTGTTACTCCTTACGAACAGAGAGTTTCCATGGAGTCATTATGCCTTCTGGACATCTCTGAGTGTTGTAGTGGTGGCCATTTACTAGCATATACTTACATCAAAAATAGATATCAAAAGATCTGGCTGTTTGGACACAGTATGGGCAGACTCTCAGTCACATATAATTGACAGGTATTTGGGACAACCTCATGGGAAGGAACTTCAGTGGAAGAAGAAAGAGAAATAAGTGTTGTAACTTGCTGAAAACTTCTGAGTGTGTTTTCTGAGAATGTGAGGATAGAAACAGAGGGGAAAATCTACATAATAAATAAATTTAAGAAAAGGGTAGGGAAAGAAAAAACAAGCAACTTAGCAAGGGATATTTGGAGGCAAAGGGATGTTTGGATGTGGAGATTAATATAACTGGCTGAATTATTACTTTTCAAATTATAACGTAAGAGGGTAAAATTGTATTTATTTTCACTGTATCTGGATTTAGATGTCCTCAGTTGGAACTTTAATGAATAAAGAATATATATACTTCTGCTTTATTAAGTCCAAGTAACAGCACTTTAAATGCAATATTACCATCTCTTTCAGTACCCGTGAATGGTTGTCCTTTGAATGGCACTGTTATTGGGGTAAGGCAAGCTTCCTTTTATTTGCTGTAGTGATAAGACATTTAGCTTATTTGAATGAGCTTTTAAAAAAAAAACAGACTTGCTCAAATACACGTAAGTGTACAGGGCAGCTTTTCTCAGCCAGAATCCCTACCAATGAGACATTGTACTAAAAGCAGTTGTAGGAGTTCCACATGTGCATATCCGGGTCATGACCCTGCCACAAACTTTCTTGTATGACAGTGAGCATCTCTGCAAAATAGGGAAAGTTGCGTGTTCTTATCTTGAAAGGATGTTTGGAAAAAAGTGCTTAAAAACTGTGCTATTTTGCATTGTGTAATGACTTGCAGGCTACCAGACAGATAGGAAACTGCCTGTGATAGATAATCTATAAGGTGATTCTTACCAACCTCAGGGAAGGGAATGCTTCCTGTATTCTACTAGAGAATGAGAAAGATTAAGAAAGGGTAGAGACTCTTGTTCTACCTGTGTGGAAGGAGGACTCTCTCTCCTTGGCTAGTAGCAGGAATAGGAAAGCTAAGCTCCTGCTTGCCTTCTGTGCCATTTTAAAATCTCTGCTGATCTCAGCTCAGAGGAAGTTTTTGTCTCAACTGGATACTTAGTGGATAGATAAAGATGTGTTTTACCCAGTCCATAACAGTGGGAAGGATTGTAGTTAAGCATCTGATCTCATTTATGCTGAATTTATCTTTGGAGAGCTCTGTCAATAGGCCATTATTTCCCTAAATCCATGTTCTGGCATCACCTCTGGTGTCAGACAGCTCTCTCAGCATCCCTGGGGGAAACAGGTCCCCTTTATTCATTTAACCTAACTTTTAACCTAAATGTTCCTTTTTTTTTGTTTATTGATAAAGTATATTGATAAAATCTAAATCTCTTTGGACTCTCGAGGAGCAAAACTCTTTGTTTTTTTGAGCAGAGAGCACCTCTCTCCATATATTGCTTCCATTTTTTTTTTTTTTTTTTAATATTTAGTAGGTATAAGTACTTCATTTTGTTAGAGCTAAAGCCATTAAACCTCCATCATCTGTTTGTCTCCTCTACAATACGTTGAGAGACGAAGTAACTCCCTTTCATAAAAAACTTTCTTGTAGAGAGTATTATTCAGTACAATTGTCAGCTCCTGACATCTGTTGTCATAGATTGTGTAAATATAAATTTGTAAATTAAATTGTGTTGCAAAAAGAAGGTATCTTTCCAATTGTGTGCTGTTATTTGATGAACAAATAATTTTTTCTCTTCCAACAAAATGTTGACTGGATTTGTCAGAGTCCTTATTCTGTTTTTAAGTATTTAAAAATATTTTAAGTACAACATCAGAAATTTTTGAGAAAGCTTTTATTAAGAGCCCTTATTAAGTATTTTGAAGATAAAAAGTAAAATCTTTAAATTTGTCAAATACTGAAAAAATTTCTATCTTAACAAAATTTCTTAAATTATCATGAATTCATGATGTGACACAATTGCATTATGATTTGTTTTTGTTTGCTATTTGGACCTCTATAAAAACTTTTTTTTAATCCAGATTTTAAAATGTTTTACTTGTCTTGCTGACAATCAGCCATTTTATCAAACGCAGTCTGTGAAAGATTTTGAGGGTATAGGTAGGCCCCAGCTGCTGTATTACTTCTGTGCTTTACTTTTTCACTGTATCAGGCACCTAGCGTTCAGCAACACAGTTACTAAAACGTTTTTTCAGAGTGGAGAGAAGAGTGTGAAATTTGAATGAAGATATGAATTTTGGAACCTATCTAGACAAAAGGGACATTTTAATGGGGAAAAAAAAAGGATAAAAGTATTTTGTGGATCTTAAATTAGAACTTGTTTAATGTGTATTTTCATTTTTTTTTTTATTCAGTTACTTTTTTAAGCTAATTAGTTGTATGTCTGAAATTTTTTGAGCAGCTGGGGTTACCACAGCTTTATCTTAGTTTATTTCTTACTTCAGTGACTCTTTTAGAGCTCGGGTCAGGAAGGAAGATGTGTTGTTCACAGAAGTTTATACTTCCAGGATTTTGAACCCCTTATTCTGTATCCTTTAATAGTAGGTTTCAGATTTCATTTTATATCAGGGAAAAACTTTCCTCTATTAACTCATTCATTGAATAGTTCAAAGTTTTGAGTCATTTACTGCAGTTGTTAACTATGTAATTCAGTGTATCATATTCACTCCACTGTTCTTAAAAATGTGGTGGGCTTTACTGCAGAATTCCAAGCAGGTGTTTGTAGTTACTGGAAGGATTATCTGCATCACTCATCTGTTTTCTCAGGCATTTGTTGAGTTGTAGTTTTGTAGGAGATCTGAATAGATCTTGGCTTTATGCATGTTATTTTGTTTGCACTGACTAGCACTGGGTTAGCAGATGTTGACATTTTATTCTATGCTAGCCAAGAAAACATATGATAGATGTGTATTATATGAAGGGAAAAAGTCGCACCAATCTATTGTTTCACTCAGTTTTGTCATGCTAAGCTATGTTTGCTCACAAAATATCATTATTAAAGTCCATTTGCATGCTGATTGTTGAACACTCTAAAAAATTATAAAACTAAACTGTGATAGAAACTTTGGATCAAAGTAAATCCTTCCTCCGTTTTTGTGTGTTTTGTTTTAACATGTTTCTAGTATGCACTTCATTTCTGCCCATAACAGTGTTTTTTGGATAGCTCACCTTTACTCATCTTTTTCTATAAAATTGGAATTTTTAATCTATCCAGTGAGCATAGCAATTGTTATATCAGTTGTGGTTTTGTAGATCCTTTCTTCTTGATATGAAAGCTTAACGTTGCTAAGGAATTTTGTGTAAACATTCATCTAGAGGAACTGAATTACGTATGTTTAGAGCCAAATAGATGTTGCCTTCCAGTACTTGAAGGGAGCTTTTACATGGTCTGATAGTGACAGGACAAGGGGTAATGGCTTTACAGTAAAAGAGAGGAGATTTAGGTTAGACATTAGGAAGAAATTTTTTACTCAGAGGGTGGAACAGGTTGCCGAGAGAAGAATGCCTCATCTCTGGAGGTGCTCAATGACAGATTGAATGGGGTCCTGGGCAGCCTGATCTCCTGGTTAGTAACCCACTACAGCAGTGCTATTATCAGTGAACCAAATGACCTTTAGGGGCCATAAATTCTGTACTAGAACTGTCATTCTGATAACCAAACCCTTTCCAATGTTAAGACTAGACAAAACAACACGTTTTGTATATTTGCTTGCCATTCCACACCTATGTGTGTCTTCATGTCTGAATCCATTCAGTTCTTTCAACTCTCTAGATATTCATAATAGAAGGTTAAATTGGTAAAAGTGAGGGATCTTATACTGAAATTTCAAGCTAAATTATTAAAATACTTGATGTCTTCCCATCAGAATTACAACCTCCATCATATTGTTCATGGAGAATCTTTTTCCTAGACCTCTACAAAACAAAAATAAAGTCATTTCTTTTGTTGGTGCTCTGTTAAAAACCACTGAGCTCTAAAGACAGGTGTTGTGCTGAGGTCTAGTGATAGAATGTAATTAATATTCTTTATTCAAAACATTTGTTCTTCAGTGGGTATGTGGCTCAGAACTACCCCTAAATCCATTAACTTTACACATTTGCTCTGGCTAACTTCTTAATTTTACTTCATTTGTTCCAGGAATGTTTACTTGTGTGTAATAAAAAAATGACATTATGGTTACGTGTAGTACGAGATGCGGGAAATGCCTGTTCTCTGAGAAGTCAACAGTGAAATTCCATTTTGAAGCCTACCCGAAGTTTTTGTCAAGCAATATTCGGTGTCTGTTTATTAGTTTTCAGATGTTCTTTGTGCAGTCTTTCATGCACTGCACCAATTTTGTCCACTTAGCCAAAGCAGTTTATTATTTTGAGGTTAAAATGAAAGTCTATGTTCTTTGGAGGCAGAAAGAATTTGGATTTAGAATTTCTTTAATCCAGTTGTTAACTCCACATCCTATTCTTTCCTATCTAGTAGTGTGACATTTTCCACTCTATGTTTTAACGTCGTTTTTGCTTGCTTTCAAAAAGGTGATGGGATTAAGAAAACAGTGCTGCAAAAAAGTTCTCTGCCAGTTCAGTCACTGATTTTCTTGTAGCTGTGAGGGAGTCCAGTGCATCATTCAGTAACTGCTTTTTGTTTGTTTTTCTCCTTCTACTCTTGACAATTTTAAACTTTTAGGCCTCCAGGGATTCTAAGTGATTTTTTTTTTTTAATATGTAGAAATAATAACAAGTAATTTTCATTCATAAATGGTTAGCTGTGATGGCTCAAGAACTAAATATTGTTCGTGAACTGATTCACAGCACTTGAGAAAAATAAACTGGTGGAAACCACCTAGCACATAGTAAGGACAACTCATGACAAAATCTTTCTTACTGTTTTCAGAGATTCCTTTCTTCTTTGCTAGCTCTGTAATTAAGGAAGTAATAACAATGCCATTTTGGAAATTACAGAATTCTGAATGATTTACTAGAAAAATAGGCTTCTGCTTTGCTGCTTGTTGGGAGATTATAGATGTAAAATTTGGATCTCTGGAAAGTGAGGGCATTGATTTTGCTTTCTCTTGCGAGGACTTGAAGAACTTTGCTTAATGAAAGACAGTTAACACAGATAAAATTGGTCATTTGTTTGAGTTTTGCTCAAGAGACAGACTTTACCAGCCATTTCTAATGTTTCAGCCATGGAAACGCATGATGGTGGATCAATGCACAACATGCATCTGCTCCCTCCAGTCAGTGTCTTCTCGGAGATACAGTCTCACATGTACAAAATTCAGCTGTGAACCGTGCCCAACAGTAAGTGCAAGCAATTCTGGATGCTCTGATTAAGACTGTCTGATGATAAGATCTTCACTGTATATATCAGTATTTGTACAATTTAGGCTACTTACCTTTTGGGCAAAACGAGGTATTAGAAATCACTATTACAGGAAGTGCTAGAACTGCTATAGTGTCATTTCCTGCATTATCTCTGTCTATCTAGGAACTGACAGCTCAGTCAGAATCTTCCTCTTTCAGGACTTTCCTGTGACTATTTCCAAATTGTCTAATAGCTGAACCCAGTAGTAATTTGAAGTGATTATTCCTATTAGTTTCACTGACCTTTTTGAAGTCTGCTGCTGCTTCTGTCGTTAGCAATGAATAAGCTTGGCAAATTGCTCTCATTTGTACTCTGCTGACCAACAGTGTGACTGAAGTGCCTAAGTAGTTTGCTGAATCACATATATATTTTTTTCTTTTAGCGTTAACAATTCAAAATGAGGGAGATCTAAGCAAATTGCAGAGGCTACCTCTGTCTCCCCCTGTCCAAAGAACACAGATCAGCAACTAACTTTCACAGAAAAATGTTTAAATGCCCTCTTGTCTTCTGCCTTTCCATGGAGTGAATGGAGTCCAGTGGGCCCACACAAATCCACAGCCTGTGCAAGCAATGGCCATTGCATCAAAAATACATCTCTGACATAATCATACAGGATTCCTGGCTGATATCTAGAAGAAGAATTCATCAACAGAGTCCTTGCAAAAGGAGGGGACAGAGTTATGGGGAAGTCTGGTAGAAGTTGGAAGGAAAAAGCAGTAAATCAAATTTCCACTATGCCAGCTGCACAAGTAAACAAAACAGAACACAACTATAGGCTCAACCCCTGATATTGATTAATTGTTAGCAGTGTCCCAGCTAGCTTGTCTTACAAATAATTAAATAGGCAGAGGTTATTTGTTGACTTCTATTTCCTACACAAACTAGAAACAGCCAGTTTCTTTTATGGGGCGAAGGCAATTTAGACATACACATATGTGTTCCATTAGTCTGTTGGGTGAGAAAAAAGGCCTTGACTCTGTTTATTTGCATCAAGTGACAAAGGGATGAATCTGGAATACTTAAATGTTGTTCTGGATCCTAATATTGCCACTTGTATTAGATACGATTTTAGTCACACTCCTGAAGAGAAAATAAATGATGAACCTTGGTGCTGAACACCTTTCTTCCTTTCACAAAATGTAACCTGGCAGATAAATGACAAAAGGTATACTAAAATGAATCTGTGACAAGTAACATGTGTGCATGTGTATGTTCCCACACAGACGTGCACAAATAAGAATTCTTCCTTTTCAGTGCTAGCTGTAAAAATTAAAGGTAGGAGAATCAATAAAGTACATGGAAAAAACAGGAGGGAAAACATTCCACTCTTGCCCCTCTTGGTATCTGTATAATTCCCAAACAGCCTTCCTACAACCTGACTCAAAAATTTGGACTAAACAAACAATAAAAATAAAAACAAAAGAGAGCTATTTCCAGTTGGGATTATTAAACACCATGAAATTATGTTTCAGAGATGCGCAGCTACCCAAGGCAGCTTACGGGTCTAGATTGTAGCCATAGTAATGATACTGGAACTTGAAGGATACCAAATTCAAATAAATCAAATTAATAGAATTCATCACTCTAAGGCCAGTGGAATTTACTCGCTCACTTTGAATCCTTTCTGTCTCAGTCACTGATTTTGTAATATACCTAGATTAAAAGCAATTCATCCATAATGGACAAAATCATGGGGTAGAGTATGTACTGTCTCGGGAGCACTTGCTTTCTACTGTCTCTTGAAGCAGTGAAAGTTAGTGCATTGGTCATTGAAATGCAGCCAACTGCAGCATATTCTATTCTTCAGGATGTGTTTTCTGTTTATGGCCTACCATAGGTGCTTACATTTTCAGTAGTAGAGCAAATTTACCAAATTAGATTTCTTCTAGTGGTTTAATATTAACACCCCACTCTCCCCAATTATTTTTTATAATAATACGTATGGATAACATGCATGCCTTCATTTAACCAGGAAGTGTTTGTTGTCTTAAAGAAAATTTAGCTCATCATAAGCAGCTGTTTGTTATGTGTAGCAGCTGGAGACATTTTTGTGGGACACTTCATGTCTTAAGTTAGTTTTTCTGTTGTTTTATTTTTCACTTACCATTATATCTGTTCTATCCTCACCATCAAGTTCTACTTGTTTTTTCCATACTCCTTCTCCCACCACTGTATTTTTCCTTTTTTATGCCATTTTTCAGGCTCCATTATTCCTTTCTTCTTTCCTTCTTTTTCATTTTATGATGGTATCCTCTCCATTACTCTCTTTCTTTTCATTGTTCATAATTTCCATCTTAGCCTTATTCTTCCATTTCCCTGTCCAATGTTCAGTGGTTTTCTAGCCTTCTTAGCTTATGGAGAAAAATGACCTTACGGAGAAACATATTAGCTTATGGGAAAGTTCCTACCCACCACAAATGTGAATTGCATGCCTCTCAGAATATTTTAATGAATTTGTTTCCTCCTACTGTCACTTCTTTTGGTCAGCCTTATCTTGCTACAGTTATAGTCACAGAATATTGAATTTAGTGGACACAAGAGACTTTGTAATTGGAAATAAACTTCTTTCTATATTTATTATAAATCAGTACAAGGATTAATGCCAGCCTTTATAAAACAAAAGCATGCAATTTGTTCGATTGAGCTAGTTTAGACCTACTTAAAAAAAAAAAAAAAAAAACCCTCAAAAATACTTGCTTACAATTTCTTCAGCTATTGAATTCTTCCTCCATTCTCTCCTCCCTGGAAAACACCTTCTAAAAAAATGCATAGGAGATATGCTTAGGAAAAAAAACAAAACAAAACGAAAAGATAAAAAAGACAACAAAAAGAAACAAACAAAAAAGCCCAAGCAGGGCTTCCCAACCGGGGGGGGGGGGGGGGGGGGGGGGGGGGGGGGGGGGGGGGGGGGGGGGGGGGGGGGGGGGGGGGGGAGGAAAGAGAAACAATTCCATGTGAAGTTCTTCGCCTTCTAGAATTACAGAAGGCAGGAAGTTTCTGGTTCTTGCTGTGGAAAATGTGTGCCAACTTCATGTGGCATCAGACTGAGAGATGGAAGGTTTCAGTACCTTCGGGTAAGTTCAAAGCACTGTTTCTTTTACTTAAGAGTTGACATAAATGTAGCACAGACTTCTGGTAGCTAAAAGGAAAGCTTATTTTTCTTCTTTTTTTGTTAGTCAGTAAGGTGTTTTTAGTACCTTTTCTTTTATATCCCAGAATGTTTTCTAAAGGAAGTTTTTTGTTGTTGTTTATAGAAGAAAATGAATTCACAGCACAGTGAATTAGAGAAGGACAACCTTGATGTCTAGAAGTTTGAATATTATTAAATAACTTTAACTTGAATAGGAACTCAACAGCTACCTAGCAGAAATCTAAAGCCTCCTTTGAAATGAAATGGATAATTTAAGTTGAAAATGTGAATCTCAAAAAAATTTCCCAGCTTGATAGTTTCTTAAACACAGGAGTTCCTTGTGTGTGATTATGTTATTTCATTGAGGAAGCTCCTCACTCTACCAGCTATTAAATATGCATTTATATGTCTCTTTAAAAGACAATTTGTTTCTTGCTTAGACAAGTTTCTTCTTTAAGTTAATGGAAGTTCCTTCCTTGGTAAGAACTAAAAAAGGTCAGAGTTGGCAGTCTTCGCTGAGCTGTATTCAGTACTTCTATGAGAGTAAATAATTATTTTTAGAAAACTACAGTTTACTGGAGATTGCCATGTTTTATAAGCTTCCTCACAGTGGTATATTACTTGAATATGGTATAGAATATTAATAAAGGAATATCAGGTTATACAGTACCCTGAAAACTTACTGTCCTGTGCTTTAGCAAAAGCTAACAGTTCTTAAATCTTTCCAGCCAAATGAATCACTTCAGGATGGCTGTGATAGTCACTTCTGTAAAATAAATGAGAAAGGGGATTTTATCTGGGAAAGGAGAATCACTGGCTGTCCTCCATTTGATCCCAGAAGATGTTTGGCTGAAGGTGTAAGTAGTGAAATGGGTCCTGTTTCTGTGTTTCCCAATAGCCTTTGTCATGTTTATTGTTCTGTATATAAGTACCATAAGTGTATTAGGGATAGGAAACTCCAGTTCTCTCACCATACCTTGGCTAAACTGAATTTGAACTTACTTTGAAATTCGGAAAACTGTAAGTTTCCTTTATTTTAAAATAAATGCCGCATGTGAAAGTGCACTGCTGGAGAGATGCAGTAATTCCATGAGATTTCATGTGAAGCAGTAAAATCAAGAAAATTATTGTTCTCACGGTATTTTCAGTTCAGTATCCTGAGCAAAGCTGTGTGAATAATTATGCATACTGAGAAACAGTCAAATTGGACTCTTTTTTTTGTTTTTGCTTACGATAATATACATTAAATACCAAGGCATTTTTTCTCAACTCTCTTAAAAGATTAGAGTAAGAAAGTTTTAGTCATGCTCTTGGAAGAGCTCAAGCCTCTGCATTTGCAGTGGTTTGGTATAATGGTGTAATAAAAACCCTACTTGTGCAGTCCAGGAAGGGGTGTTGTACATGGTATTCTATTTTTGCTTAGCTAACATCACTCAGATACTAACTGGTCCCATTTTTTCAGCATGACAGGAAATAGGAAATCTTAAATAAAGCTCATGCCCAAACCTTGCTCAACATACACATCAAGCAAATCGAGAAAGAATTGATGTGTGAAATGCAGAAAGAATAAAACCATTTTGGGAAGTTGCTGCAACATAAACAGAATTTTTGAATAATGCTGGATTATATTGCAGGCATGGTGTTATCACAACATTCAGAATGCCCTAATTGTAAATCATTTTTAACACCAAAATTCCCAAATTGTATTTATTTTCCTCCCTTGTGCAACAATGGAAGCAACAATGAAGCCCCACTACATCATCTGTAAAATTAGTGGGTTTTTCTCTTGTAACAGTAAGTTTAGAGAAAAAAAAAATCAGGAGGGACATTTAACTGTTTTTCTTTGAGAGAAGATTTGAATACACTGTGTTTTGTCACTTTGGTTCCTAGAAGTTGATCTGTATTCATCGTCTTTACTTTAAAAAACTTCTACTGTTAGCTAAATTGAAAACAATATTTTAAAGTACTGAACATGTCAATTATTTCCAATCTTTTATCAACAAATGAAATCACATGTTCAACAACTTTAAGTAGATTAAAATGAGATTGGTTATTACTATAGATTTATATTTTTATATGTTTATAGGAATACAATTCTCTTGCCTAACATGCTGTTTCAAACATAATTTTGTAGACTTTCAGCAGAACAGATGTGTATCAGTAGTCAAAATATTTGTATTTTTGTTGTTTTAGGGGAGAATTGCAAAACTAGGCAATACCTGCTGTGACACATGTAAGTAAATAAGCCAAAAGTCTTGTTTGGAAATTGCAGAGAACTTAAACTGTTGGATAAGGAGAGCTAAGAAATGTAGTCACCCCAGTACCCTCATGGATAATGCTGTCATGTTTTTTTTCTAGAATATTGTTTTGACAGTATTCATAAGCACTTTGAAAGAAACAGATACTCTCTACATTTCAGTATGTACCATTATACACATGTTAATTATGAATGTTATATTTTATTGTTTATCTAAAGAGAAAAGGAACAGTTACAAATATGCAGGTTGACATGTCACATAAACTGAGACTGAGTCAAAAATTTAATAAATAATCAGTGGACTGAAAAATAGATTTAGCAGAATTAGCTGGTGTAAGAAAAGTAATTATAATTGTTTTTTTTAATATTATAATAACAACAACAAAAAAATGTTGGAAACAGATGCTTGTCAAAGGTTTATGCCTACTGAACAACCTGCCTGCATCTTAAATTCTGCCATTAAGGAGTCAGCCCTGCAACTCTTAATTTAATGCATTAAATGGCAGTCAAACTACTAGATAGGGCTTCCTTATATGAGGAAGGGTGGGCTCTTATTTCTGTGGTGGATCTCTGAGTGCTCGCCAGCACTCGTTCTTGTGGGAGACTTCAATTTCCCTGACACATGTTAGAAATATAGCACAGAGGAAGCAGTCCTCTGTGGTTTCTAGAGTGTGTGGAAGATAGCTACCTTACGCAGCTGGTAGGAGAGCCTATCAGGGGTGATGCCCTGCTAGACCTGCTCTTCACTAACAGAGAAGGACTGGTGGGAGATGTGAAGGTTGGGGACTGTCTTGGACAGAGCGACCATGAAATTGCAGAGTTCTCTATTCTTAGCGATGCCAGAAGGGTGACTAGCAAAACTGCTATTTTGACCTTCAGGAGGGTGGACTCTGCTGTTCAGGAAGCTTGTAGCACGGGTCCCTTGGGAGTCACTCCTTAAGGGTAAATGGGTCCAGGAATGCTGGATGCTCCTCAAGATGGAAATCTTAAAGGCACAAGAACAGGCTGTCCCTGAATGCTGTAAGGCGGGCTGTAGGGGAAGAAGACCATTGTGGATGAGCCAAGAACTATTGTTGAGACTCCGGAAGAAGAGAGTCTATGTCCTCTGAAAGAAGGGACAGGGTACGTTAGGACATTACAAGGAAGTTGCTAAGGTACGCAGGGAGGAAGTTAGGAGGGCGAAAGCCCAACTTGAACTCAGATTGGCCACTGCAGTAAAAGAGAATAAGAAATCCGTTTGTAAATATATCAGTGGTAAAGAAGAACTGGGGAGAATTTCCATCCTTTACTTGATGCAATGGGGAACGTGACCACTGAGGATAAGGAGAAGGCTGAGGTCCTCAACGCCTTCTTTGCATCTGCCTTTAATAGGCAGATCAGTTATCATCAGGGCACTTTGTGCCCTGATCTGGAAGCCTGGAATGCTATGCAGAATACACACCCAGTGATTCAGGTGGACACAGAACTCCTCCATCTGGACTGTCACAAGTTCATGGGTCCAGACAGGCTCCATCCTAGGGTGCTGAGGGAGCTGGCGGGGATGATTGCAGAGCCATTTCCAGCCATCTACAAGCGTTCCTGCTTATCTGAAGAGGTCCCAGAGGACTGACCCTGCATGTGGCAGGGGGGTTGAAGATTCATGATCCTTGGGGTCCCTTCCAACCCTGGCCATTCTGTGATTCTGTGACTGGAGGCTTGCCAGTGTGACTCCCATCTACAAGAAGGGCCATAAGGAGGATTCCGGAAACTACAGGCCTGTCAGCCTGACCTCGGTACCAGGGAAAGTTATGGAGCAAGCCATCTTGGGAGAGATCACATGACATGTGAGTGGCATCCAGAGGATCAGGCCCAGCCAGCACAGGTTCGTGAAAGGCAGGTCGTGCTTGACCAACATCATCTTCTACGACTGGGTGACCAGCCTGGCAGATGAGGGAAAGGCTGTTGATGTAGTCTGTGTAGACTTCAGCAAAGCCTTTGACATGGTCTCTCACAGTATTCTTCTGGGGAAACTGGCTGCCCATGGTCTGGAAAGGTATACCCTTCTTTGGGTAAGGAACTGACTAGAGGGCTTTGCCCATTGGGTAGTAGGAGTTAAGTCCAGCTGGTGGCCCGTTACAAGTGGTGTCCCCCAGGGGTCGGTACTGGAGCCCATCTTGTTTAATATCTTTATTGATGACCTAGATGAGGGGACTGAGTGTACACTCAGTAAGTTTGCGGATGACATCAAGTTGGGAGGTAGTGTCGATCTGCCTCTGAAGGGAGGCCCTTCAGAGGGATCTAGATAGGCTGGCAAACTGGGCTGAGGTGAATGAGATGACGTTCAACAAGGCCAAGTGCTGGGTCCTGCACTTTGGCCACAAAAAACCCCATGCAGCGCTATAGATCTGGGGCTGAGAGGCTGAGTGGGGATGACTGTGAAAAGGAAAGGGACCTGGTGGTATTTATTGATGGTTGGCTTAACATGAGCTGACAGTGTGCTCAGATGGCCAAGAGGGCCAATGCCATGCTGGCCTGCATTAGCAATAGTGTGGCCAGCAGGAGCAGGGAGGTAATCATCCCCCTGTACTCAGCGCTGGTGAGGCTGCACCTTGAGTACTGTGTTCAGTTTTGGGCCTCTCACTACAGAAAGGACATTGAGGCCCTGGAACGTGTCCAGAGAAAGGCAACAAAACTGGTGAGGGGTCTGGAGCAACTGAGGGAGCTGGGATTGTTCAGTCTGGAGAAGAGGAGGCCCGGGGGGACCTCATTGCACTCTACAACTTCCTGAAGTGAGGTTGTGATGAGAAGGGATTCAACCTTTTCTCACAGGCAACAATCAGGACCTGAGGAAATGGCCGCAAGTTGTACCAGAGGAGGTTTAGATTAGACATAAGGAAGAACTTTTTCTCTCAGAGAGTTGTCAGGTGCTGGAGGAGTGGTCCTCCGCTGCCCTAGGAAGTGGTGGAGTCACCATCCCTGGTAGTGTTCAATAGGTGTCTGGATGAGGAGCTATGAGATATGGTTTAGTGCTTGTGGTAGCAATGGTAGTGGGAGGCTGGTTGGGACTGGATGACCTTGTAGGTCATTTCCAACCTTGCGATTCTCAGTTTTCTCCTTTTTAAATAGTAATAATGATAATAATAATAATGAACACAAATCTTGCAGCTCATAAAGAAAAAAAGACATTATCTTTAATGTCAGAATATCAACATCTTGCCAGTCCTCCATTATCTCTTTTTTTTTGCTCTATTCATGCGCTAATAAATAAAAGATTAGCAGTGTAATAACACTCCTGGTGAAAGAAGTAAACTCTACAGAGTTTGAAGCCATTGCTTGTCTGTATAAACACTGAGTTCTGGCTGTAGAAATAGAAATCAAAATGCTTTTGAGATAGATTATCATTAAATGGCATAAACAGGTAATTTAGTGATGAGAGCATTAGTCTATCAGGCTTCAAGTAAGGAATGCTGAAAATCACCTATTCACAAAAATACCTTAAGATTTAAAAGATGTGTGGGGTGAGTGGGCTTTACTGAGAATTCCTATCACTGTAATTTTGTAGAGAAGAAAGCCTCTTCTGAATGATCATAGCTCAATAAATATGTTTAATTAGTGGTTATAGTAATTTAAAAGCTCTTTGCAATAGTAAAATTAAGTTAAATGAAATATTGCATACCAAAAAAAACCCAACATATTAATAATTGGACAAATAATTTATTCTCTCAAGTTCAAATAATAGTCTAGAATGGTTTGAGCAAAGGTTGTTTAAGGACCAGTTTCTCTTTGTTGGGTATGACTTGGCAGTTTTAGCTAATTAGTGTACCAAGTGCATTCCAGGTTTAAAATACTTAGGAGTGCATAATTGAACAGGCTTATTTTCTCATTACATTCTTGTGTCAAAGGACTTTATTATTTGCAAAGGATATTCCTTGTTTTCCTCTTAAGAAATGAGCTGTATCTCTGCTTTCTACCTCTCTTCTCAGTTGATCCCAATTGAATATGTCTTGTAAGTTACAAGCAGCAGCCTTTGCAAAGGAGAAAGTCTATGAAAAAGTAAATTAAAAAACTGAAGTAATTTGGGAACAAGTCAGTAAGTCAAGATTAAAAAGGCAATGAAACTACTGTTGAGTCTAACAATTATTTTCAGCTGTGCGCACATAAGTGTGTTTCTCCTATGTGGACAAGTTTTATCAAGTGAAGTGATTAAATCATTAAAAGAGAATTTGCAACTCCAGCAGCCCTGGAACTATGGAGGTGTTTTTTTTTGTTGTTGTTGGCTTGTTTTTTGTTTTGCTGCTGCCCACATAATAAACATTGACTTCTGTCTAATTTCTTGTTAGATAGAAGCATAAAATTAAACATGAGAACTTACTAATCATTAACAGTGAAAAGTACTAAAAAAAAACACATGTATTAGATTATTTCATGGCTCATTGAAGACAGTGACAAAATTTCTCTTGACAAAAACTTAGATATTTTCAGAAATAGTTCTGTAATTTTTTTTCCTCTTCACATTGGTTTTCTGCCAAATACACCTCACATGCAAGAACTATGAAGTATTGTAAAATCTAGCAGCCTGAACTAGGCAAGGTTGCTAGAGCTCCATATCCCCAGCTCTAGGCAAGAGTGAGGCTGAACATATATCCTAAGAGGCACATACGCACAAACACATGCACATTCTTAGTACCCTGACAATCATGAGCAAGACCTACAGTCTCATCCTGTTTCCCTCTCTGGTTGATCAGTATGAAGGTCCTGAGTGGCCATAGATACTCACTATCTGGTAACGGTCATCACAGCCCTGCAAACCTAGACTCAGACACTGTGACCTATGGTCTAAGTGCTGATGCTTAAGCCTCCATACCAACCAAATGCACAGACTAGAGAGTCTATCATATCTTAAAAATATCCTAGTGAGTCTTACAGAACCCCAGGCTGTACTTCCTTAGCATACAATAATGAGTCCTACACTCTTGTAGTCAGTGACTCACCTCAGTCTATAATGTGATTTGGAGAATTGCTCCCATTGACTCATCTTAAAGGGCATCATCGCAAATGAATGAAATATCTCTCTTGGGACAGTTCCAGGTGTAGCCAAGCCAGGGTGCTATTTTTTCTCTGGTTGAGTTATTGGGTTTCCCGGATGTGCCATCATTCCTTTACATCAGCTCGCCCAATGTAGTGCTGAACTATCTTTTAAAATTGAGGCACCTAATAGAAGCCACCAGAGAAAAGGCAAATATTAGTTGGTAAGAGAGTTTTAAAACAAAGCAATTGAAAAGAAACATAAGAGAAACCCTGTTCTTCTGTGGAATTTTAGGAATCACTTTTACATCACTGTAGTTCAATACATTCACACAGAAAAAATTGCCAGCCAGCATTGTCAGACACTATTGTTATTTTTTTTTAACTTGATAGGTGTGGAAGAGGAATGTCGACCAGTAAGTACCAGACTGCACTATAAGAACGTCAATGGATGTGTGGGTGAAAAGGAAGTGCCTATTTCTCATTGTGAGGTAAGAAATAAATTCATCTCCCTCTTTTGCCAATGCACACACCTTACCTTGCCCACTTTTTCTCTTACACAAAGGGAACTTTTGGCTCACTTTACAGAGCATCACGGTTTTTTTTTTGTCCTTGCTGATTCACTCAGACAATGAAAACATCTTTGACACTTCCTAAAGTAATTTAGTGACGTTGAATTTTCCTTGTTTGAGCCAGCATGGAAACGAGGAACATAATCTAAGGTACAAAGGTGCAGTTCACAATCCATTGCTTCCAAATGAATGGCTCTGACAAGAGAATTAGAAGAGAATTTCCATCTTTATATTACTGAGGCTGATTTTTAGATTTCTGTCTAAAATTAAGGACACGTATCCTTCTGTAGGCTCTGAATTTGTTTTATAAGAGCAGAAATAGATATTTAGATGCATGATAATGTAAACAGGCATTTAAACTGAAGTGCTATGATTTGACTTCTGTGCTCTGTAAGCTCTGTGGCTTTTCTGTTATCCTGAACACTGGTGGCTGTTGTGTAGTACGTGTCTTGCATGTTACCACAATTGGATTAGAAGATTATTATTATAAGAAATGTTTCTGCCCATCACTCCTTGCAACTTGTAGAGCAACTTCCATTTCATACAGAAGCATAGCATCCCTTCCAGATATTTCTGTCTCTCTGAGACTGGGAACAAAAGAAGCCATTCTCTTCCCTGACTGGTTTGTAGCAGATAAAGATGTTTCATACAAGAACTACATGCGACAAAACTGTGATGTAAAAGGATGGCTGCCAAGAAGTTGGTTTGCATCCAGCCTTTAAGTTTTATCTTTAGCTGATGTCGGCAAAATGAGTCTTCATGTTGCCCATGACTACTTGGAAAAAATGGGAACAGGGCATTATGAAAACACATGGCCAGGTTTTTCACATAGATAACTGGTGAAGGACCTCAATTTGCTGCACAGATCCTAATACAAATGGAAGCTTTAAAAACAGCAGTTACTTTTCATTAAAAACAAAAACAACAAAATGAACAACAACAAAAACAAAACAAACCCTTGCTTTATCTCTTTTCCTGTCCACAACAGATCAGTAGTAATTAAATTTTTAGCCTAGGAAAGTACAGATTTTATTTTGTTTCTGGCCACATATTGAGTAAATACTCATGCTGTAGATTGTAGTTTTTCTAAGTACTTCTCTCATAATGCTATGCATACTTTTTATTAATCTCAGAAATAAGAGTACAGAGACACAAAAAGAAATGGACTCTAATAGAGTTTGATAGAGGTATTTGTTTTTTTCATCATGAAAACATATGTCAAAATCATTGACACCTAAGTACAAATTAGAAAAGTGATAAGATAGGAAGAACAATGGAAAATAGCAACCAGAAAGACAACAGTATATTTACTTAGCATGAAGAGCAGCAAGAAACATGGCTCAGAAGCAGTTGGACTAAGTCATTTTCTGAACGTGGTTCTCATACATACAGATGAGGTAATAATAGAGAAATATTTCTTAACTACCATTTTTTGTTTGCTTAGAGGTCAACTCCCCAATCCTGGAAATCTTTTTTTTTTTTTTTTAAATTTTTTTCCCTCCATGACTAGTTCCTTTACCTTTTCTTTGCTGTGCTTATGGTTGTGAGACATTATTCTTTGACTAGCATCCTACACTCTGGAACAAGATACCCATTTCTGAGTTAATGCTTTGCAGCAGGGTGCTGAACATGAGGCAAAGAAATCATGTATGTTTTGAAGGAAGAACCTGGATTCTCATTTCGCTGAGGTCTGGCACTGTTGAACCTTGGTATCTCTTTTTCTGCTTAGGGTAAATGTAGAAGCAATACAAGATATTCCATTCAGACAGAGAAATGGGAAGATACGTGCAGCTGCTGTACAGCCATACAAACAACAACAGTTACCATCCCACTCCACTGTCCCAATGGCACAGTGGTACAGCATTACATCCCTTCTGCCTCTCAATGTGAATGCAGCTTGCGGAAGTGTACAGAGTGAATATTTTGAAGAAGCTCAATGGTTTAATCTTGAGTTTTATGATGAAGAACTTTACAAAGCAAGTCTCATTTCCTCTCTGTAGCCAATCTTATCCAGTAGAATTCTAATTAATTGTATCAACATAGCAAACAATAAAACTTACTAGCACAACAGAATAGTATTTTCTGACTGTTACTGCTGTAGAAGTAATAGACGTTACATTGTTCCTTCATATTCATATAGAAAGTTATTCTCATTAATACAAGAAAATACCACAGTAACTGAAACAGTTGTTCCTACCCGAAGAACGTAACACAAAGCATTTAGCGTTGTCTTTGAAGACGTTACACTTGCTTTCCCCACTTTAGACCTTAGCCACAAATAGTATGTATTTCATTTTTTGCTCTTAATTCTCCCATCCGGTCAGTGAGTACAGTGATTATTGTGCGAGACTTCACAGTAAGGGGGAGATGTTCTTGATACAGAAACAATGTTGATTATGTCTCAGGCAATCAAATATGTCTGCAATACAAATATATTTTTCTCCTTTATCTGAACGCAGAGAAATTATGTGCTAAGTACTTATGTACTGTATGCAAATCCTCAGTACCTGAGAATGGGGCTGAGAGACAGCTCTTAACTATCTACTTCAGTACTTCTACAGACCAGCCTGAAGAAAAAGCTCATCAGTTATCTCCCTTTATTCCAGATACTAGAATTTCATCTGTTGCATTAGCTAAAAAAGTTATTTCAAATGTGAAATTGTCAGGGGCAGGTTTAAGTTATTGCTCCCAGAGAAAAAAAATAACTAGATTTAAATGTCATTTGATCTAGTCACAGAAGAAAAAATATTTTCCAGAGAGTGATTTCTGATGGAATTTAGTGCCAGTGAAGGACCTTTATTGAGAAATACTGACTTAAAAATAAAAGTATAGAAGAGGGAACTGTTCATTTCATTTGCATTTTTGAAAGACAAGAAATATTTCAACTTGTTTTTGAACCAAGCTAACTTCTTTAAAATTAGCTGGGAGGCTGGGGGAGCGTTTTGAAAAAAGCCAAAATATCCACATTTTTGTGATGACATTAGTAAAGCTTGTAAATAGACTGTGGGTTCAAAAGCATAGTTTCTCCAGTTCTACAAGAAGTGTTCTTGAAATAATGGAAAGGTTGTACAGTCCTGAAGGATAAGAGTGCTTCTGAGAAGTCTAGCTGAAATGGTCAGGAAATCAGGTTCAAAATCACAGACCAAAATATGCATCAAAAACATAAAATAACATCCTTGTTAGGAAACTTAGAAAGTGTGGGATGATGAGTGAGCTGGAATAAGAACTGGCTGAGTTGTGATTAGTAGCACAGAGTCTGAGTAGGGGCCTATAACACTGGTGTTCTCCGGAGGGATCATTGCTGGGTCTGGTCTTGTTTGATGTCTTCATTAATGACCTGGATGAAGGGATAGAATCTACCCTCAGCAATTTTGTGGACGATATAAAGCTGTGAGAAGCTGTGCTGTCTTTCAACGAGACCTAGATTGACTGGAGAGTTGGATGGAATGATACCTGATGATGATCAGTAAGAGCAATTGTGGAGTCTTGCACCTGGGGAGGAATAACTGCATGCATCAATACAGGTGGAGAGGAGGTCTGCAGAGAAAGACCTAGGGGTCCTGGTGGACAACAGGATGGCCAGCAGTGTGCCCTTGTCAGTGGTAAAAACAGTGTGGCTGGCATGTTGAGGGAGGTGATCCTCTTCATCTACTCTGGCCTGGCAAGGCCACATGTGGAATATTGTGCCCAGCCCTGGGCATCCCAGTTCAATGAAGATGAGGATCATCTAGAAAGAGTCCAGTGGAAGGCCACAGGGATGATTAAGATCTTGGAGCCTCTCTCTAACGAGGAAAGGCTGAGTCTGGGTCTCTTCAGTCTGGAGAAGAGAAAGCTGAGAGGGGATCTCATAGCTTTTTATAAATACCTTAAGTGTGGGAGTTGGGGACAGATTCTTTTCAGTGGCAAACATCAATAGATAAAGAGCAATGGGCAGAAACTGGAACACAACACATGGAAGAATTTCTTCTCTGTCAGAGTGATGGAGCACTGAAGCAGGCTGCCCAGAGAGACTGTGGGGTCTCTTTGGAGATATTCAACACCCATCTGTATGCCTACCTGTGTGACCTGCTGTAGAGAACTTGCTTTAGTAGAGGGGTTGGACTGTACAAGTCCCTTCCAACTCCTACAATTCTGTGAAAAGCACAATAACCCCAGAGAGAAAAAGAACAAACACGTCCTTATTAGCACCATTCTCACTTATTGCAGTAGATCTGTCACCACTTTTCTCCCTTCCATTGTAGCTACCTCTAGACATCGAGCGTCCTGACAGATGTATTTGAGTCCCCCAGGTAATCAGGTGCACAGAATCTCATCTGAAACTGTAAACAAGTAAATGTTGAACATCAGAGCCTGTACAAAGAAGTCCAGAGCAAAGAAGTACATAGATGGTATAAGGCAATACCTTCATCTTCCTCTTGCCGTTACTTTATTTCTGTTAGGACCTTCACCCAGACTGACCTTCTTTAGCTTGCAAAAGCTGAAAGGATTGCAATCGAGAGCTTCATGGATTCAGACAGGTCTTCTAATCAGATAATTATATAAGTCTAGCTTATCGCCATGGGAAGGACACGCAAGGACATCCACAGGATAAAGATGGAGCTACTGTCTTCTGCAACCTCTGAAATATCAGAGGTTAATTTTCATTAACTGCAAAGCGGATAGATAACATTTAATTAAATGTCTGTTCAACAAACAAGTAAACATTCCTGTCTTTATTACTTCTGATTCATTTAACAAGAAGTCTAATGGGTCTAATATTTTAGGGGAGAAATAAACTGAAATAAAAACGTCAACCTTCTAACTAGAGCAATTTTTATTTTTCTCCAAGGAAAGCCAAGAGGTTCGTTGAAAAAAAATATATAGATTCAAACTCAAAGTAGCTGTAACTTCAATACAATGAGAACAACAGAACTGTATTAAAACTTCATGCCCGTTCAAGAATGACCCATAGAACTTCGCTTTTCTTCACCTTTCTCTGCTGCAAGTTTACTTTCATGTCTATGAAAGTAATGTATGTGCCAGTATATGAACTAAAATGGGCATACAGTAATGATAACTCAGTGTTTTTGTCTTGTAGAATAAAATTCTGTGGATTTTTGTATAATCAATACTTATATTTATGACGTCTATCTAATGCCAGTGCATTCCAAGCAAAGCCAAGGCACTGTTGTGCTTGATGTACAATGCTAGAAGAAGCATCTCCCTTGAAAACTCTTTAATAGAAGCAGACAAGTGAGAAAGAGCACAAGGAAGAAAATGTTTTAGCATCTCACTTAATAGACTGAGAAGGCACAGATTTTTGACACTGACCTGCTGATATGAGAAACTAGCTTTTCCAGGCAGCCTATCCCAGAAGAGCTCTTTCTGATAATGGTGCCAGGGATGGCTATGGAACAGATCATATTGATGAGATCACATGGCATGTGCAGGATAACAGGGATCAGGCCCAGCCAGCACGGGTTTGTGAAAAGAAAGTCCTGCTTAACCAGCCTTGGTTTTCTATGATCGAGTGATCTACCTGGTGGATGAGGGAAAGGCTGTTGGTGTAGTCTACCTAGAATTCGGCAAAGCCTTTGACACTGTCTCCCACAGTAGTTTACTGGAAAAGCTGGCAGCCCATGGCTCAGGCAAGTGCACTCTTTGCTGGATAAAGAACCGACTGGAGGGCTGGGCCCAGAAAGTGGTGGTGAATGGAGTTTAATCCATCTGGTGATCAATCATGAGTGGTATTCCCCAGTGGTCAGTACTGGGGCCTGTCTTGTTTAATATCTTTATGGATGACAAGGGAATTGAGTGCACCTTCAGGAAGTTTGCATATGACAAAAAGTTGGGAGGAAATGTTGACCTGCCTGAGGGTAGGAAGGCCTTGAACAAGCTGTATTGCCAGGTTAAGTCCAAAGGAATGAAGTTCAACAGTGCTGGACCAAGTGCTGGGTCCTGCACTCTGGCCACAACAACCTCTTGCAGTGCTACAGGTGTGGGTCAGAGTGACTGGAAGACCGTGTGGAAGAGATGGACCTGGGAGTGTTGATTGGCATTCATCTGAACATGAGGCAGCAGTGTTCCCAGGTAGTCAAAAAGGCCAATTGCATTCTGGATTGTGTTAGAAATACAGGACTAGGGAGGTGATCACCCCTGTACTAAGCTCTGGTAAGGCCACACCCTGTGTACTGTGTTCAGTATTGGGCACCTCATTACAACAAAGACATTGAGCCCCTGGAGTGTACCCAGTGAAGAGCAACGAAGCTGTTGAAGGGCCTGGAGCACAAGTCTTATGAGAAAGGACTGAGGGAACTGGAATTGTTTAGTCTGGAGAAGAGGAGACTCATGGGTGACCTTATTGCTCTCTACAACTACTTGAAAGGAGCTTGTGGTAAAGTGGGAATCAGCCTCTTCTCTCACATAACTAGTGGTAAGACTAGAGGAAATAGCCTCAAATTGTGCCATGGGAGGTTCAGGGTGAATATTAGGAAAAAATTATTTCCTGAAAGAGTGGTCAGGCATTGGAACAGGGCTGTCCAGGGTGGTGGTAGAGTCACCATCCTTTGAAGGCATTCAAGAAACATTTAGATGTGGTACTAAGGGTCATGGTTTAATGGGGAAATATTGGTGGTAGGTGGACAGTCGGACTAGGTGATCTTGGAGGCCTTTTTCAACCTTGGGGATTCTATGATTCTACGAAATAGATTTGGATTCCCTCCTTGCTGTTTACAAGTGCCTTTTGCACAGCCCAGTTTCATTGTACAATTAACACTTACCTGCAAAATCCAGGCTTTGAGGAACATTGTCTTAACTTGCAGATACATCTTGCAAGTCTTGTTTTGAGCTATCTTTGGCTTTTCTCCAGTGTTTCACCTCTCATCACTTTAGAAGACCAGTTTGATTGGTAGACATGCTACAAGATAGATTTACATGGACAGTAAATGGATTTGGGGAGAAGTCTTTATAAAGCTTCTTTATTATTAAAAGCATGTAATCTCTCTGGTAATTTTTACTAACTTCCAAGATCCTCTACAGCAGGTGAAACACAATTTGGTGTATTGGGATTTTTTTTTGCAGTTTTGCACTGTCGATTATCACCATACTCACCTACCACAGGAAACAATGTTATTTAGATATGATTTTCTCTAATGAAAATTATCCTAAAACAACCAACAGAAAGCAAAACTCAAACCCATCTTCATTTTAACCAACTAGATATTGTTTTCAATCATATTGCCTTCTTTGTGTATTATTTATTGTCTGTACTCGATATATTATAAAATATATGTATATATACACATACATATATATAACACATTTTATATTATATAAGTATATATGAAATACATACTTGGAGCACTTTGCCCAAGAGGAGAAGCTGAGGGAGTGTGAGATATTCAGCCTAAAGAAGGCTCTGTGGACACCTGATAACAGCCTTTCATTATGTAAAAGGGGACTGTAGGAAAGAAGGGGATAGAATTTTTAGTCTGTTGTGATAGGATAGGGATAGTCTGTTGTGATAGGATAAGGAGAAATGGTTTCAAACTAAAAGAAAGGAGATTCAAACTGGACATAAGAAAGAGGTTTTGTATGATAAGGGTAGTGAAGCACCACAAAGGTGGTGGATATCCTCTCCCTGCAGACATTCAAGGTATGGCTGGACAGGGCTCTGAGCAACCTTGTCTAGCTGTAGATGTCCTTCTACATTGCAGGGGAGCTGGGCAAGATGACCTTTAAAAGATTCCTTCCAACTCAAATGATTTTATAGTGTTATGAAATACTGGTGTACACCTGTACAGTTCTGGACATTCGATCAAAGTGATCAAGCAAAGAGATTCATTTGTTCAAATGGATGGGGTACTCATATAATTAAAAAACACCAGAAAAAAAAAAACCAAAACCAACAAAATTACAGGCATCCTCTCAAAACTAGTGTCCATGTGTTTGTATGCAAAGAAGCATCCTTCCTGGTAGAGAACATCACATAGCAACATTTTTAATTTTTAATTTTTTTTTTAAATTTCTGCAATCTAAACTTTCAAGGATGATCACTTCAGAAGCTGTGGCATTTAGGATGCCTACTGCTTCATAACTGTCTGTAAGTGAAGTTCTGAGATTAACACAAAATACTAGCAGGGTAAGAAGGATAAATATTTGATATCTCTTGATGTATTACTTAGAAATTAAGAAATGCCATTCCAAATGAAGAAATGAAGAAGAATGATGTGATTTAACCTTTTTGTATCTGAAGACATTATTCTACTAAAGCAAGTATTAAAAAGTTATCTGTAACATCTAATGTACTCATCTTCCCTTACTCGCCAAGAGATAGACAAATCGTTATTTCTCTGCTTTTGTCACTGTTAAAATGTAGCACAGAGCAGTTTTACTAACCTGTTAAGACATAGTCAGAAATCCTGACCCCCCTGCCTTTCAGGTAAAATCAGGAATGTGGTATGTGTCTAGGTGACAAAACTGTTATAGTGGCACTTCAATTGAGCTGAAGTAAACAAATTAACAGGATGAAATTTTGTCTCATTCTCTTCAGTCTGCCTGAAATGTTCACTGGAAAGACAAACACCAGATTACAACCAATACATGTATTTCTCCAGCTTTCTGGGGAAGTTTTACAGCACCTGGGCCAAGTACTGGGACATGACAACTTGCACTGCTGCCCGTATAAACACACTGTGATAGTTCAGTTGTGGTATACATATATGACTTGAATCGCTCTTCTCTCTGAAACATAAACGTCCAGTATTCACAAAGCTCACAACATAATATGCAATCTCAATTTGCATTCCACTAGAAATACTGCACTTTATTGTCATTAAACAAATCTGCTTTCCCCTCTTGCACTAAAACAAACAAACCCAAAATTGTTGTAGTAACATAGATAAATTTGAAAGAAGATAAATAATTGAATGTCATATTATTAC